AAGGATGGCTCATGAAGGATGGTCGTCATATTTCCTTTCATCAAAAACGTCTCTGTTCAAGGGTTTGGTGTCGTTTCTCGACTCCGTGGCTCTCGCTTGCTCAAGAATTTATGTCGCGAAAACGATTTGGGGCTGTCGGGATATTTCTCCTCTGCAGGCTGAAACGAGCTCTTGACAGTTACAAAGCCACCGCCTACGGTGAGCTCTTTCGGAGTTGGCGAATTCGTTTCGTCCACAAAGTAGAAAAACTCGCCTAAACTATCATCACTGCCAAACATGTGTTCACCCTTGGCTTCAATCTTGAATTGTGCGTCTGGGGTGCAGCTGATGCGGAACGTCTCGTCAAAGTTCCACTGTCCTGAAGGTGACTTGTAGTGCTTCGTCTTACCAACAAGCTTTTCCTTAGGCGCGATTTGCGATACGATGATATACAAGTCTGTCGAGTGAGGATATCCCGCAGCTCCCACGATAGTAAGCGAAGCTGTTCCGGTTGGTGCGCCAACACCGACGGCACTATGAACAGAAGAGCTGCCGAAGCTCCTAGTTCTATTATGACCAGAGCCGCCCTCTGGCATCAAATGCGGAGGATAATCCCTAGAACTGTCGACAGCACTAGTTGTGGGCCTGGAGCTGCTGTTGCTGGCAGGGAAATCACTGCCATTCGTAACGATGCTAGGCACCCCCGGCACCATTGGCGCCTCTGCTAGCTCTGTCAACGAACCATTCGAGTTCTCTCGATCCTTTTTGCCAAGGATACCGCGCTTCAGGAAAGAAGCACCTCTGCCCACGCCGTGGCCCACGGCCCCAGCCACTGCGGCGCCTCCCTTGAACGGCACGCCAGCTACTCCGGTGACAATACGCGAAGATCCGCCAAAGGTGCCCTGGAACGTGGATGTCCCCTGCCTGGCTCGAGTGATGTAATCAGGCCGGAAAACCATTCTAAGCTTGATGCTTCCTGACTTGCCATCTAGTGGATAGGTCTGCTCCATCGCCTTGAAAGGTTCCATGGTGTCTAGTCTAATGACAGTGGCGCCTAGGAAATCGGGCTTATCGGCAAAATCGTAATCATAGACGTTGCAGATAAACTTGGCCCCTGTTCTCGATGGCACAGCTACCTCAAAGAATTCGTTCCACACTGGCGATAATGTCTTTTTCTGAACCTTTGTCTTGTATATCTCCACGTCGTTGAGTTCGAATTTGCAGTAAGGGTCGCTCTTTCCGTTCCTGTCGGCTGAAGGCAAGTCTGAGCCGCTCAAGACATCTACGCGGAGGTTGCCCATATTGTTGATACTCTCACTTGGATCGAGATCCATTTTGAGGGGAATATACTTGAGGCTGACCTTGACCCAACTAGTCCTGCCGTCGTCGCTCTTGAACTTTAATGTTGTGGGGTTGTTCTATAGATAACATTAGAATAAAAGAATATGACGGAGCAGGGGTAAAGCAAAGCATTGCGAAAGACTTGTTGAGTGCGAAACTTACCAGACATTGTTTGAGCGTCTCCATCGTGTTGCCGGCCAAGTATGCCAAAGTATCATCAACGTCATCACCCTTCTTTCGCGCCTTGAGTGTTAGGCGAGAAAATTCAAGTTCTCGGATAACACAGTCACCAATCTCGTCGAATTTATGCGACTTTGATGGCACCGTTGAAGACGTATAAGATGGATAGGCCATGTCGTCTACGAAAATCTCCAAGTGGCTGTCCCTCTCCGGCATCTCTGACTCCATGAGTCTGAAGATAAGAATACCACTCTCGTACCTGAGAAGCTCTTCAGGGGTAAGATGAATCTTTGGCGGACCCTTCTTCTCTATCGACAACGATGATCTCATAGACGATGGTGATATGGGCCGGCCGTCTTCTCCAGGGCTAGGGCTTAATTTGCCTGTATCCACTGACTTTCTGGAAACGTCGACTGACTTCCTGGATACGTCGACTGACTTCCTAGATACGTCGAGAGACGTTCGAGATGCAGCCTTGGATGCGGAGCTAAGTGGTCTGTCAGAGGGAGTTTTAGGCTCTTCGCCTGCGGCCTTGGCCTCCTCTGCTTCCTCTTCCTCCTCCTCAGGATCGGCGACGTTGAGGCAAGGGAAGAACGAAGCAGTATACATCAGCGTACCCTTGGCAATACCCTTTCCATGCATGCGAAGGTCACTTTGGAAAACATGCTTTGTATCATTGACGAGATACTCGCCAATCTCATCCTGTTGAACAAAATCGGCGGTGGAAATTTCGCACAGTCCGAGGGAGCGATCTTTGCCAAGCTTTTCTTCGTCCATGACCTCGAGGGTGAGCGTTTCCCGTGCAGAATGAACGGGGACATAGAGAACCTCGTCCCATTCGGGGTTCAGGTCATTCTTGAAAGTTACCGTTCGTCCCTTATCAATCCCAGAAAGAAGCACTCGAACGTAGGGATCAGATTTGCCAAAAGCCTCGTAATTGCGGAGATCACTCGCCTTTTTGAAATGGAGTCTCATGACACCAATCGGAGTCATGTAACCGCCGGTGCCAGAAACACCTGAAATAGCCACTGGTCTCCATTGTGCCATCATTTTCACTCGACCAGTCTGGGCTCCTGAAAGGTGATACCACTCTTTGCCTTGTTCCATGCAGTCCAATAAGTCGTCGAGCTTAATCTGGTATTTGCCGAGAGTCAAATCAGAGGACAGATCTCGTTCATCTTTGATAGTAACACCGAGCTTGGCCTTCTTGCGATCTGTAATGAGAATTTCCTTGGATCCGTTATCCCAGATGGGGTTATTGGTTCGCTTTAGTTTCTTTGTCTGGTGGACAACTTTGCCATTGAGGAACATGACAGCATAGGGATTCAAAAGGCCAACAAGACTCTTGGTCCCATCCAAGTCTTTGGCCTGCTCGACAGTAAAGCGTAGAATACCTTGGTTAGAGACTGGCGGAGGCCCCTTTTTACCGTCTTCGCCTACCGGGCCTTCAAGGACGGGGAAGAAGCGGAGGTCACAAGAGACTACGCCACGGTTCTTACCGCCACCAACAACTTCGAGACGCTCATTTTCGTACACATGAAGATCCTCAATTCTCTCCAACGGGAAAGAAGCCATACCCAGTTCTTTGGACTTGCGGAAGCCATTCTTGTCAAACACCTGAATATTGAGAGTGTCGTTGAAGGATGTGACAATGATGTAATGGGTTTCATTCCACCTGGGGTTAGGATTGTCATCGACAGTTTTGGTTCGTGCAAGCTCTTGGCGGCCATTAAGAGTAAGAATTGCATAAGGATCAACAGTGCCCGCAAAGTTGTCAGTGTTCTTGAGGTTGAATGCTCCATGGAGAGTCACAACGAGCACGCCAACCGCCTGGTCCACTGGGGATCCAGCCAGCATCTTGGCGACCTCGATAGGGAAGACATGAGGAGCGTACATCATGGGAGCCAAATTGCCGTGGATCTGTTCCAAGATGAACTTCTCCAGACCAGGGATGAAGTTGATGTCAAAACCAAAGCTTTCACCACCGAGGGGCTTGCAAACATAATCGATGGTTGGCTTCTCCAAGAAACACATTTCAATCTTCTCAACGTGGGGGAAGGGAATCTGCAGCTTCATGTTGACTCGCATAATGCCGGAGAAGGACATATCCTCTACGATGACGTCAAGGCCTTTGCTGATCATGGCTTTTCCGACTCGGATTTCCAGTACGACTTTGGGGTTAATTTTGTTCTTAATCTGTCGCGAAGTCATGTCGGCAGTATCATTTGGCGTGAAGCTGAACTTCCAGTCCATTCTGACGATGTCGTCTCCTGCATTGGGATACGTTTTCACGTGCTCCATACGGGGAGGCTTGGTGCCCAGTGTAAACGTCTTGAGCTTCAAACTGTCAAGGAAGGCAGGCGTTGCGGAGCTTAGCACTTGATCGACGGAGTTGATAATGGTCTGGGCGAGAACAGGCTGATAGATGGGCCAAAACTTGACCAGGAAGGAGTTGATCCATTCGAGAGACTCGTGGTCAGTCTCAAGCTTCTTGAGGGCAAGTTCTCGAGTGATGTCATCGCGAAAGTTTCGGCGCACTCGCCTCAGAGAAGTCCTGTAGTAGGTGCCGCAAATTGCCATAACCATGATGACCCAACCAATACCGCCGCCGAAAACCGCCACTAGCCATGAAGAGATGCAGGCAAAGATGATGACGCCAGCGTTGTGATACCAATCTATTCATCCGTGTAAGCTGACGGCATTGTTTCTGTTTGGCTGGTGAAACCTACCTCCGTATAGATGATCTGGCAGCTGGCTCTCGACCCATGTGGTGTGATCGAGCAGACTTTCACCGGCAAGTGTGCTATCGACAGGCCATCCAATTCGAGGAGCCCAGCCAGTGCGTGAGAATTCTTCTTCCACAGGCTCCGAGACTCCATTGGCTAGGTGTTTGCTTTGCTCGTCTTTGCCCACTGCAACGGCGCCTTCTTTGCTCGGTTCCGGGAGCTCTTCATCTGGGCCAGTGCCGTCGTCGACATCAGTTGCGATAGCTGTGGCTTTATTTTGCCTGATATGGTGAAGTCCGGGAGGGATAGCCTGAGGCGAGGGTCTGTCATTAGCACAAATGCGCACACATACATGTGAACCGAAGATATCATACAGCAGCAACTTGAGCACGCTTTTCCTCTATAGTGGCATTGGGATCAAAAGAAAAGCCAGGAACACCGGCGCTCCTGGCCTGCTCGACCAGAACCCTTTCAGCATCCTCAGCCGATACCAGGCTCTGGGGATTTTGGGCAGCCTCGATGGCTCCCTGCTGCTTGAGTTCGCGCGCCTCAAGGGCCGACATGTTGGCCAGCTATGGGCGCTGCTACAACTATTATTCGGGTGCAACAACTGGGCAGTTCAATTGATCTGGTTGCTTTGCGATAACGTCATGCAGAAGCCCGGCCGTGATGGAGGGGCAGGTGGCCAGACTGGCGCCGTATAAGAAGTTGGACCACGAGTAATGACAAGACAAAGGCAAGGGGGAAAAGAAGAAAAGGGCTATCTATCGAAATTTATTTTACAATCAGTAAGTACGATTGTGTCAAAGACCCGTCACCGAGCCAGTCAGGGCCTCACGGAAGAGAAAAAAGAGAAAGGAAAAAGAACAAGCTGCAGAGAAAAGAAACCGTGATGACGGAGGGAAAAGAGGACAAGTTAGCGGCAGCGGCTAGCTTTGACCACTCCTTGATTTTTGGAGACAAAGCCACAAACTAATGCACGTGTGGCTCGGCACAATCTGGAAATGAAGCAGCAGAAGGAGCAAGGAGTGGTGCAGTGGAGCTGACCACGGGCGGTTGTCCGTGGCGCAGAGAGAAGACCACCGTTTGCCAGTGGCACCTTGTGCGTGTGTAGACGTCGACTGGTTCTCTGTCTGAGCTCAGCGCGGCGGGGATTTGCTGCTTGTGCTGCAGTCGGTATTCCAGATGCTGCCAACCAGGAAGCTACAGTGGAGCTGTGGTGCTGAGCTTGGCTGTCAGTACCCACTGGAGCTTTGCTGGTCGGGCCCCTGTACTGCTGAAAGCGTGGCGACGGCGACGACGTAATTGCTAGGGCGGTCGCTCAATGACATGGGGCCGGGGGCCCAGGCTCAACCCCGACCAGCGCGATTGGCGCCTTGGAGCTGCCTTAGGGGCGCTGTAGACTGCAGTAGCGCCTGGCCCGGAGGGATGATCTGGAGCTTTGGGGGCCTGAGGATTCGCAGCTGCAGGTGGTGTTGAGCGCTATCCGGGCCGCTAGCAGTGGAAGTTCGGCATGCTACGGGATGGATGGAGGCCTCGAAATTGTACATTCGATGTAGCATTCAGGTGAGCGCTTATCGGCAGCATCAGACCCTTTCGCTCCACCGTTGGGTACGACTGCGTGATGAAACACCAACTATGCTATACCGATACTCACATGTGTTGAGACACCCGAAGAGTGCTTTGGAAGAAAAGGAGACGGGCGGGAATAAGCAATACGCGCATTGATGCCAAGTAAATTGGCCGTCATCTCGGGCTGTCAGGTTCAACGTGGCCAAATATGCTTAAGATTTGGTGCCACAGTCGCAACAGGCATTTCTCGCTTCCTCCCATGGCCGCTTGCAGATGTGGCACTTTTGAAGCAGAGGCCGAAATCGTCGCGCAGCGTGTGCTCTCTTTTCCCACCCCTTGCGTAGCGGGGAAAGTGAAGAAGAAGAAAAGGGACAGAATGTCTCATTTCGGATCCCAATACCCGCGGCCATGCAGCATTGGAGCGGAAAAGGTTGGGAAATTCGGGTTGTGGAGATGTGCCCTGCCGTCATTCCCTCAATTGAACAAATACAAATAATCTGCAGCAGATAGCAATAATAGGTCTTGGGAAATAGGAGCCAGACCTCGGTAAAGATCCACGCCGAAAATTCAAACTCTCGCCATGCCCTGGGTATTGTTTGCATTTGATAAGGTGTTGCGAGGCTGTAGCACAGTTTACGAGTACCAAACTGCCGTGACATTGAATAACGGCAACCACCAGCTCTGCTACTATTTCGCACTCTCCGGGCAACACAGCGTCAACATTTATTGCTCTCAAAATTGTTTGCCTGATATCACACTATGATTGTGGGACACTAAACCGCGGTGACTTACAAGCAAACACGTAAAATTGTTCTAGCCCTAAGTAAATCCATCTAAATACGAAAACCCCCCCCTCCCAGCTAATGGACTTGCATGCCGCCGTCTTCAATAGAGGCCCAGCTACCAACCAACGCACAAGTGCATCCAGCCTGTACGGTGGCACCTTAGATAGGGTGTGCAAGAGTGCAAAAACCCCAATTTTCTAAAAAAACAAGAAAACTAAAAACTAAAAAGATACAGTGTATGCACAGTATATGTACTGTATTTTCTTAATTACAGCGCCTTATAAGGCCTCTGCAAGGCTGAAATATGCCTTAATTTTTAGGCAGTATGACTACTTATAAGCTGGATGGCCTTGATTGAATAGGATAACCTTGATTAAATAGGATGACCTTGATTAAATAGGATGGCCTTGATTAAATAGGATGACCTTAATCAAATAGGATGGCCTTGATTAAATAGGATGACCTTGATTGAATAGGATGACCTTGATTGAATAGGATGACCTTAATTAAATAGGATGACCTTGATTAAATAGGATGACCTTGATCGAATAGGATGGCCTTGATTAAATAGGATGACCTTGATTGAATAGGATGACCTTGATTGAATAGGATGGCCTTGATCGAATAGGATGACCTTGATTGAATAGGATGACCTTGATCGAATAGGATGACCTTGATCGAATAGGATGACCTTGATCGAATAGGATGACCTTGATCGAATAGGATGGCCTTGATTAAATAGGATGACCTTGATCGAATAGGATGACCTTGATCGAATAGGATGACCTTGATTGAATAGGATGACCTTGATCGAATAAGATGACCTTGATCGAATAAGATGACCTTGATCGAATAAGATATCCTCCTATTTGATCAACTTGATCATGATCATCTTGTTCAATCAAGGTCATCCTATTCGATCAAGGTCATCCTATTCGATCAAGGTCATCCTATTCGATCAAGGTCATCCTATTCGATCAAGGTCATCTTATTCAATCAAGGTCATCTAGTTGATCAAGGTCATCCTATTCGATCAAGGTCATCCTATTCAATCAAGGTCATCCTATTCGATCAAGGCCATCCTATTTAATTAAGGTCATCCTATTTAATCAAGGTCATCCTATTTAATTAAGGTCATCCTATTCAATTAAGGTCATCCTATTCAATTAAGGTCATCCTATTTAATCAAGGCCATCCTATTCAATCAAGGTCATCCTATTTAATTAAGGCCATCCTATTCAATCAAGGTCATCCTATTCAATCAAGGTCATCCTATTCAATCAAGGCCATCCAGCTTATAAGTAGTCATACTGCCTAAAAATTAAGGCATATTTTAGCCTTACAGAGGCCTTATAAAGCGCTATAACTAAAAAAATACAGTACATATACTGTACATATACTATATCTTTTTAGTTTTTAGTTTTCTTGTTTTTTTAGAAAATTGGGGTTTTTGCACTCTTGCACACCCTATCTAAGGTGCCACCGTAAGCCTGCGTTCAGCCAGACAGGGATCCGACTTGGTTCTTCCATGCATCCTTAGCGTCCCACGCCCCGATCGCCCGGGCTCATGTTGCAGAAGATCATCATCCTCAGCTCATGATCTACATGGAAATGAAGTCATAGTTGGCAAAATATTTTTCCATAGAGCAAAGAAGAACAAAAAAAAAAAAAAATAAAAAACTTACTACATACGTAGTCTATGTCCCATCGTTGTTCTGCTCCCCCATGGGTTTTGAGTGAGATAGGCGAACACGAGGACTATACCTGTATCGTATCAGTAGATTGACGATCTTGGATCTTGGAGAGACGCTCAGTAAAAATAGTAATGCAGAGAGTACCTGCATGCATGTATCTAAAGATTGAAGCGTTACATCAAGCAGTGCCGTTCCAAGTTTCAAGGGTTCACGTTAGTAGGCCGACACCCCTCACACTGATACTGGTGGTTTGCGATTGCGGGGTGATCATCAAGAGCAAGCCAGGTGCGACTACAAAGACATTTGGCCGCTTGAAACTTCTTCATTAGATGTGGCACAGCGTCTGGCTACGGAGCAGGATTCGGACGACAGATTTACACCAGTCTCATGTCTGTCTTCATTGTGTTTCATGCTACGTGTCTAGTCATTGAATCAAAGGAGAGACCCAATTACTGCACGACACGTTGTATTTGTAGATATCAAGAGGACAAGCAAGTCTGTTTATCAATTCCAATCGCTGCCATACAAATATTTAGTTCGTAAAAGAAAAAAAAAAAAAAAAAAAAAAATCATCCGCAGCTAGATCAAGGGCTTCCTTGCTCAAAATTGCCAACAACGCCGTTAGAGAGGAGGGGGAGCCTCGGAATCGAAAAAAAAAAGGCCGCCAGAATAAGTTGATAACATCAAAAAAGAGGGGAATCTGGTACATGCTCCGGCAGAAGGGCCTACAAAACAGACAATTCTTTCCCCAAAAACTCCAATATGCAAAGGAATGGATATACGAAAATACTGTAAGAAAACAGTCAAACACACCGCCGGGCCAACTGTCGGCCGTCTTTTTCATCTAGTACCCGAATCCGTCATGCTGGTGCACTGGACATCTTCCCGGGTGATTGACAAACCAGGCCGAAATACAAGATCGGTGAAATCTACAAAGACACTCGAGTCGTGCCATCGGAATGCCAACGGTGAACTCTTCTAAACAAATCGTGCACTCCGCGTCGTCGACACAGTCTTTCTCTGTTGCGGCATACGTATACATGCCGGTGCGCCGGGGGGGAGGAGGTGGTGTGGCGCTGTCTGCTGCTCCGCGAGGGCTGCCGTAGGTGCTATGAGATTGGATACATGTGGTAATATGTGACTCTCGTAAGGCTTCAAAATTGGGCAGTTCTCGAGATGGAAGCTCCAGGTGACAGATGGGGCACTCATCCTCCTCCGCAATCTGAGGAGGGGGAGGCAGCGCCCTCTGCCGAGATGACGAACCAGACTCTCCAGTCAAGCGTCGTCGATGAATGTGATGTTGGTTCTGCATGTTAAAGGGGGATGGTCCAGCGGCTAGCAGCCGATTCAGGGACGATACCTCATAATTGGCGCTGCTGCGCCTGCGTGAAGATGACGAGGATGAAGCACCTCCTGCTCTCTGTCCAGTTGGATCCTAAAAAAAAAAAAATTGAAGGTTAGATAAGTGTCTCATTTTAACAACAGAGCTACATATGTTGATGTGCATACCATTGTGATGCTCCTTGTCCTGGAGGTGTAGAATTGGTAAGGATCATTACTCTGACCAGCTGCAAACACTCCTCCGTATCGATTATTTACAGAAGGCGGGAGTGGATATCCGCTGCCCGTGCTATTCCGCGACCTGCGTCGTGCCGAACGTGGTGAAAGACCGGGAGAGCCGGGGCTTTGCGGAGGCGCCGTATTGGGATCAGGAACGCATGGGTTGCAGAGACGCACTCGCTCGCCCCCAGAGAGTCCATTCATGTCGACATAACCACCACCTGAGCTGTCAAAAAACAGTGCTGGAGGAAGCGGCACCTCAGAGCCGGGTGCCCGGACGATGAACTGATGCGGGATGATGATCCTGTGGGGGGAGCAGGAATTGCAAACGACTCTTCCGCATTTTCTGTGTCCATCATGTTAGTCATCCATACTTGTTCAGCGGTTCTTTGTCTCCTCCGTGAACAGTCTACATACCTGCAGTGGTGTTTGCGCACAAAGATGCTGAACTGAGTGCGACATATAGGACAGTAAGTCACTTCGCCATCGGGTTGCCACCTAGGAAGAACAACCGACGACTGGCGTTCGCGCTCACGTTCACGTTCAGACGATCTTGTCAACGAGTGCTGTAGAGCGTTCTCATTCGATATTCTATCCGTATCGACAGCATACATGGCAGATAGCTGGTCCCTTGCAGACATTCTGGGTGAGGTGCTCTCTGACGAATCCGGAGCTGGCACGCTGGTGGACATCGCTCCACTGGGTTGCTCAAAGAGCTCGCCCCAGCTTTCGCTGCTGGATGAACCGGCTGGCCGCAAGTCGATACTTCTGGAGGAAATGCGAGTTCTGATCGGTAGCGATGATGTTCTGGCGGGTAGAGCCGTAGGATCCGCTGCTGCCGTCCTCGTCGTGCTGCTCTCCTCTCTCTCAGCCGCCAGCCCAGATGATATCCCTGAGGAGGACGCCAAAGGATGCGCGACAAGAGTATCGTCACCCCGCCCCAGTTCAGCGGCCGTATTTTCTTCGTCTGTTCGTGGTAGAATTCTGTCGATCGAAATTCTGGGAGAAACGTGATCGTCTCGAATTTCGGTCGCTTCGGCAGCGCTTTCTCTTGGCTCGTCGGTGCCGTCTATAGAGAGCCGCCTCTCCACCAGGTGAGACGGACAGTCAAAGTATCGATAGCACTCTTGGTCGTGAAATTCGGACGTTCGCCAGCGACAAGTGAAATCTTGGCTGTTTCGTTCCTCATCGCTCGAATATGGCGAGTCAGGTGTCACACCCGCAGTGACACTCACCTCCCTTGCCTCACGGGGGGCGAGAGCGCTCGGTCCACCTTGCGGGCTGGCCATGCTGCAGCAGTTTAGACGACGACAGCAGTTCGAACAAAGACAAATGACGAGATGGAACGGTCGGCGACGCCGAATGTATCCGGGTTGGTCCTGATGGCCTCTGCTTCGTAGGAACGAGGGATAAAGCGTAGCGAAATAGAGTGCGGGCGGGAAGCTTATTGTTGATAATAGACCTCAAGCCCCCTCAAGCGCGAGACACTTTGAGCGATGATGCACCACAGTACCACGCCTCCTGAGAGGGTTCAAGTCATGTTCGGGTGATAAAGCCGCTATGAAGGAGACGCCGCGTCAGGGCAGCAGAGCGATCAAACAGAAAGGAAATGCATGGAATCACCACCTCGTCGAAGCCCCCTTGAATGTAGGTTGAGACACGCGATCACTTATCGCTCAAGCGGGTGAAGCTTATCGAGAGGGTGGCGCCAGCGCTTAGTCACCAGACCCAGCTGACTTTTTCTTGCAATGCTGGTTGGAGGATGCTTAATGCGAGGCTGGGAACTCAAACGACATGAAGCGTTCCATCGTTTTATTTGGTTGTCACTGCATGGTTTTTTGTACGTGGTAATCTTGCGGCGGTAATTAAAACTACCTGGGCAGTAGTATCATTAATATGATAGCAACACGTTGCAACTGCCGAGTACTACCTAGCTTAGTATCTCCTACTATCACTCTGTAGCGCCAGAGCTTTCTTGTTCTAAAAATAAAAAAGATTATGGCTCATCCTTTTGTACAAAAACGCCCATATACCCCGGAGGAATGATAGTTTGGCTGCTAGCTTTGCAAATGGGGTATCTCGCTTAGTCGACTCCTTAATCAGAACTGGGCCGCGAGCAACCTTGACGGCAATGATGATGATAACAATGTTCAATGTCCAATGATATTTACTCCCCCACTTCACGGTCGTTATTCCAGTGTATAAATGAAATGGCCCTCCATTGCCACGAGTGATGCCGAATTTGCTTTCCCCAGAAATACAAGGGGATCCACATAAGGAGGATTCCCCCCGCAATTCCCGCCATGGCTCCGAATGCGTCCTGATAACCAGAGAGGTCGACCCAGGGATTTGTTTCAAATGAGAGAAAGAAGGCGAACAGGGCTGGTCAATTTTAGTCACGGCAAATCCTTTGACACCAAATACGCGAGTAATGAATCAAACGTACCCTTGAATCCAGTGACTGCCAACGTGATCTCACCTGCAACTGGGCGGTAAGAATCAATGACATAAACTATGCAAATCGTACTGGACTGCGTGATAGAGAAGTTGACTGCATTTAATGAATTAGAGCTAAATTCGATTCATGATTCTTTGATGGGGGGATTCTCATACGGAGGCCGAGTCCTATGGTTGGACATATCCAGTGAAGTTGGTGCTGGATACCCACACCATAGAGAATCAGGGCAAGTGGCGCGGTGATTGCAGACACCATCACTGCTGGTAGTCGCATTTCAGGTTCTCGAATACCATTGTTTCGTTTTGTCAAGATTTCGGCAACCTTGTCCCCGAGGTGGCCACCCGCTGGCAGTCCGAAGAGAGAGCCGATGATGGCGGCGATATAGCAGAGCCCAACCTGGTAAGAAGCAAAGCCATATGTCTGGTTGAAAGCTGCAGCCGAGTTAGATGTAACCGCCACTAGGAACCCAATAGTTACTGCCAGAGAGAGAGCAGCCCATAACACTGGCGGAAGGATAATCAAGCCAAAAGGGCGAATCATCATTTTGAAGATGTTTTCGTTCGTACCAACAGCCTTGAACTTCAAAAGTGACTCAATGTAGCTCATTTTCTTCGTAGAAGCCTGTGTCTCTTCGCGTACAGTCGATGTTTGTTTCTCATCTGACGCGTCTGAAGAGGGCGAGTCATGGTGATCTGTCCGCGAATAGCTGGTTTCAGGTACAGTGAAAATAAGAAGAAGAAGGACAAAGCCAACCAAAGCGGTGCCGACTTGATAGATGGCTCGCCAAGTATGGTCTATTGTAATCAAACCAGATATTACCAGACCTCCAGCTGCTCCCACAGATAGAAAGCAGGTATACGCAGACATGACCCTGCCTCTTTCGTGCAGAAAGAAGATGTCAGCAATGGAGATGGGCGCCAGCGTCTCTGCCGCACCAGAACCAAAACCCATGAGAATTCTCCCTACCAGAAACCGGGTATAGGACTTTTCAAAGATAAGCCATATAGCCATGGCAAGGTAGATTATGTAGCTCAAGATATAGACTGGCCGGCGGCCCCATTTGTTGGCAGCAGGCACCCAGACGATGTTACCCATGCCTTGAAGCAGAGACGTAGTAGTGAAGAAGTACGCAACCTTTGGAATGGCTGAAGTAATTAGTGTGCCATTAGCCAAAGCATTTGGATAGAAATCCATGGCCGTGCCGGGCACCGCAATAGCTGGCCCAGCCGCCAGGAAGTTGCACACTGCCATAGTCAGGCAGAGAACGCCGGCGACATAGTACTTGCGCCATGTCGACCTAATATGTACATGTACATGCGTGAGTTAAGAGAAGAAGCAAATAATACTACTATTCCAAGGAAAAGACGCAGTGTGCAATTACATACCAGTTTAACGGATCGTTAGGGTCGGAGGATGGCGTGGGGACCAAAATCACGGCATTCGTTTCTTGGTCGATAAGTCGCAGATTGCCGAGCGTTCGTTTACGGCTCTTCTCTTTGATATACTCCACGGCCTGCGGATCAAGTGCCGGGGCAATGGCATCGTCTTGAAAGGTCATGGTTGAACGCACGAGGAGTGGCACGAGTTGGCCACAGAGAAGATTGAAAGCAGATTGAACCCGCGCTCACAAACTTGGCATCGTTCAGGACCTGTCCATAAGCTTTCTATTCTTTTCTGGAAAGATGCACTCTCAGACGATGAGTGCCGTGGGCATGTTGAGCGGATAGGTATGGGTGGGCGGCCGTAGAGTCAGCCCGGGCAGGCACAACGACAGGACAGGCTCTACAGCCTCAGGGGGGCTGCGGACCGCTGATTACATGTAATAATGCAATATCAAGGGGAACAGGGAGGGAGGCCCACAGCAGGCGATGGCAGATGCGCGGCGCTTGGAGGAGTGAGGGTTAAGCTGAGACATGCAGTTAATGGCTGCCCTACTGCATTTTATAGGCATTTGACCTGGCAACAGGCGTCTATTCTTGGTCACCAAGACAAGAATAAAAAACGCACACACACACACACACACACAAAAAAAAAATAAAAAAATAAAAATAAACTGAATATTCAGACTTTCAACAAACATCTCAAATATCTCTTACCGGGTTTGAGGGTCCAGCGAGGCTTGCCGTGGCGCCAGGCCTAGCAATCCGATAGCGCTGCCACGAGAAGGGTGGCGGGGAGAGTAGGATTGGGAATGGAGCTCGCTGCACTCAGTTTAGAGCGCAATGCCCCAGCAGGACTAATGCCGGCACCAATATGGCGTTGCCCCAGTATGGATAGCGCAAAGCCCTAACTCGTAGGTAGGCTTGGTAGGTCCCAGGGGACCACGAGGAATGCTAGGCGACAACGTGCGCGTTCACAGTTCACAAGCGGTAAAGATGCTGGGCGCATTATTGGCAAGACCGTTTCAGCATCCCTGCGCCTGCAGCGGTTACTCAGCCCACAGTATGGAGTATTCCGTCTATGAGATGCCAACGGTGCTGTCCTGTCTGATAGGTAGTTCGTGCCATTGAAGATACTGCCGCATCGGGTGCCAGGTAATATCGACATGCGTATACCTATCTGCTCCGTATCCTCATGTGCCAGAAATGTGAGATCAACAGCTCCCGGAGCTAAACAGCGCTGATGAGCACCAGGAAGTTTTCTCAATCTGTAGATTGAATAGCCCACCGCGTCACTTCAAATCTTGTGCTACCTGTCAACTCAAGGGGGAGCCACATGGCCGCAACCAATTACTCGGTATTCCAATGGACATAGTAATTACAGCTGCAACAACGACTAGCTAGCGTGTGCAGGGTCGACAACGCCAACGCTAATATAACCATATCAACGGATATCTCCCGAGATTTTATACTTCCATGGCTTAGGCTTAGCATCTGCCTCTGCCATAGGTACTGTGCAGGCTGTAGCAGCACTTGGAGCAGTAATAGCACTGAAAGGACTACAGATGGAAGTATTTTCCTTTCCTTCTCCTTTTGCATGCAGTTTAACCGCATCCTAACCGGCTCGCGAGTGGCAATGTTCAAGAACCCACTATGCGCCAAGCAGACTACCATTCTCTAGATAAAATAGCATCTGCGTTGCATCGCAGCACTCTGGTTAAGCTTTGATCCAAGGCCTCGCCGACAGAGTTTTCGCAGCAATAGTGATAGACTCTCTACCTAAAACGCTCCTGCTGAGGACCGGCTCTATGCTAAAGACGCCAATAAAGCGCCTCCCACGAGCAGCAGTGCTTTCCGGCCGCCACGGAGGAGCTGCTCCTTTAAGGAAGATGCAGTTGAAGAAAATATTCTGGTTGGCTAAAATGATTATTTCTGCTGCGCCGTAATGCCGCGCAAGGGCCGGCGGCACCCCGGATCGCCCCCACACACGCAGTCTGCATCTCGTTCATCTCCAGAGCCAACTAACTGTCTACTCGACAGAGGGAGGACTCAGCTGTGTCTTCAGCCCTGGCTTCAAAGCTCGTGGCACGCGTCCTCAGAGCTACTGTACTGGAGCCTGACCAAAAAAGAATATCTCCGATAGCCCACCGGGGGGCCCGAGCCGCTCGTTTGCTCTGGGGTTTCGCCATTGGCTGCCGGTGCGGGAGGTGCTGGAGGCGCTGAGACTTGCTGTACCGGCAAATATACCAACTACTAGGGAGCTTCCATAGTACCGCTAGCCATTACGCGTAATCGCCAACTCGTCGATGTTTCGCCAACTACATCCCCCCTAAACGGCACCCGAATCATCGACATTGACCGCGCAAGCCACGCTGCCGCGATTCGCTAAGCTAGACCCCAGCATGCCAAGCTGGCTTGCGCACAACTGCGCGCGCCGAATCTACTCGCGACGTCTCGGGCGTCAAAGTGTCCAAGGTTACGTGCAAGCAGCGCCACCTGCGGCTCGGTAGCTGCGATCGGCTCAGCTCATGTGTTGAGAGGGAGCACTTTGGGCGCTGCTGCTACTGCTGTGCAACTTGACTACATGCACTGCACACCACCGGCCTCAATCCACTAACATCAATCACGACAAGTCCTCAGCCTTACCGGCAACAGCGTTGCCATTGCCGGCCCCTCTCATCCGGGGGCCTCTAGTCTAGCTGTCGTAACCTCAGCTCGAGGAGGCGCCTTTGCCCAATCGCCTTGAGGCTGTCCTCCAACGGCCTTGATGTGTTGTTAAACCCTGCCAAGCCAGAGAAACAGGTGGATTCGGGGCCTCCGCCAGCTCCGTAGCCTGGCTATATACGTAATGCTATCGCATATTCTCGATCCTATGGGCCCGGGCAGCGATCCTCGGCCGCTGTCCGCGCCTGAATCTCTGCCTCTGTCCGGGTCTCTACCTGCATCTCTACCTGTGCCTGTGCCCGTCTCCGAGACTTTTCCGACGACGGAGCAACAGGCCGTGAGTTCTGATGTTATCGCTACAAGTATAGCAGGCCCTGCGCTGTCGAATCCGACGGCCCAAAGTCGCATCACCATGCAGGCTGTACCGTCGTCAACCACGCCTGGTCCTCCTTCAGCTTCTCCTGGGACGGATATCACTGCCGGCACTGCTACCTCGGCTTCAGATACGACCACCGACGTCTTCGCTAGCAGTGCTACCGGCGAAGCTCCAGTGCCAGCACCCCACCAGAGCCATCAGAACAGCAATCCTTATGCTTGCCGCGACTGTGGGCGCTCATACTCACGGCCGGAGCACCTTGTTAGACATGTCCAGACGCACACCTTGGGCCGGCGCTTTGCTTGCGAAATCTGTAAAAAGTCCTTTGCGCGGAAGGATCTTTTGAGGAGGCACGTTGCCAATCATGAGAACGACTCGCCCAAGAAGCGTCAACGACTGGTTTCAGCTCCCAACTCCAGCCGCGTCACCCAGGCCTGCCGCCCTTGCGCCGCTGCTCGAGTCAAATGCGACGAAACGAAACCGTGCAGACGCTGCGTCAGCCGCAACTTGGCATGTTCGTCTTTCGAGACCAGCCCAGGTTCTTCTACGAACCTTGTTCACCTTCCCGCGAGCGGGCAGGACACTACTGCACAAAATCAGCCAAATAGCGGCCCCTATATAGGATCTGCAGATTCGAATTCTACGCTCCAGAATACCCCTATGAACTTTATCCGCGATAACATAACCAGCAAGAGCAGCCCTCTGTCGCAAACCAACTCATCAAGGCAAGATGACAGCCAGCTGACAACTCCCGACACTGGGGTGGAGTCAGGTAAGTCTTGCGATTAGCTTTGGGGGGGCAGGCTTTGAATTATTCACCACATTAGGGGCCAAAGACTGACGGTGTCCTCATTGGATAGGCCATACTCTTAGCATAGCTCACCCAAATAACTCGACGAAAGCTGGCCCTATGGAATTTAGTAACATTCCCTTCTTCGATTTCCTGCGCGATGTCCTGTATCAACAGCCATTAGATCTGCCGCGGCCAACCGAATCTCAAGGTCCAGCCGTGTTGGATTTCTGCGACGACATGGACATGGATCTTACCGATATGGACTTTGGCCTTCTGGACCACTGGAATCTAGATTTAGAGGATGGCGGTGCTCTGATAACACCTACCTTGGCGGGTCAAAACCCTCAAAACTCGGCTGAAATGTCCCGGATGCGACAGAATCTTGCCAACGTCTGGGGAGAATTGCCCTGGAAGTGGGAGCCGACTGCTAAGGATAGTGGCTATACAGAGCAGGGCAACCTGCCCATTTCCGCCAAGGACCTTTCTAATGCGCAGTTTCAAGAAATCAAGAAGAATCTCGAGCGGGTTGTAGACCAGAAGTTGAATCTTTCCAGCCGCGATCAGATCCTGGCCATTATATTAAAGACTTGCCGAGATGCTTCGACGGCTGGCCGGGTGTCCGCCTCATTTCCAACAGTGGACGTGATGGACACAATGATGCAAGTTTTCCTAGCCGCCCATATCCGACAGGTATCGACGTGGATACACTTTCCTACCCTCAAACTAAATTCATTATGGCCCGAATGGGTTGGAAACGCCGTGGCTGCTGGCGCTGTGCTGATGCCGACCCCGACGTTACGCAAGTTTGGATTTGCTATCCAAGAGGCAGTTCGTAAGTAAAATACATGCGAGAAAATAAGTAGGTTGTTGGAACGGCCGTGTGCTTACATCAAAATCCGCCAGGCATTACCATACCTGCAAGAGTAAGATTCAAAGACCTGACCAGCATATCCATATCCACCCCAAGGTTAATGAGTTTTGCGTCTAACTCACGTCACAGTTTGAGGATAATAACACCGCTATCCAAAATCTCAGTTTGGTTCAAGCGCTCATTTTGGGGCAAGACGTTGGTTTATGGAGCGGTAACCGCAGAAAGATGGAGATCGCCGAGTGCCATTTGGTGATTCCTGTGACGGTATGGCGGGGAGAATATCAATTGCAAATTATACATGATGCACAAGTACTGAATGATTTTAGATGATGAGATATCGACGACTGTTCCAGCGGCACATGTATCCTACTATTGTGGTCGATCCCTCGGACGAGGGTGAAACATTAGAACTAAAGTGGACGAAGTGGGCAGCTGCGGAGCAATGGAAGAGGTCAGTTTGTGGTGGTTTCTGTTCTCCGCCAGCCTGTCACTAACGTTAAAGGGAGAAAAGGCTGGTATTCCACTGTTACATCCGAGAGGCCCAGTTATCCATGACAGCATTGACAAACCCCTGCATGTCATATTCTGAGTTGACACTACCACTGCCAGAACGGAAGGAGTTGTGGCTCGCAAAGTCGGCATCTGAGTGGAAGACACTTTATTTATCGGGAACGGCTAGACAACAGAATTCAAAGTTGCCGTCAATCGCTGATGCGTACAGAGATGTACGCCAACTTGCCGAAAACTCTGCACGAATTGACATGCAGTTATCTGTGTCAATCTTTCTCCACGGCTTTTGGTCAATGATTTTCGAATACTCTCAACTAAGCGTGGTGCATCAGTTCCGTAGCTACAGCAAAGAACGGCCCAACCCCTTGCTTAACTCCAGGCGCCAGGAGCTTATAAGAGAACTGCAGTCGTTTCAGTTCGCTTCTTCAGATTTACAAGACATCACCCCTCAAGAACACGTCATTCTCAACCTTCTCATGATGCACCTTTACGTGTCTCTAGACGACCTACAGATATTCTCGGGCAAACAAGGAGAAGAAGAGGCCCGCCGTATGTACCCCATTTTGCAACAGTGGACAGCTAGCCCTGAGTCTTGGTGCGCAATTTGGTGCGCGGGACAGATTTTACGGTATGCCAAGATGTTTGCTCTCGGCCAGCTGAAGGATTTCTACGCTATAGCAGTCCACCATGCCGCACTTGCTCTGTGGACGTATGGTGTTGTGGCTCGAGCCAGCCAGCAGCAAGATATGGCATCGCAGTATGGATATGAGCCCATGTACCTGGACGAGGGTGATAATGCCACATCGATTCAGCATTTCTTGAGCTTTGGGCAAGGGAGGCCCCTTATCCAGGGGCCCACGGGGCCAAGCTCGGGAGCGGCACCCGGCGATGCATCTGTTTATGACCCTCGTGCATGCATGGATATTGCGCAAGAGATTTTGCAGACGAATTTTAGAAGACCCCAAGACGCCTTGCCGCCTCTCGTGGAGAACCTCTGCCAGCTAATCAAACAGCTTGGAAACGCGGCTTGGGCAGTCGGCTTGGGGTAGCCATTTCAAAAAAAAAAAAAAAAACCATAAGAATTTTCCATGCGTCTATAGACCATGTCACTGATCACTGGACGGAGTTTGCGTTTTTAATGTATATATTTATTTTCTCTGATTTGTCCTTCTATTTCTTTCTTCTTTGGCTATTGGCGGGGATAACGCATCATGATATGATACCCGAGAATGGGATGTTAGTGTACGACGGAGACGAGTGCGCTGTGTATACGATGTGGATTGCATTGGATCGATGGGCAGGCGTATGCAACCTTTTACATACGTAAATATATATTCATACATGTATTTTATCTACAGGTATGTAGTATAGATATGGACTACTACATCGCTTGAAACAGATCTGGCTGGCGAGTGTCAGATTGATTGGACACCAGACTAACTGGGAGAGCCACGTGCGTTAGATTGACACGCCAATTCTCTGCTTAAAGCCCGGCACTGCTATTATTATCCCGGAGCTAATTACTGTATACATGTAAACGGCAAACAGGTGTCTCCACTACTAGGCTATAATGGAAATGAATAGATGCATTTGCGCAGTGATAAGACAAGTGAGGCTGAGTGAGATTGGTCATCTCTGCCTGCTCCTTCGAACTGCTAATCTGTCCTATAATCCACACTATACCGTCCTGGCGCCGCATTTAATCTTTCTAATACCTTTTTTACCTTTGCTTACCTTTCTTGACTGCGCGGAACAGAGGGCTGGGCGATAGAGTTTCGCTGTCGCTCGCTACCCGCGGCCCGTCTCCCACAGCCCAGCTTGCTCATCTCTCTTCTCGCCTGTCTGTTCACCTCTTGTAACAATCGGAGGCAAATATCGCAGCAAAGACACTGTACTTCTCTCGAATCTCCTGCTGTCCATCACTGCTCCATCTACCGTGATATCTCTTCTCCCTCCCTTATCCTCTCATCTCTCACCGTCACAGCTATAAAACCGCCACAAGACAGAATCCCCCGCCAGCTACGACCGACCCACGGTGCATCATCACCATCTCCATCCACTCACGCCCATGTTAGAAAAATCCACTCAGCCTTGCTGAATAGCCATCTTCCCATCTTTCCATCTCCCATCTCGCCCCCCCTTTTTTTTTCCTCCCGGGGGGCCATGGACTCCACCTCCGCAGCCGGCAGCTTCTTCCGCTGGCCGTCGCCCCTACCGCAAACCGCCGTCGCGGTCACGGCCACGGCCGTAGCCACGGCGACGCTGCTGCTGTTTGCCAGGTCGGCGCTGCGGCCGCGGTGGGGCAAGGCGCTGCCGAACCCGCTCAAGACGACGATTCCGAGGCTGCCGAGGGACGAGGTCGAGGGCCTGGTCTATCAGCCGGACGCCTTTCCGGGGGCGAGGGACGTTGATACGCCGGTGAGTTTTGGCTTGGCTTCTTCTCTTTCTTCTTCTTCTCCTCTTGATTTTCGTGTTCTGAGAGAGGGCGGTAAGTGTGGATGAGATGAGATGAGATGAGAAGCGTGAATGATGAAAAGTAAAGCATTGCCAAGCTAAATGTTATCCCAGTATGGATCCATCCGCGTCTATGAATTCGGCCCCGAAGATGGCGAAAAGGTCCTGCTCGTCCATGGCATCAGCACTCCCTGTATAACCCTGGCTCTAATCGCCCACGGCCTCGTTAAACGCGGATGTCGGGTAATGCTTTTTGTAAGAAGTCTTTCCACCCGGGGTCGTCCACCCGGGGTCGAGCGAGCAAGCACCCTCCCCCCAGACTAATAACAACTATATAGGATCTCTTTGGCCGAGGTTTCTCAGACGGCGTCGGTGATCTCCCTCATGATGAGCGCCTTTACACCACGCAGATGCTTCTCGTGCTCGCCTCAAGCCCTCTTGCTTGGACTGGAAATGATGCTTTCCGCCTTGTTGGATATTCCCTCGGCGGAGGCATCGCCGTTCACTTTGCCACCACGTTTCCTCATCTCGTCTCGTCGCTGGTTCTGCTCGCCCCTGCTGGTCTCATCAACGCCGATGACTTTGGCGCCATTTCGTTGTTCATCTTCAAGTCCGGCTTCGTGCCGGAGAGGATCCTCGCCTACTTGACCCGAATTCGCCTGCAGCAACCCATCGCGGCCTCCCGAAGGGCCAAAGACGTCTCACCGTCCGCAGCAGCCGCCGACATCGCCGTCGCAGAGGCTACCGGCACCAGTGAGACGCAGAAAACTGACGGTTCCTCCATTCCCCTTGAGCAGCATGTGCTCATGTACGTCCGATGGATGGCCCTTCACCACACCGGCTTCATCCCTGCGTTCATGTCCGCGATTCGGTACTCGCCCTTGACGGACCAGCATGATAGCTGGAGGCTCCTTGCGCGCCGAAAGCCAGGCTCGACGATGGTCCTGTTGGCGCAGAACGATGAGATTATCGACGTGAATGGTTACGAGCACGAGGGTCTTCCTCTCTTGGGCGGCAAGGACAATGTGGTTTGGAGGGTTCTTCCCGGCACGCACGATTTTGTGATGACGCATCCGGAGAGCATCCTCAGGGAGATGGATGAGTTGTGGAAATAGATATGCTGCTGGATGTAGCAGAAGCTAAATGCTGGTATTTCTGGTTTTTCGTTTCGGAGACATCAACAATCAATACATTTAGCGAGAGAGCGAAGCAACTTAAAGCTATCTTTAGTCCCAAGCTGCGGTCATGTATTAGGCTCAGAGAAGAGAATTTTATATCATTTTGCTCGATGGAGTTGCGATACTAGATCGTTCTGATACTGATCCAGTCGAATTTACAGATCCAGTTGGATTAAATAAATATATATAGATATAACAAGCAGAAAATCGCCTCATAAATTTAACAAAGCGCCAATGTTGCGCCCAAGATGAGATGGTCAGTGATTTATGCGTAGCTCATAAGCCAGATTGTGTTCTTCCATGTAGGATTACCTGTCCAAAGCTTGACTTTGACACTATTTTTTTTTAATCAAATGCGTTAGTAACGACTCATAAATGAACAAAGAAAAAGTGTTCCGAAAAGGATATCAAAAACTTACCATATTCCAATAAACTCCCTTCTTCTTCAACAGTTCCATGTGACTGCCCTGCTCAAGAAGTTGTCCCTCACCAAGCACGAAAATAACATCGGCATTCTGCACCGTCGCCAGCCGATGAGCAACGACAACCATGGTCCGCCCCTCGCTGGCGCGTTCAAACGCCGCCTGTACGAGCTTCTCGCTCTCCGAGTCAAGAGAGCTTGTGGCCTCGTCAAGGAGCAAGATGTTCGGATTGCGGATCAGAGCGCGGGCAATGGCAACACGTTGCTTTTGGCCTCCTGACAGGGAAACGCCGCGAGAGCCAATGTTCGTGTTGTAGCCTTCGGGGAGGGAGACGATGAAGTCGTGGATGGAGGCGTCGCGGCAGGCTTGGTGGATTTGTTCGTCGGTGACGGTGGCGTCGTCGACGCCGAGGATGATGTTGTCTCTGAGAGTGCCTATGGTTACATGGAAAAAATTAGCTCTGTGGATATAAATATGATTCTCGGCCCCAAGATGGAAGATATGAACCTTGAAATAGAGTTGGTTCTTGTGCTACGAGCGAAAGGTGCTTGCGGTAGTCGAAAACGTTGACATCAGCAATATCCTGGCCGTTGCAGAGAATGCGGCCTTTGTCGAGATCGTAGAATCTATTCATTTTCAATTATTAGTCCTTCAGCTAGAAATATCAACGTACCATTCGACTAACCGTTCAAGAAGTGAAATAATGCTCGTCTTGCCACACCCAGAGGATCCCACAAGAGCCGCAAACTGGCCCTTTTCAATCGTCAAATTCAGCCCGCGGAAGACAGGCATGTCTCGAGTTGGATACTTGAAATGCACGTCTTTGAGCTCAATCTTGACACCTCCTTCTACATCTGGGATCTCCCTTCCTCCAGAGCTCTTGTCTCGGAACATTGTCTCCCTCGTGTTCAAGATACGGTTCGAAGCCTCCGTCACTTGTGCCGCGTTAGGGCCAAAGCTGAAACTCTGACCGGCAGACTGCGAGGCGTTCATGATGGCCATGAAGCAGACAAAGTAGTTCTCGGGCATGTACTCTCCGCTGGCCAAGAGGCGGCTTCCGTAGTAGAAAATAAGCGCTTGGCAGGCCAATGTGCAGCTGTCGGCGAATCCAAAGAGAAAGCTGGCGAAGCGGGCTTTTTTGAACGCTGTCTTAACATGGCCATCACATAGTGTTTTGAAACGATCCGTGATGGGAGTTTCCAGAGTTAACGACGTGACAGTTCTGAAAGCACCAATCGATTCGGAAGCAAACTTGGAGCTTTCGGCGAAAACTTCGTTGTTCATCTTTTCGAATTGCAACTCATACCTAAAGCGCCAGTACGACGAGGCAAGAAGAATAGGCATGACAACAGCGGTACCGACCAAGGCTAGTTTCCAGCCGAAGTAGAAGGAGATTATGATTGATCCAGTGAGGTTGAAGAGTGCAATATAGACACTGGCCATATTCGCACCCATAAGCTCCTCGAGCCGCTGAGGATCTCCTGCGGCGCGAGCTGTCATGGTGCCATGAGAGTGGTCCTCGTCATCAAAATACGAAGTCTTTTGATAAAGGATGGCCTCGAAATACTGCTGCTGATACTTGGCTCGAATGATTGACGCCATTCGAGTGGAAGCAAAAAAGGCTCCAAAGTAAGAGACACCAACACCGATGGCCAGCACAAACCACATCAAGGACCAAAACTGGCTTTCATGAAGCAGCTTTTGACCCGAAAATTCGAATACCACAATGAGCTTTGCAAAGAGCCAGGCTTGCAGCGGAGTTGCTGCGCCGGCACAGGCCGTGAAAATTAATGTCAAAAACATCAGGTACCAGTAGTCTTTGGTCTCATAAAAGAGACGGCCGAAACTGCTGAATATGTTCCGCTGTTTCTCGGTGCTGTTATCGGTTTGAGCTTTGGCCTCGGAAAGAGCCTGGCTCTTCTCGCGAGTCAGATTATCGTCGCTATCCCTCGAGTCATCGTTTTCCTCGGGCTGGGATGAATTTCCTAGTGAGAGTGCCTGAGCTTGGACGAGACCAGCATAGACGCCGCCTTCCAAGGCAATAAGACTCTCGTGGTTGCCCTGCTCTGCGACCTTTCCCTTCTTAATAACAATGATTCGATCGGCCTTCTTGATAGTAGACAGACGGTGAGCTATGGTGATTGTTGTCCGATTCTGCGCCACGCGGTCGAGAGCAGCCTGGACAATGCGTTCTCCTCGGACATCTATCGCGCTCGTCGCTTCGTCTAGAATAAGAATCTTCGGCTTTCGGACGATGGACCGAGCGATGGCAATACGTTGGCGCTGGCCGCCGGAGAGTTTGGCACCACTGTCGCCAACTAAGGTGTCGTAGCCCTACAATATATTCATCATCATTAGCAACGGTAATTAGAAAGAGCGAAAACTACAGACACGAGAAAGACAAGGTGGGCAAAGACTCCGTGAGTAACGAACCTGTGGAAGCTTGTCAACGAATTCATCAGCAAACGCTTCAATGCACGCTTCCTTGACCAGTTTTCTCTTTACTTCCTCCGGCTCGTTCTCCCACTGCGTGCCGATTAGACCATTCGCCACGTTTTTGTATATCGAATCGTTGAATAAAAAGGGTTCCTGCTGGACCAGTCCAATCTGGGACCTCCACCACTTCAAATTGATGTCATCCAGAGCATGACCGCACGTTGTAAGTTTCCCGCTGAGCTTCACTGGTGGGCCGGTGTCTTCTGCTTTCGAGGTGTCAAGTTCATCTTCTTCAGCCTCACTCGACTTCTTCTTCTTCTTCTTCTTCTTCTTTTCCGGTTCCACGGCCTCTTCGATAACGTATTGATGCTTAAGTGAATACCATCTTTCTATCAATCCGACAATGGTACTCTTTCCCGAACCCGATGGACCGACAATAGCGTTAATTTTGCCTGCCTCAATGCGGAGATCCAGCTCGTCTAAAATTTTGACATGGGGACGGCTCGGATAAGCAAAAGTGACTTTTTCGAATACAATGTCGTCCGTGGCAGAAACCTCAGGATCTGTAAGATGGCCCTGCTCTGGCTGAGGCGCGTCTATGACTGTAAAAAACTGGCAGGCTGCAACTGTTGCTTTACTAACAGCTAAAAGGGGGGTGGTAGTTCGTTCCAGCGAGAAGACGACATTCATGACAGACATTAAAACGCTTTACAACTTAGTACCACATCAATATGCACACCTCAGAAGGAAAAACTCACATAACAATCGTTCCAACGTTATCAATACGTCCCTCGGCCACAGACCTAGTTCCATACCAGAATGCGAGCGCAAAGGCCGAGAAAACGCTGAAGAACTGTGCCATTGTTAAAGACGCTCTCTGTTGTTTTTATACAAAAGAATAGATGCTACCTACAATCAATCCAAATTGCAGAGAAAGAAATGGAGATGTGTGTTGGGCATGCATCTTGGCTTCCTCGACAGATAATCCATACTTCTTAGACATACGGCTCTCCGCGCCGCACGCTGAAATCATGCGAATACTAGCAAAGGTCTCACTCGCAACAGCAGAGGACTTTGCTTCGGCCTAGCAAGGATGTGAGTCCGGTTTTGATGTCTACATACCCATGAATAAAATGGCATTGCCTACCTGTGTCACTCGTCCGTGGCCTTTGACAATGATGGGCATCAATACAGAGACAGAGAGTCCAATGAAGAGGATCGTTGAAGACGTAACCAGCGTGAGAGCCCAGTTTCGGGTAAACGCAATGATGATGGAAGCCACAATTGTTGCGTTGTATTCAAAGAAGACACCGAGCTTTTCCGAAATGCCAAGCTGTAGAACGTTGCTGGTCGAGGTGATTGTTGTTGTCGCGTAGCCTGGCGGCATCGAGTCCAGAACATGGATGCTCTGGCCTAGCAGTGCTGTCAGGTAATGCAATCGAATCGCCGAAGATATCCTAATTCCGATCATTCGAAAAGCAAACTATCGCACAGCGTATATCTCTTAGCCACCAAAGCATTCATAAGGAGCAGGCATTATATAGATGAGGATGCCACAGGGTCCGTAAACCGCGAGAGGATTTTCGCACCTTGTTGATATAGTTGAGTCCCAATCGGCCGAGAAAAAGAGCAAACATGTAGAGACTAGTAATACGCCTAAGTAATTTTGTGATGGAAAATAAAGCTGGATAATGGTTACTGACGACAACTGATTTGCTCTTCGGTGGAAAGCCTCCTCGTTTTGGCTGGAGGGATCGGTGAAGTCGGTTATGCTGCCGACGAAATTACCTAGAACAACACCGTAAACTTTATGCACAAACGAAGGAGTATGTGATGACAAAAATAGGTGTTAGAAATGCAGATTAGAGAAGCCATACCAAATACTACGTTCATCAACGGCAAAGTGACACCGGCACCGATGGAAGCCAAGATGCCCGCCGCGTATGCAAAGAAGTCCCATTTCGTCGCATATTGGAAGACTCGCTAAGAAGAGTTGATGTTGATTAGCACTTTCGGGTTTCTTTTTCTTTTTTTTTCTCCCTCTTTTTGACGTATTTATTTCAAAAGACGCACCAAATAATCTTTGAAAGATGCTAATCTCTGAGGCCGAGCCTTTGGCTGCTCTTGCGCCGGCTCAGAAGCGTTGCCATCGTCAACAGAGGCCGATGCCTTTTCATCCACAGGATAGCCCGACAGCTCGACGTCGATCTCTCCCATCTCGAAGCGGTGAAGGATTTGCGTCCAATACTGATGGAAAATCAGACACCGAGCCTTGAACGAGTGTTAAAGAAAGACGAGGTCGATGGAGGCGAGCTGAAGGGCCGCTGAGGGTGTGCGCCGCAATGCATAAGTACCAGTACTAATAAATGCCTGGTTGGCTGATTGTCGTCATGAACCGATGGATACGGCTTCCTAGGCCGGCCTAGTCCCCAGCGCGCGGTCCCGGGAACTCACCGCGAGTTTAAGCCCCTGAAGCCTTTTTTTAGGATGCGGAAAATTAATTAGGTAGATTCAAAACGTGGAAGCGATCAATACGCAAACAGCGAATCGCAGTGGATACTGATTGTGATGTAGGGCGGTAGTGGCATATACAAGTAGGTACCTGTTAGAGAGCTAAAAGAGAGGCAGCCGATCCAGGTGGTGGTGAGTTCTGCTGCTGCTTGAAACGTACTATTGACAGCATATACTACTACTTCTAGTCCCCTGCTTAGATGCCTAAGACGAATCCATCAGTCATTAAAGTCACCAATGCTTCTAGACCTGCTGCTGCTCCATTTATCTGCAGAGGGAGGGGCCAAAATAGCAATTCCAGTCATCCCTCGAGAGCTCTTTTATCACGAAGAGTAAGTACTTAGATTCACGGGTGCCGGATCATTAGTAAGTACATGTAGGCAGGCAATACGAGCACCTGTACTCCGTAGATAGATGCTGTATCAGCTCGCCTGAACTACGATGCTGAGCGTCGCTAAAACTTCGATGGCATACCTTAATTTCCCGTAATAGCACTGCCTAGCTCTTTGCAATCTGGCTTCAACTGCGCATATCCAAGAACAAATCTTTCCCCCGTGCCTCAATCGTGTACATCTCGAAGCGATGCGAGCACCATCAACATGAAACTTTCACTCGGGACCACATCAAATCCCGATATTAGCACGCAGGCAATGCTGGGGTAGGCCAATCATGGTGCAGCCGCATACGTGTACAGCCCTCTGAGTCCAGTTATGTGCGAGTAATAGTAATAGGCAGCAGATTCGACTCTGGCTTGAACCAATTGCGCTAGGGCCAGGTGGCGCCGTATTGTTCGGCTTGCAAGGATGGACGACAATATGGCCGCTAAGACGGAGCATGGAGTACTGCTAGCTGAATTAAACGTATAGAGTAGAAGGCAAAAGACAGCGTGTTCTGTCTCAATAGTGGCATCGTTTGATCTGGGCCACGACACTGTCGGGAAGTTGATATAGCCCGAAAAGCCGTCTGCAGAGGGAGGATTTCCAGCACATGGCGGTCCGCCGCTCGAGAGGCAACGGTGCCCGACTAACTGTGTGTCTCGTGGAAGCGGCACATATAACCCAATCTGAAAAGCTTACGGAGTAGATGATCTGATGTCAACCATCTATGCATACATGTGCGTTTCGTATTGCGAGTCACGCATCATCCATGCACTCGTCATGCTGCTCGAAGCGAATGCTCATTACGGTCTTGAAGGGAAATCTGGCGTTTTTGGACATCGGCGAGTTACGCGGCATCAAACAAAGTGACTATCAACGAGGCGACGGCTATGCACTAGTTGGATGATTCTTCCCCTATTGGACTACTACCCTGAATAGGTATCTGTATGGATTACATGGTGCCAGCCCAGAAAGCTGCGCTCGGGCTGACCATTTCCGCTACGCAGCCACTACTAAATAGTAAAGTGTAAACTATGACTTACATGGCACACAGGGCGAGATGGATGCGGAGAGAGCCCGCCTAGCATGTGCTTGATAACGACCAAACTCTTTTATCATTCTTGATCTTGGCCTTTTTTTTTTTTTTTAAACTCCGTTTTTTCAGTCGAATATATATTATAACCCTGCCTTCACACCGCAAATATTTACAAAATTTCAACCAACCAATTGCATCCAATGCAGCATGCGAAACATGACGAGCATCGTATCATACATTCCGTCCAACCAGCAGCAGACTGCACGCTTATTGGAACCGACTTCTAGTATAAGTGACTTGTTCTGCTTGCTGTATGCCTTATCGATAAAAAAAAATCTGCCCCGCCTGTCGGTCGAGTCACCACCCAAATTGGCGGGGCTGACTTTTGTGTGACCCATACAAACGGCGCCGATGACTCCTGCCACAACTTCAAGCCTATTTTTTTCCCTTCCACCCCTCGGATGAAGATAGTTTTGGCTACATTTAGGTCTCTTCGACCATATCGGCCATTGTCGCAATTGCACAGACTTCGACTTGCGACCCCTATCCCGCGTACTCTATCTTCGTTCCACTCACAGGCGCCAACCGTCGACATGGCTCCCAAAACTAAATTCGAGCTAAAAACTGCCAAGGGCACAAAAGATTGTAAGTTGTGATTCTCGAATCGCGGAATCGCGAACGTAGCAAAAACTCGAAGCTTACTCACCCCACGGGAGTGGCAAGGACATGGTCATCCGAGACAAGATCTTCAGCACCATCACCGAAGTCTTCAAGCGCCACGGCGGAGTTACCATCGACACACCTGTATTTGAGCTCAAGGAGATCCTCGCTGGTAAATATGGTGAGGATAGCAAGCTCATCTACGACCTTGCCGACCAAGGCGGCGAGATCTGCTCGCTGAGATATGACCTGACGGTCCCATTCGCCCGTTTCCTGGCCATGAACAAGGACATCCAGAACATCAAGCGCTACCACATCGCCAAGGTCTATCGCCGAGATCAGCCCGCCATGACCAAGGGTAGAATGCGAGAGTTTTACCAGTGCGATTTCGATATTGCTGGCACCTATGACTCTATGTTGCCCGATGCCGAAGTCATCCGCATCATCACCGAAGTCTTTGAAGGCCTGGGATGGAACGGCGCATATACTATCAAGCTCAACCACCGCAAGATTCTAGATGGTATCTTCCAGGTCTGCGGAGTCCCCGAAGACAAGATTAGAACCATCTCCTCTGCAGTTGACAAGCTTGACAAGCTGCCATGGGCGGATGTCCGGAAAGAGATGACTGAAGAGAAGGGCCTCGATGGGAAGATTGCAGACCGTATTGGAGAGTGGGTTGTTTTGAGGGGACGCCACGAATTGCTCGAGAAGCTGCGCAGCGATGAGAAGCTTTCAGCAAACGAATCCATGAAGCAGGGCATTGCCGATGTTACTCTCCTTTTCGAGTATCTCGAGGCCTTTGGCGCACTTGATAAGGTATCATTTGATCTTGGCCTGGCCCGTGGCTTGGACTACTACACTGGCTTGATTTATGAAGTTGTCACCGAAGGTTCTGCTCCTGAGGCAACACCAGGATCAGAAGCCGCCGCCGCAAAGCCATCCAAGAAGAAGTCAAAGAGCAACGGAGAGGACGATGACCGGTCTGATGACCCCACCATCGGTGTTGGAAGTGTTGCTGCTGGCGGTCGATATGACAACCTGGTCGGCATGTTTTCCGGAAAGAACCAGATCCCTTGCGTGGGTATTTCCTTTGGTGTCGACCGCATCTTCTCCATCACCAAGGCTCGGATGGCGGCAGACAAGTCCGCCGAACAAGTGCGTGGCAATGAGGTCGATGTCTATGTCATGGCCCTTGGTGGAAAGGGATTGGTCAAGGAGCGTTTGGAAATTTGCGCACAGCTGTGGCAGGCAGGCATCAAGGTAAGGCCTTTTGTTCTCATGAATTACACTTCATATGCGCTGGTAGTGACTATTACTAAAATGCAATCTGCAGGCCGAATTTTTGTACAAGGCGAAGCCCAAGATGCAGGCTCAGTTCAAGGCTGCCGAAGCCAACGGCGTGCCGTTTGCCATCTTTATCGGCGAAGACGAGTTGGCTCAAGGCAAGATCAAGGTCAAGGAGATGGGCCTCAAGGATGGACACCCCGAAAAGGATGGAGTGTTGGTGGACACATCACGCATGGCGGAAGAGCTCAAGTACCGGATTCAGCGCAAGAGAGAGCTAGAGAGCATCACGATACAAGCCGAGGGCCTCAAAGTCGTGGACGGCATTAAGGGTAACCAGGCAGCCAAGAAGGAGGCTGAAGCTAAGGCTGAGGAGGCCAAGGCTGAGGAAGCCCCAGCAGCTCCAACAGCAGATGCTACGACTGAGACTCTAGCTTCATAGAGGACCATGACCAAATTGAAAAAAAGTTGAACGCTATGATATGTCGCAATCGAGCAACATTTTGCGAATCAGTGAATAGAGAGCGACGGTAGCCAGTATGGAATCAGCCCTGAATTGGAATCCGACAGCAAGTCGGCCGCAAAGTCGGTTTTAGCTGGAACGGCAAGGGGGTTTAAGGTGTTGGGGGCTTATGTGCTTGATGATATGCCTGTTGGGCCTCCTACATAACCAAGTGTTAGCCACTGAGTTGGCGTATATGTATTTGAGATAACGACGTGAGATAGAAAAAAAGAGAGAAGTACCAGCATCCGGCTCTCGTCTAAGTAATGTGCGTTGCATAACAAGGAAGAAAAAGGAAATACACGCTTCAATGCGCACACCCTACGATATTCCACCCACATATTCTCATCGTCTATTAGCTGCAGTTGGGCTGCTGACCGCCCGTGCTGGCTAGATTTAACAACGACGGAGGTATACCCCGTGAGTCTTACTGTTAGTAGATATAATTTGATGCGTGATTAGTCGATAAGGAGAAACCCACGTCACATATCAGAGGAGATGGCGTATCGGTGTTATGAACAACACTACTCTCCCAGTGTAGTCACACAGAGGCTTCGACGATGCAGCATACTTATGCACAGTATGTAATACTATTACAAAGAGTAATGCGTGACCGATGTCACTTGCATAATGCAATTAAGCACCTATGGAGAGAACAGAGAGGGTCCCTGCAGCTCGGATGATGCATTGGTAGGTAAGTAGGTACCAGGCTCTCGGAGTGCAGCAACCTTGACATAAAAAATACTCTGCCTAATATTAAAATGGTCGGATTATATAGAACAGCCTTGGTTAATACGACCATAATGCTTGTTTTGTTATAAATATAGAAGTCGGGCAACGCATTTATGACTTATTAATCTGATACGAGGTACAGATTAAAGATCTTGCAGGTACCTATCTACAGATACGATGCATCAAGATGAGCCGTCGATGTTGATAGCACCAACAACACTGGCATAGATAACAGCACTTTTCCGGAATCTTATTGGTCTGCCGTTCCGTAATTAATGAGGCTCATGATGGTGGGCACATCGGGTTACGGAGCGATGGAAATATTGAGCACTGCCGCTTTGTGCTTCGTTTTACAGAGTACAGCAAGTACCGCCAAAGTACTAAATTTGTTCAAAGGCACTCACCCTCCTTGCGGGTGCCTGAAGCTGAGATGAGGTGAATACGAGCTACAGTTCGGAGTGTAAGATGGCAAAAAGGAAAAGAAAGGAAAAGAAAAGAAAAATGTGGAAGCACGGACTGCAAAGCCCCGAAAGGAAAGGAGAGAGTAATCACTAGAATAGACGAGCGAACGGTTAGCGAACGGACGCATCGCGACACCCTGGAACCATGCGAAATGCAAAGAAGAAAAGTTTTGCTATTGTGGCGCTGTCTCAGTTCGCTGCAAGGGAGTGGCTCCCGGTAAATCTTGAATGGCAGGTGAGAAGCTCTCGTTTCAGCCTTTTTTTTGTCTCTTTTTTTTTCTTGTTGTTTTTTGCCCTTCTTTAGCTTTTTTCAATATATTAATTCGCCCTGCTTTTTAATAAGAGTGGAAGAGAGGCAATAGTGATTTAGCAACTAGCTAGCGTCGAAATGATGATATACTCTGGCATGTTTGTTGGTTCTTGGTATCTGGGTTGCATTATGTGGTTGGACTTATAGCAGAAGGACAGTAGGCTATAAGACGGAAAAGCTGTCAAGCTTAACTGGGCTACTCAAAGAGAATCTTGGGAAACAACAGAAAGAAAACGGCGTTGATCCGGATAGAGTTAACATAACATTCATATGAAAAAAAAAACGCGAGACACGGCAACAGGCTCAAGGAGGATTTGGTTTCGCGTCAATGCAGGCGGCTGGGGATGGCGCTGCGGCAGTACCTGCCTTGGCGATGCACCGGCTTTAGCAGATGCGGGTGGCGCGTATGGGGAATGAACGACAGCTGCAGCTACGGGCAGGCAGGCTCCAGGCGCTCCACCCGCCGGTCGTTCTTGTTCTCATCAAAGCTCACTTGCAGCGAGGTCCAGTGCACTGACAACCTCCTTCCTACATGCTGTGTTTGTCACGGGACGCAGAGCTGCTGGGATCCACGGCGGCGTGCCCAAGGCCGGGCAATCTTACTTCGTCCTGGTGCGACGTCGGGCCACGATATCTCGCTGCTCATTTGCCCATCCAGACGGTGGCTCGCAGGCAACAAACAGGGCGTTGCCGCCTGTGCAGCCCAGCAGCCCCGGTCTGCCCAATTTCACAATCTCGTCTTCGTGCCTGGGAGCGCCACAATTGGCAAGGCAAGGAGCCCGGGGAAGCGGGATCCAGGGGGGAAGGGCCGCAAGTGCGGCGTCCCAAGAGCCCAGGAACCTCGTCTGGGCCTGCAAACGCCCCCGGTCAGCGCCACTCTTTTGCGGTTGCTGTACCGGTTGGCCGCTGGGTGGCAGCAGGGTGCAAGGGCGATAGGGGGATTGGAACCAGGGCCGCCGGCTGCGAGCGTTAGCAGCACGACCGTCTTGTTGGAAGCGGGCTTTTCACCAGTCTCCCGGGACGCCTCTATGCTGCATGCTGATGATGCTGTGCTGTTGGGGGGCTATCCTCAGCAAGAGGCCGAAACATAACAGCGCCGCCGCAGGGAAGAGGCACAACGCCGGCTCGCTAGCAGCAGGGGAAGCGGATGTTGTACCAATCAGACGAAGCAACGAAAACCGTGAGATGAAAAGCGATCCGGTAACAGAGCCAGGAAGATGAACGCTCTTCCCCGAGGTGGCGGGTCAAGTCAAACCCCTCTGAGAGCGGGTCCCGGGATGCCGGTAAACGTCTGTGTTGCGTCTGCCAGTCTTAGACACGCTCGAGCCTTTTTGCTTTTTCCTCCTCTCTTTTCTTTTTTTTCTCTCCCGTCCCTCGCGTACTCGACTTTTGTCGCCATTTCCACTCTCATTGTACTTTGTACAGGCCAATCCTTAAAAAGCTCAACTCGCAGTCTCTCCCTCCCTTGGCTAGACGCTTTTTGAAGTCGTACTTCTATCAGCTTCTCCAACCTTATTGTCTTGCATCCTGCCACTCACTCCTCCCTTTCCCTGCCTTTCATTAGTTTTACGAGTATACTTACCATCATATCTATCGTTCTACGGCTTGAATTCAGACAAACCGCTTCCATTTTTACGTGAATAATACATACTACTCTTCGTCTCCAAGCCTTTCTTTATCGCTGCCACACTCTCTCATCTCCTGAGCTTTCCCTAATATACCTGTGTGCATTCATATACATACACCCCTGGTTCTTTGCAATTTCCTTCTTTTTCGAGTACGCTATCACGACACTGCTTCACCAAGTATTATTTTCAGCCTTTCCACACTCTCTCTTATCTGATCAACTCGACTCAATCACATCTTTCCTCTAAAAGCCGGAATCTCTTTCATCGACTCTCAAGTTCACCTTCAACATGCCGGGTCTGATCCCCCTTCGCATGAGCGCGCTCATTCCAGCATCAAAAGTCACAATCTCTTTCTCGGACGACAAATCCAATGCCACATCTTGGGAGCCCACGCCATATAAGCCAAGAACAGCTGAAATGCAGTTCCGACAAGCATCGCGTGAGCGCATGATTCCAGAGCCTCTCATTACATCCAGACCAGCTCCTTCTACGCCTTCTCAGTGGAAGAAAGCGTTGGCTGAAATCAAAAGAGACTTCATCAACAGAAAGTACCGGCACTGCTCTATGCGATGTCAAGAGATTCTCGACAACATGAAGGATTCGGTAAGATATACTTCACGCAACGATGAGTCTTTTTGCAATTCCGCTGACATGATATTTCCCAGCACAAGCCAGAGACAGCATGCCTGATCTATATCCGCTTCTACGCCGCATCTGCTCTTGAAATGCAAGTCCGCTCTCTTCATCACACCTCTCCTTATCGGATGAAGCTCCTCCTCCAAGCCCGCGGCCACTACCGCGCCGCATCTGATCTCGCCATAGAGGACGATGCTACTAAGCGGCGCCCCCCTTCTCGATCACTCTCTCCAATGTCCAGCCGACACACCCCTTTTGGGTCGGACACATCATTCTCTACAATCTCCTCCGGAAGCTCTGCTTCACTCTCCATCAGCTCTCTGGACAGCTGTTTGAAGAGCCCCGGTAGCCGGCCCAAGCAAAAGAAGCGCGTCGCCTTTTGCGACGTGCCCTCATATGAGCCTTTGCACGAGTCTACCTACGAGCCTTTTATTCGCCCAGACTCTCCAACCCTCGGTTTTGACGACGACTGGTGCATCCGCCAGCCTACCCCTGAGCCTCCGGTTCTCTATCAGGCTTCCCTCCGACCCATCTCTGGAAAGCCGCAGTTCCCACTCCCATCTCCTACAAATTCGGAGTGTAGCACTATTCAGGACGACGACGATAGCTATTTCGATATCCCTACCGCTTCAGACAGCTTCCTCCATGCCCGTTCCGTCCACCACTATTGCACTGTACTTGCCAGCCTGCAGCGCCAAATCACCTCACACCTGGAATGGTTAGAGCGTGATCTTGCTGCCGCAGAGAATCCCCAGCCTCCGCAAATCCTTAGCGAGGAAATGCGCAACCTGGAGCTGCGTACGCGGATTGAACGGCTGAGGGCTAATGGCTGGAAGAGACAGCGTTTTGATTTTCGAAAATACGAGGCACTTCGAGAGAGGGCCTTGGAGGATATCAATTAGGAATAGACGAAAGAGGGCAAAAAAAAAGTAAAACTGAAATTGAAAAAATATTACTGTTTTATTGTTGTTATTGGCTAGACTTTGGGATTTGTATTTGATTGGATTCCTTGGCATTGACAGATGTTGGAATGGGGTTCATATGCTGGCCATGATGGCACTCGTGGGAAAAAGTACATAGACTTCCAGATTGGCTAGGATAGAGAAAAGGACAAAAGATGCCTCTAAAAGCTCGGTTTACTTGAACTGCACCATATCTCTTTCCTTTGCTTTGCTTTAAAAATAAACCAAATCGCCTTGTACACTGATTGCTATTCACATCCTATCTCAATACGTTGCTTAATCATTGACGCGAAATCAAAGAAAATTATATTTCGGAAGACCAAAAAAAAAAAAAAAAAAAATCTGTAAAACAAGTGACTAAAAAAGAATATCCCAAAAAACAAGTCCTTAAAACCAGTCCTTCTCTTTCGAGTCGCGAACACTTTAAGAAGCCTCGCTAAAGCTACGCCGCTTCGCCTCCTTTCCCATCTCTTCCTCAATCTGCAGTGTCTCCTGTTTCTGCTTGACGTCCTTGAGCGCAAAGAGGCCCAGGGCGTGCAATCGAGCACCGTCTCCCTTTTCTTGGCCACCTTGCACGTCTCCCATTTCGGAGTTCTCGGGGTCCTCTTCGTGTTCCCTGAGCTTGTTGATTCTGTTTTGAAGCTTGACGATTTCGATGGCGCGGCGGAGGCGGGACCTTCTGCGGAAGGCCTCGATTTCTGGCAGCAAGTTGTGGTCGGTAGCGTTTTGGCCGCTGAGCCAGATGTGGCCCAAAGCTTGCTATAAGGTTGTTAGCTCATGTCCTGTCTGAATACAGTGAAAGAGATGAATAGTGAATCGGCATCTTACCTCGCTGGTCCATCTCTGGTCGGGTTCAGGGACAAGGAGGCGGTTGATAAAGTCCTTTGCATCAGCACTGACATCCTTCCAGTATCTCTCGTGGAACACAACGCTGCCCCTTGTGCACTCATCAAGAAGATCCTGCAGGTTCTCGCTTCGGAAGGGAGAGTAGCCACAGAGCAGGGTGTAGGTAATGACGCCCATAGACCACATGTCTACGGGCTTTCCGTGGCCTTTCTTGGCCATCACTTCGGGGGCCGCATAACCAAACGATCCAGCCATAGTCTTGAGTGTTTCGTCCTTGCTGTCTAACGTCTTGGCAATACCAAAATCGGCCAATACGAGATCGGAGTCGTCATCAGGAGTAACATAGATAAGGTTCTCCGGCTTAAGATCTGCGGTTTTGCATTAGTCTCGCTTCGAAGACCTGAGTGAACTCAGCTTCCAGGAGATATACACACCTCTGTGGACGACATCGTTCTTGTGCAGGTAGTCAACGGCGTCAAGAACCTGCTTGATAGTTTGCGACGCATCTTTCTCGGTGAACTTGCCCCTGTCACAGATACGGTCGAAGAGCTCCCCTCCTGTGGCCAACTGAGTGACAATGTAGAATTTGTCCTGTGGCGCACGGGTCAGCAGGTTTCGTAAGTCTCCCCCTCCTCCCTCTCCCCGGGTTACAAGGCATCAACGCACTCTGGACTCGAACCAATCGACAAATTTGACAATATGAGGGTGCTTCAGCCGCTGCAGCATGGAAAGCTCGTCGTAGACCATCTGCTCGTTGCCCTTGACGTTCTTCTTCAAGATGATCTTGACGGCAACCTTGCCAGTAGGGCCGTCTGCCTCACGAACGACGCCATAGGTACCAGCACCGAGGGTACGTCCGAACTTATACTTTGATCTGTGTCAAGATTTCGAATCGTTAATGCTGAGTTCAATGTCGGTAGTCTCTGAGGTTATGCATCGTACTTTTTCTCATAGCTCTCGGGTTGCCCATGAAGGCGATTTAGCATGTTGGCGACTGTATCCAAGGAGAGTACCAGTTAGCAACCAGCACATGATAGCAGGGGGTTTCAAACATTATTGAATAGCGAGAAAAGGAGGCTCAAAGAAGAAGAAAGATGTTTTTCGGATGCGAAACTATTTGATAACTTCACAAACAGCACTGGTCCTGTCCTTGTCCACATACGGCGGTGTAAAAGAAATGCGACTTACAACTCATCCTGATGTCTGGCGGGGTATCTTGAACGCGAGAAGCGGTATTCAAGCCAAGCTGCGATTCAAAGCGATCCAAGCACACGCAGCCCAAAGCCGGCAAAAGTCAGCTGGAAAAAGGAGTTGCACGATATTCAAGCTCTGCGGAGAAAGTGGCGAGAGGCAGCCCAAGAAGAAGTAGGAAGGGGAGAGACGAGGCGCCACAAAGGACAGGACGACAGAGTCAAAGCTGAAGGAGCTACAGCGACGGCTGAGATTAAATACGACCCGAGTAAAATATTAGCCCCTCATCAGGCCTGGCGGTTTCCAGCCGTCAGCCAAAGGGGCACTAGTACCACAGTCATACTGCATTAGGCAGTGGGGATGGCGCCAGGAGAGAGAGGGAGTCTGCCGCCGCGGCCAAGGTACAACGAGCACTGTATATCAACCAACAACGTCCAGCACGGCTCTACCTTGCCACCCGCCTAATGCAAAGTACCTAATCTGTGTGCCTTAGCTGAATGTAGCACCTGTAGCTCTGCTACGGGCCTGGTACTGTATCAGTGAGCTTATTTTGAGTCGAACATCACCCCAACTACTACCTACTGTACGCATCAGTTTTAACTAAGAGGGGAGACAACAGTATTCCACGGATGCGTGTACGTGCGTGCTGTACTAGCACATGCAAAATTAACTACTACAGTCTTGGGCAAAGAAAGGCCCCCACGCAGCAGAAATTATCAACAGCCCTGCGTTGAAATCGCAGCCAAGTCGGCATTTCTAGCCAGTGTTGGGGTGGCTTCGTGGCTGTGCCCGCGACCAGGTCTCCATCTATTCTGGCCTGGCCAACGAGAGACTTCATCGTCAACAATGTCCAACACAGCACAGAAAGAGGACGAACTGGACTGCAGATACTAGGGCGTCACAACGGCTGGGCTGTGGCTCAGCGACGACTGGGCGGCGAAACTACCATACAGACCACCCAAAGGTCTATGTGAATCCGCCCTCGCTTGGGTTTTGAGACACCACCACCTGCATGTATGTGCACATGTACACCGGTAGATGGAGGTTGGTCTTCCGTTAGGCGGCCTCCGTCGCCTTTCCGATGTGCGATGTGCGATGTGCCAAGACGCCCTGCCGAAGCGCTTTTACGGCTTTTTGCAAGGCTGATTAGGGCTGCTTGTTCGCCGCATCAGGCTTCAAATGTATGTACATACACATATTAATCCCTGGCGAGCGGCCTCTCGCAGTGGGTCGCGTGTGTCGATTTTACAATGATAGCGTTCGCCAACCCCGTGGGATTTAGTTCTGCGGTTCGCGCTTGGGCGGCTAGTAGTAGTGTGCACTAATTGTCACGCGGCATATGTTCATCCCTACTGTACGAAGAAGGTAGGATTAAATACCTTGTATGATCCCTGGGAACACTGCTCTGGTGGACATCATTGTCGTCCGTGGGCTAGGAGAGATGCCAAGAAGATATACATGCAACCAACATCTCACAATGCCGAGAGCCCTTCGCCCCAGGATTGGCTGCCCATCCCAAGTCAAAGAGTCCAGGGTTCTTTGGATCGACAGTGATGCCAATTGGAGAGACCAGAGTTGAATCGGAATCCATGATTTGATCATTAAATATTTGGGGGGATGCAAATCACTCTGAGGATTTAACCTAGCTAATATTCCTGGAGAGGTCATGGCTCATTGACGGAACATTTGACAGAATTCGAGTGCACTGGTCCTTCTCAAGCTCGTTTGACAAATCCTGGATTTATTCGTATACTTCTCGCTGGCAGAACTACTCCCGAGATTCCATACTGTATCGGCTACCTCATTCTCGCACGATTTGTTTCTGTAGTGGATACGGGTGAGTTTTACCAAAACACAAAGCTGACTTTACGAAAGAAGATATCAAGGAGAGTATCGGCGGGGCCTCCAAAAGCGTATCAAATGTACGACAGCATTTCGTATCGATACAGAGCGGCTTTCTTCTTGATAGATATGTCTTTGAGTTGTTCAATGCCATCTTTAATTCCTTTAAAGCCACCAGCCAGCTTACAGCGTCTTGTTGACGTTCTTAAAGACATTTTCTTTGTTCTTACACAAGGCTCACTTCCATCCATTCCAGCCTCCCAGATGAGTGGCCTAAACCTGAGAATTTTTGCATTAACTCGAACACTAGCCAATGTTTTCTAGGCAAATGTGAGATTGAGCCTCCATCTTTGAATAGAGATAGATCAAAGCAAAAAGTACTTTAATATCACTAGATTATTGAGATATCGGTGGGGTGTCCAAGCCGTGCGTTATGGACTGCTTTCATAATTATGGTTAAGTGTCTTTGTTCCATTCTCACTTCCTTTTCTTTTTACTCTTTCAATAGCGGACGCCAATCATATGTAACTCTTTCGTCTTTGAGAACTAGAACAGAATAGCAGAATACCTGGCTCAAGTTGTTGGTGGTGAAAAGAAAGTGTATGCCAGCACAATTATCTACCACTGTAGCCGGGTAACTGAAATTCGCTGGATGTCAGCCAGAAATAATACCTACTAGCGGGCTCAAGAAACCGAAGCTACGATACATATGATATCAATACCATTGTGATATCAATACTATTGCTATCTACCTACCTGGCATATCCTGCGTGAGACGCATACGTGCATCTACAAGCGCTTACTACAGCCTTTTCAGCCTGCATTCCGCATTTCTACAGCAGCCGTCACCTGACAAAATACATCAAAGTACATGTGCCCTGTCAGGCCTGCTTAGGCGCTGGATGGCTGTGGTTGGCTGCCCAGCAAGCGCTGCTGCTGCGCTACAAGGTATCCTGCGTCTTGAATCATGCACTGGGTGCTCAAAAGATCCGTAATAAAGACCTGCTGTTGGCCTGATTTTTGCTATGGAACAAAGACCGGGAAAAAAGGGAGGGAAAAAAAGGTCATAACTGCGCCTGGCCCAGCGCCACACATGATCCAACCCCTCCAGCGCGTTTAAAACATTGAATGCTGCCACACAGCTAGCCCGTCAAGTACAAACTTCAATACCACTAACCTTAGCCGCCAACGCAAACTACCTACATACACAAAACCTGTCCTCGTCATTTTCGATTTGCGCCTCTCAATAGAAAGCCCCTGTGCAGCAAGGCCAAAATGGCTACGGGAATGCGAACGAAGAGAGTAGCCAAGGAACGCCAAAAGGCAAGATATTCCCCTGCTTCGACGCCGCGCAGTTGGCTGGCACAGATGCCCTTCTCAAGAGCTGACACTTGGGTAGATTGATAAGTTTGGTCTGCCTCCCGGTATAGAGCTCGTGGAAGGCAACGACCTGAAGGAATGGCTCTTTGACATCCGTGTCTTGGACAACAATCCCCTGTATAACGATAATGTCTATCGACTGAAATTCGTCTTCTCGGATTCATACCCCATTGGTAAATCCTGCTGCCAGCACCCCCGCGCTGCTCTTGAAGCAATCAGACGTCTAACAGCCATGCCAGAGCCTCCAGAGGTCACTTTCGTCGACAAACCAGCACGTCCAGTCCCCATGCACCCGCACATCTACTCGAACGGAATAATATGCCTTGACCTCTTAGGAAATCAGGGATGGAGCCCCGTGCAAAGCGCCGAGAGCATCTGCATGAGTATACAAAGCATGCTTACCAGCAACAGCAAGAACGAGCGACCGCCTGGCGATGAAGAGTTTGTGCGTGTGAACAGGCAACGACCACGAGATATAGAATTCTTGTATCACGACAATACTGTGTAACAGCCTCAACTCTCTAGATAACAGCGTCTTTTTGTTTCCCCTTCTCCTTTGTCCCTCTGGAGGATTCTTGCATTATTACAGCGGTCACAATGGCTCATCGGCGTTCAGTATACAGCCCCTTCTGGCGGCATGGATCTAGACAATATCACTGCTTGTCTGGGATCTTCTATCTGCTGATTTTTTTGGGCCAAGCGATTTTTTTTTTTTTTTTTTTTTTTTTTTTGGCGGCTATTACGGAATAGTATGGGCTCTTGATTCGACGCCTTGCGCAGAGTCGTGCATGGCGCAACTAAGAGCGAGGACTTGCGGGGAGGGCTCAAGTACCTTTTCGTAACCTGGAAGACAACTATAGGCGTATACACAATGCTTATAGAATTGGAGGGGTGCATTCTTTTTATTTTAGGCAATATATGGTGTCAAAAGCGTTTTTTCTTTTCTTTTCTTTTCTTTTTTTTTTTTTCTTATCCTTCCTTTTGCGGCAAGCCAGAAGCAATAACTATTCTCGTCGATGGCATGACTGCCCTCATATGCCCAAACAGGCCGTGACATATGACGTCGCCCCCTCCGCTACAAGTGCATACTAAGTACTAGGTAGTAGTCTATATTGTGCCAGGGAGTGACAGCTCCCCTCGAAAACAGACAGGCGGGGTGGGCGGTGAAGTAGTAGCTGCTGAGCTGAGCCACACTTTCGCTTCTCTGCCCGCCTAGCTAAAGAACCAGGAACTAGCAAGCCAGCCACTAAAGCTCCCCAAGTGCTTCATCCAGCACCAAATATCCTACGCGAGCTCTCTGCCGCGGGCAAATCATGGCTCCCCGCGCGGAATTCAGCACCGAGCAGATCCGGGGCAAAGCTCGAAAGGACCTGCTCTACCTGCTCGAGGGTGTAAGTAAGGCTTACTGTTGCTGAGAGCTCTCTGGGAGCGCTGCCCTGCTAACCCACGGCTTTCACGCAATCTATAGGTCCGCGGCAAGAAGAACCTCGTGTTTGATCGCAGCCTTGTCGGTCCTATCGGCACAATCGTCAAGGTTGCCACGCTCCAAGAGTACGGAGTCGACAAATTCTTCATCTTAGAGAACAATAATGTGGATGCGAGCCAGCGCAACGTCGTCTTTGTGGCCAGAGGCGAGTGCGGTCGGCATGCCGAAGCCATAGCAGGTAAGATGCAGCCAAACGATACCTATACGGGCATCCCCTACTCTGATTCCCTGGAGCTATATTCAATCCCATTGACTCGAAATACCGTGGTCTGTTTGAGATGAAATGGATAGCTAGCTAGCTGCTGCAGTGAGTGAGCTGACGCAATGTGCCCCTCCAGCGCAGATTAAGCGAATTCAGCGTGAGAGCCAGACGACTCATGACTTCCACATATTTTGGGTGCCACGTCGCACTCTTGTGTCCGATCAACTGCTCGAAGAAGCCGGCGTCCTAGGCGATGTCAACATATCTGAACTGCCGCTGCTCTTCTTCCCGCTCGAAGATGACGTCCTATCGCTTGAGCTGGAGGATTCCTTCAAGGACCTCTACCTGTCCAAAGATATCACACCAAACTTTCTCATGGCCAAAGCGCTCATGGAAGTGCAGCAGAACCACGGGCTATTTCCGAGAATCATTGGCAAAGGTGACAATGCGAAGCGGGTAGCAGATCTCCTCGTCCGCATGCGTCAAGAACGACTGGCGGGCGAAGATGGAAGCGATGTCAAAACAGCGCTGACGCCCAGCACCACGAACGAGAGTGTCATCATTATCGATCGCGAAGTCGATTTTGTTACCCCACTGCTCACACAGTTGACATACGAGGGACTCATCGATGAGATTTTTGAAATTCAGAATAACCAGGCCAAGGTAGACACAACCATTGTCGGAGCACCGGCGCAATCTTCAGCGGCCACCTCACAGAGCAGGAAGCGGACGGTACAGCTCGATTCCAGCGACAAGCTATATGAGCAATTACGAAATGCCAATTTCGCCATCGTGGGCGGACTGCTTAACAAGGTCGCCCGGCGTCTTCAAAAGGTACAATCAGATTACGAGACCAAGCACAAGACCAAGACAATTGCCGAGCTGAAAGAATTCGTGAGCCAACTGCCAGGCTACCAACAAGAGCACCAAAGCGCGAGGATACATACCGGCCTTGCTGAGGAAATCATCAAGCACACGCGAACTGATTTGTTCAAGGGCCTCCTTGAAGTCCAGCAGAATCTCGCTGCTGGTGCCGATCCGTCGTCCCAGTTCGATGGCATCGAAGAGCTCATTGCTAGAGATGCTCCCTTGCGGGAGACGCTTCGATTGCTCTGCATCTACTCGTGCATATCTGGGGGAATAAAACCCAAGGATTTCGAGCAGTTCAAGCGTCTGATACTTCAAGGATATGGCTACCAACATCTGCTCACTCTCAACAACCTCGAGAAGCTGCAGCTATTCCTGTCGCGCTCATCTCCGCTTGCGGGGATGATCCCGATGACGGGCAATGCTGGTGCCGACGGCAACAAAACCAACTACACATACCTACGGAAGCAGCTGCGTCTGATTGTCGACGAGGTGCAGGAGGACGACCCCAACGACGTTGCATACGTTTACAGTGGCTATGCCCCTCTTTCCATCCGGCTTGTACAGTGCATTCTTCAGAAGCAATACCTATTATCCATTACGAAAGGAAATGGTGCAGCGAATGCCAGCGGTATTGCGCCTGGTGCGGGAGCCCAAGGATGGCACGGATTTGATGAAGCCGTCAAGCACGTTAGAGGCCAGACGTTTTATGAGCTCCAGAAGGGCGAGGACAAGGCCGTCAAGGCAAGATCCCTGTTATCCGGCAGTGGGCACAAGCAGACGGTCTTTGTTGTCTTTATCGGAGGAGTTACATTCACAGAGATCGCCGCGTTGAGATTCATCGCGAAGCAGGAAGAGGGTAAGTCATCCGAAGGACGCGGGCGCGGTACATGCCAGCCAGTGCAAAAGCTAACATTCCATTCCTTACCAGATCGGAGAAATATAGTAATCTGTGCGACTTCTATAATCAGCGGGAACAGGATGATGGATGCGGCAATCGAGAAAGAAGCGTTCGCTCGCAAAGAGACGGCGCTGCCCAACAGCCCGTAGGCTTTGGCGCATCGAGTCGTGACACGATATTTGGAGTTTGGTGGCGTACTGGTCGGTGGGAGATAAATTCTGTGTGGCATGCAAGCACCTTGATCGAAATTTTGATATGAAAGGCTCCTTTTTTTCCCCTCTCTCTCTCTCTCTCTCTCTCTCTCTCTCTCTCTCTCTCTCTCTCTTTCTTCCCCTTGCTTTTCCTTTCTTTCCTCTCCTCTCCGTTTCTTTCAATCGCGCTATCTCATCGCTGATCCCTTATTGTTTGAAGTTCGTCCAGAGTTCATAATTCGAAATATCAACCGGATTAGTTCGGCGTAGAGCGCGCCCCACATCAGAGAGCGTCGCGATTGGATTGCTCGCCCCACGTGACCAGTGCCTATACGATTGAAGTCGGCGTTCTTGAGGGGCCGTGATGAGCTGATGGCCTATACTATTCCTGCTCATTGGCCCTTCCTTGCCGTAAAAAACAAACGGCTGCGCTGCTGGACTTGATTTGTTCCCAGCTGAAAACTCATTCAATGGCCCAATAATCAATGACCCCAGCCCATCTCGGAGTTACAGTGCAGCCCTTGTAACCACTACTCCTTTAGACGCTCTTCAGCCGCTGAAACCTCCAGGCCATCTTATTCTGCTTACAACAATAGGTATATATACACCGGGCAGTGAGATCAATGGTGGTCTGTGGCTAACATCCCGATTAGACAGAGGCTCTTCATGGCAGACACTCTCATGATATGATGCATTTGCCCAGCGTCATGCTGTATATGTATGACATATTGCCGAGTATCGACCTCCAAAACACCGTCACCATTCCGACATCCGTAGCCTCTCATATATCGACGCCGACCCGTCCTAGCTTTCGTTAGAGCAGGTGCCTGGTTGGGCTGTTCACCATGGCAACTGTATTCAAGAATCACCTCAGTCTAGAAAAGGAAGTACCGGCTGGGCAGATTTTTTCGCGCGCGCAAGACATCGACTCTTCGTCGATATCAAGCTTAGCGCCCGAGTCCGTCACCAACAATCAGGGCCATATAGCGGTGTCACCCAGCAGCAGTCTAAGCACTCCCCAGGCATCGAGGCAAGGATCATCGGATGGGTCTTCAGAGGTAGCGCCTGAGATTGTCGTGTGGACAGAAGAGATGGATTTGAGCAGCAGCTTATCATCCCAAGACCCGGAAGAGTCTTCTAGCATGCATCTCGGCACGGAGTGAGTTTTGGCCACCACCAATACACTAAGAGAAGAAAAAATTCTGCGAACAATTTTTGTCACCTCTCTATTTGGTCTATTGTTCATAACGATTTTAGTATCTTTTCTTTTTTTCCTTTTTTTTCCTAACATCTCAATAGTGACGAAAGGCCTCAATACAGCGATAATGCCCCACGACAAGCCGAACCTAAGGCGGATGCTTTTTCAGAGTCATTCTCCTCCTCACACTCTGCCTTGACAGAGCTTTCAGAGCCTTCATCTACCCCTTCCATCGTCTCTAGTAAAGCCACGACGCCTATCGAGACCGAATTGCCCAGCCATCCGCAATTTATTGAGGCTACGTCAAGTTTTTCGGCCTCATCACATCGCCATGACATCGAAAGTTTAACTTTCAATATTCGGCCAAAATCATCTATTCCAACAGATATCCCATCGTATCAATATGCTAGCGAGTGCATCTCCGCGGCCGAATCGTCGCGGCTTAATCCATACGCGCTGCATCCTGGGGAATATCATTTCCTACGACACCACATATCTCATACTCAGGTTACGACTTATCTCAATATCAGAAACGGTATACTACGTATATGGATGAAGCAGCCGTCAGTTGGTGTAACGCGGCAAGATGCAGTCGGATGTGCAAATGCACGCTGGTTTGATGCTGCAAACGTGTGCTACGACTGGCTAGTTCGCCACGGGTACATCAATTATGGCTGCGTACAGCTTCCCAAACCCCAATTCGAGTCCAGGAACGGGTCGCCTGCAAGAAAGCGAAAGACCATCGCTGTTATCGGAGCAGGGATATCAGGCTTATCCTGTGCCAGACAGCTAGAGGGCTTGTTTACACAATATGCAGGCCGATTCTATGCAAGGGGAGAGGAGATACCAAAAGTGATTGTTCTCGAAGGTAGAAGTCGCGTTGGCGGAAGAGTGTATTCTCGCGAATTCAAAACAAAATCGGCTGGGATTGAGCCTGAGTTCAAGGGGAAGCGGCATACTGCCGAGATGGGCGGTATGATTATCACAGGATTTGATCGTGGCAACCCCATGAATGTTATTGTCCGTGGGCAGCTGGGGATACCATACCACGCGCTTACTGCTGAGACTACAATTTACGACAGCAATGGCAAGCCCGTAGATCCAGTCAGGGATCTTCTGGTTGAGAAGCTCTACAATGACTGTTTAGATCGTGTCAGCGAATTCAAGTATAAGTTTCAGCCATCTAAGCTGATCGAGGGCAATCGTGATCTTCTCGACGAAGGTCGGGATAGTCTCGGAGATGGCTCCAAGTCGATCATCCAGGCCGAGGAAGCGACCGCTGCGCTTCCTGATGCCCCTTCAGTATCACAACAAAACGTACCGGAAACCGTAAATATGATTCCAGTGTCAGCAGACAAACTGACAGGACGAGTACATACCGAACCCGGAGTTCCCGCAACTCTTAAAGCGTCAGAAAAGGCAAAACTTATGGGATGGAGCATTAAACCAGGGGCGGCAGAGAAGGGCAATCTCGATTTAACCCAAGCCAGCTCCTTGGCAGAAGCAACGCTGGGATCAGTTTTGGATCATGCCATCACCCAGTACAAGAATATTGTTGATTTAAACGCACAAGATTACCGATTGCTAAATTGGCACATTGCCAATTTAGAATACAGCAATGCTACGAACCTGCATAAACTAAGTCTCGGCCTCTGGGACATTGATGCAGGCAACGAATGGGAAGGCCATCACACAATGGTTGTTGGCGGGTATCAAAGCGTCGCCCGCGGCCTGCTCCAATGCCCATCTCCGCTCAACATAACAACCAAATTCCCTGTCCAAAAAATCACGTATCATGGGGAGAGCTTTGATGGCCCCGCTACCATCGAAAGCGAAGATGGTACAAAAGTGGAAGCAGACGCTATCGTCTGCACAATACCACTGGGCGTCTTAAAACAAGGAAATGTGACTTTCGAGCCTCCCATGCCTTCCGAGAAGGCGGATGTGGTTGGCCGACTAGGCTTTGGCATCCTCAATAAGGTCGTCTTGCTTTACGACAGGGTGTTTTGGAATTCGAATAGACATATATTCGGCGTGCTCAGAGATGCTCCTAACCGGCATAGCACCTCTCAGCAAGATTACAGTATGAACCGTGGACGCTTCTTCCAGTGGTTCAACGTTTCCAATACAACTGGCCTGCCCTGCTTGATCGCGCTTATGGCCGGCGATGCTGGCTTTGACACAGAGCATACGAGCAATGACAGCCTGGTCGCCGAAGCCACAGAGATTTTGAGGAGCGTATTCGGTAAAGATGTCCCATATCCCGTAGAGACAGTAGTGACAAGATGGGGTTCGGATCGGTTTGCCCGTGGAAGCTACTCTTCTGCCGCACCCGACATGCAGCCAGATGATTATAACATCATGGCCCAGCCTACAGGCAACCTATTCTTCGCCGGAGAGCACACCATTGGTACACACCCTGCAACTGTGCACGGGGCATATTTGTCAGGACTGCGTGCTGCCTCTGAAATACTAGAAGCAATGATCGGCCCCATTGAAGTTCCGACTCCTCTTGTCCTCCCAAGGGACTCACTTCTGCTGCATAAACGTAAGGAGGCAGCCAAGGATCCCCGGCAGGCGCGCTTAGAAGCATACGAGGTAGAAGTATGGGAACATGTCCTTTCAAAGATTGGCGAACGGCCGCTCCGCCCAAACAAGGTGTCCGGCAGCGCCTATATAATATTTAGCAAAACACACTTCGACGCCGCAAAAAAGAGGTGCGAAGCAAGCCGTAAACCTGGCAGAAGCCGGTCGGTGCCCAATGAAGTCCGCATCATGATGTCCCGCATGTGGAAAGAGACTCCTCCAGACGAGCGAAAGCCGTATGAGGAGCAGGCCGCTGAGCAAAAGAGGCTCTACTTACAAGCTATGCAAGAGTATAACGAGCTAGCTGAGAAGTGGGATCGCGAAGCTATCGCTATCCGAGCTGCCTACGAAAAAGACCACCCTAGCCTGCCGGGCCCAGAGGAGGGGCCGGAAGATCTCTCGATGACGCCGAAGCATCGTCGAGCAAGGAATGTGAGCTACACGGAGGTCAGAGATGGCGAGTTGGCATTGTAAAATGACGAGAGACCTTCTCGTTATAAGCATTTAAAACCATGGCGTTTGGATGTCTGTTTCTTTTTAGGTCCCGCAGGATTGTGGGAAACTTTTATAAAGTCTTTTTTTTTTTTTTCCGTCGAGGATAGGTACCATGATTTGGCGCAAGGCAGTTTTAATGGGGTGGATTTTCGTTGTGTTGCATGTCCATAGCTTATAAGGACTCCGTACCTACCCAGGCACCTATTAATCAAATCGGATGTCCTCCTATTTTATTCACTGTGGTTGAGTCACTTCTTTTCCACTATCTCAACTTAATACAGGGATTTTGGTTCTTGAACTATACACTTTTGTTTTTTTTTCTCCTTTGATCTACTAAGAAAATTTATTTGTGGGTTTGATACACTGGCTGGGGACCACCGCGCTGGGTATCCTCTAGCTTCGATATTACAAAGGATGGAAAAAAGCTCAGCGCGCCAGCTCTTTCTACCAACATAAAAAAAGATGTAACTTTATTCTTCGTCTTTTTACATATCGGCGGAGGCAGTAGCGCCAGTAATAATTTCGACCAGCTCTCCGGTAATGACAGCCTGTCGGGTACGGTTGTACAGAATCTGGTACTTGCCAATCATCTCACCAGCGTTCTTGGAGGCGTTCTAAGAATTTTTAATTAGTATTTGAATTGGGAGGAAGAAAAAAAAAAGGTCAAGTAGAAAGAAAATAGTAAAAACTTACGTCCATAGCGTTTCGTCGGGCAGACTGCTCGCAGGCGTGACCCTCAGCCAGAGCCCAGTAGAGGGAGTTGGCAAGGCTGTACTCGCGGAGGTTGCCGAGAGCGTCGTCCTCAACCTCGAAGGCAGAGATGTTGGCTATTTGGCTGTTAGTATCAAAAAAATGTTGGAGAATAGCAAGCGCAACATACGGGACTGGGAAATAGCCTCCTCGGAAAATGCCTCAATGAAGGTGGGCTCGTAGCTGGTGGCGTTGATGAACTTGTTGTACAAGATCTTGACGTCGGTGTACTCGGTGGGCAGGTTGACGATCTGGTCGGCGATAGCCTGAGCATCGGCAAAGGTAGGAATGTCCTTGCCAATACCGGCGAAGCTGAGCTGGATGTTCTTGGCGTTGGTTCGCTGCAGCTGAGCCTTGCTCTTCTCACCAATGAGGACCAAGTCGAAGTTCTCGCCCTCGGCGAAAAGGCGACGAATGGTACGGGACATTCCGGAGTGAATACCACCGCAGAGACCCTTGTCGGAAGAGCAGACAATGACGAGGGACTTCTTCTCATCGGCCTCGGCGGCGGTGGTCTCAGCGGCCTCGAAGACCTCGTTGGAGGTCTGTCCGTACTTGCGGGAGTCGTTCATGCTGCGAGTAGCACGGGTGAGCTTGGTGGAGGCGACGATCTTCATGGTGTTTGTGATCTTCTCGATGTTTCGAATGGACTTCAGACGAGTCTCGATCTCACGGAGAGTCGCATAGGTGGCGGCGGTGTTGGGGCCAGCAGCAGCTCTAAAGCAGTCATTATTAGCCCATATAAGTCCGTTGAACTTTCATTTTTTCCCCTCTCCTTGGAAGCAGCAAATGAAGGAATTCGCCATCGCATCCCTCCAGTAGCCGCAGGCCCTTCGTGTTGGTTGTCGTGAGGCGCCCATGAAATCGCAAAACTCGTTCGCGGGCCACTCGATGCGGCTATAACAAATTCTTGTAGATGCTAGTTCCCGAAGAGCACAAAAAAAACTTACCGGGAGGGAGCTGCAACTGCAGCTCGCAGAGCAGGTCGGGCAGCCCTTGACAACATTGTGACAAGTGTGAGAAGTCAAAACTAAGCCCTCTGGTCAACGCAGACCCAATTGATCGTGACGCAGCGGATCAATTGACGGGGTGTTCGTGGGGATGCGGTTCGGGTTGTTGAGTGATTGCAGTTTTGCTCACTTTCTCGGCAAATCGACGGGAGACCACGGGAGGAACCAAAGTATCTTCGTACCTGTGCGATATGCACGTGTGGGGGCTGCAGCCTTGCTCGTGCACTAACAGTTTTTGCAGGCGGCGTGCCGGGAAAAGTGTTATCCTATTGTTGCGGCGGGACCCTTTATAGCGATATCGAAGAGTGGCTCCTTTGAAATATCGCTATATCGCATATTTAGGGTAGCTGCATCGAAGACGATAGATGCATAAGGCTTTTCATGCCGAAAACACGAAGGCGTTCCTTCTTGAACTCTTTTCCGCCAGCTTTTCTGCCTTCTTTAGACTTTCTTTCGCCCTAAGGCTGTCGAGGTTAAATTCTCGCCAGCCTGTTCTAAAGTCAGCAGATCTGTTCTTCTCCTTTTTCCCCCGATTCTCCCTCAGCCTTGCACTTGGCAATCGCGGCTTCAGCATTCCTTCGGCCTCTCGCGCCTCATTCAGAGCCTTGCATCTATCGAGTGCCAGCCGGTCCACGCTCCAAACCATGGCTTCCGACAGTTCAGACGACGATATGCCTATTGCGAGGGCAAATGGGCGTTGTGAGTTATCTCCAGTTTACATGCTGACTTTTTTTCTCTCTCTTTCTCTCTTTCTTTCAGTTTCCAAACTTCCAGTATCTATTCTCGGCACACGCGCGATTGCGCTGGCGCTTACGGTCGAGACGCTCCTCCATGTCGAATCGCGCGCAAGTAAGCATTGGCAACTGGCTAACCGTGGCATCAACTCTAGTGTCATCCTCGAAGATATCTCGCACCGAAGACATCGCCTTGGATAAGTCCATGTCCAAGCCCTCTGGAATGGCAGGCTTGTCCATCCGAAATGGGCCTATTGAGAACGGCGAGATGGATTTGGATTCGCCGTCTACCAACGGATCCAAGCGCAAGTCACGAGAGTCGATCATCAAGGTTGACTACAAGGATGAGTCGGAAAGTGATGGTGAGCCTCTGGTAGGTGATGTCCTTCATACCCTTGATGGCGACCATGGTGTAAGCGCAGTCAGTTAATGCTATGCGCTGCAGGCGAAACGACAACGATCCAAAAAGGTCCAGGAGTCGGATTCAGACGATGAGCCTATGGTGAAGGCTAGAGGGAAGAAACTGCCGCCGTCTTACAAAGAGACCGCGCTACCTCAGTCCTCTTCTGATGAGCAGCCACTCGGTGTTAAGCTCGCTAAGAAAAAGGCTGACATCGAGAGAAAAGGTGAATTGGAGGCCAAGGCGATTCGTGCTAAGGAAGCGAAGGCAAAGGCGACACCGAAGAAGGCTATTAAGAACGAATCGGATGATGACCTGCCTCTCGCGTCATCCCACAAGCGACAAGCGAATGGCTCAACTGCAAAGAGGAAATCTACGGTCGTGAAGAAGGATGAATCTGATTCTGATGCTCCCATCTCCAAGAAGTCCAAAGCTGCCAGTGCCTCTGCCAAGGGGAAGAGAGTTTCGTCAGCAAAGGATACAAAGGACACTAAGAAGGGCAAGTCTAAAGAACCCAGCGATGAGGATGAAGAAGAAGAGTTTGAATGGTGGAATGCGCCAAAGCGAGAGGATGACAGCATCAAGTGGAATACCCTTGAGCACAACGGAGTTCTCTTTGCGCCAGAATATCAACCTCTCCCAAAGAACGTCAAGATGTACTACGATGGCAAACCTGTGACCCTCAGTCCGGAAGCAGAGGAAGTCGCTACATTCTGGGCGTCAATGATGACCGCTGCTTCTACTCATCACCTTGACAACCCCATCTTCCGCAAAAACTTCTTCGCCGATTTCTCTGATTTCATCAAAAAGTATGGCGCCAAAGACGCTAGTGGAAATAAGATTGACATCAAGAGCTTTGACTTGTGCGATTTCTCCAAAATTGCAGAATATTGGGCGGCAAAGAATGAAGCCAAGAAAGCCATGACCAAAGAGGAGAAGGCAGCTGCCAAGGCCGAGAAAGACGCTCTCGAAGCTCCATATCTTCACTGCACGTGGGACGGAAGAAAGCAGAAAGTTGGAAACTTTCGAGTGGAACCTCCAAGCTTATTCCGTGGTCGAGGCGAGCATCCCAAGACTGGTAAAGTCAAGACTCGAGTTTTACCGGAGCAGATCACCATCAACATTGGCAAGGGTGCCAAAATCCCAACTCCGCCAGCTGGGCACAAGTGGAAGGCCGTCCAGCATGACCAAAAAGCTACCTGGCTTGCCATGTGGCAGGAAAACATCAATGGCGCTTACAAGTACGTCATGCTTGGCGCTGCCAGTGATGTCAAGGGTCAGAGTGACTATAAAAAGTTCGAGAAGGCTCGTGAGCTCAAGAAGCACATTGATAAGATTCGCCGAGATTATACCAAAGATCTTAAGAGTGAGGTTATGGCAGATCGTCAAAGAGCTACAGCCATGTACCTGATTGATAAGCTTGCTCTTAGAGCTGGAAACGAGAAGGACACGGAAAACGAGGCCGATACTGTTGGTTGCTGCTCATTGAAGTACGAGCATATCTCCCTGCAGCCCCCAGACCAAGTCACATTTGACTTTTTGGGTAAGGATAGTATCAGGTACAACGAAACAGCCCGCGTGGATCCCCAAGTTTTCAAAAACTTGAAGCTATTCAAGAAGGCACCAAAGACTGATGGCGACGATCTATTCGATCGCCTCAACGTAAGCAACATTACATCCGCGCGATCTAGGCAGCATAAAATAATCACTAACGACGAATTTTAATTTTTTTTTAGACATCTCAACTGAACAAGCACTTGAACAGCTACATGCCTGGGCTGACTGCCAAGGTCTTCCGTACTTACAATGCGTCGCACACCATGTCCGAGCTGCTCAAGGAGCTGGGTAAGGACCCACGCTCTCGGGGAACCATTGCGGAAAAGGTGAAGCTGTACAATGACTGCAACCGCAAGGTTGCCATTCTTTGTAACCATAAGCGAACTGTTGGCGCGGGGCACGAGCAGCAGATGCAGAAGCTTGGAGATCGCGTAGGCTTTCCCCTCCTTATTTATATATTTATACATATATGTATATGTATAACGAGACAAGCTGCTAACTTCTTATCAGATTAAGGGCCTCAGGTACCAAAAATGGCGGACAAAGAAAATGATTCTTGACCTCGATGCAACTCAAAAGAAGAAGAAGGGCGCAGCCTATTTTGTGCGAGATGAGGATCTCGATGATGAATGGGTCAAGGAGCACCAAGCCTTCTTAGTTGACGAACTGCGCACCAAGATCCAGAAGAAGTTTGAAAAGGACAACGAAAAGCTCAAGGCTAACAAGGAGCGAGTCATGCCTGAAAAGGAGCTTAAAGAACGCCTTCACGCAGTCAAGGATCTCGAAGCCAGATTCAAGAAGGAGAATAAAACTGGCAAAGTCGAAGCCGAAGGCAGAGGAGCGTCAGTCGAAAAATTTTTGTCTTCCATTGACAAGATTGATGAGCGCATCAGGGTCTTGGAGACTCAAGCCGAAGACCGTGATGGCAACAAGGAGGTTGCTCTGAGCACTTCGAAGATTGTAAGTCTGGTAGTATGGCGGTTGATGCAAAAGGTACTGACAATGGCCTCTAGAACTACATTGATCCTCGTCTGACGGTAGTTTTCTCGAAGAAATTCGATGTTCCTATCGAGAAATTCTTCTCCAAGACTTTGCGAGACAAGTTCCGATGGGCTATCAAATCCGTCGAAGACGCAGAAGACTGGGAATTCTAAGGCAGAATTCACAGAGACGAAGATTTTCGAAGTGCTCGCTAAAAGAATCTTTATAATCTTTATTTCCTTGTTGATTTTGCTTTTTCTTTTTCTTTCCTCTTCTTTGAAGTCATTTCGCACCTCCACAAACACAGGCATATATATATACAATATACATTTACGGAAAGAGGGGGCAGACAACCTGTACCTTGAGGAATACAGCCCCAATATCATTCAGGTAGACGCGGCGCAGCAAAACACAGCACTTTTTTTTAACAATTATTTATTTTCATTTTTCGTTTTCGTTTTCGTTTTATTTTCACGGCTCCCACGAGACATGTTACGATGGAGTTTATGAGGGGTGACGGCGAAAAAACAAGAAACATTTGAACATGGTCAAACGCGCACAGCGGAAAATTTGAGGGAGGCTCACACACACAAACGTGCTTATTTCGGGGTGTCTAAGGCGATGAATGGACGGAGTCGCGAAGGGTAGAGAGAGAAGGGGGGGGGGGGGCAGAATTCTTTTTGCTGATATTTTCGCTTTTACATCTGGGGATCAGATTGAGAGGGAAGGCGATGAAGCATGTGAAGGAGGACAGCGAGGAATATAGGGAGGAATTAAAGATAGGTTGGGGCTAGTATAGCTTAAGCCATGCCGTACTGTTTTAATCGATGATTTTATTTCATGTTTGTTTTCGTTGAAGTTGATAGATTTGAGATGCCATTAATCTTTGCTTCATCTCAACGTCAATGAATATTGTATAGGCAAAAGCGTTCAATGGGTACAGGTTGTTATCGATTTCATTGGTTTGCGAGTGAATACCTGTCTATATACATGGAGTATATACAAAGTATTTGATATCAAAACAGCATAATGCGGCTGCCAACCTGCCCATCATACTCTTCATGCTCATGCCATCTATAATGAGTATCCAAAAGCTATGTATGCCGTGATATAACGCCGTAGTAAAATACAATCCCCGTGTGGAGCACATGCCTCTTGCTTCTTTTGCCAGTTTATAAACTCCAATCAGCACCTTCTTCCCCAATATATACATTCCGGCCATTCATTACACATCAACCGTTAAAACCGCTATAGGTTCGTTCGTGCACTCATCATTATATTCTTACAGCAAGTGCCAGCGCACCCATCGCGATATGGCCCAACACAACCATTATCAGCGATGGTATAGGCACACCTAATGCTGTGCCAGCGTTATCACGCGCAATCCTACCATTGGGATTCATATGCCATCCGCTAGGGATGCTCCCCCCAGTAGGAGTCACGCCATCAAGCCACGGGAAGTCAGTCTGTGTGGCAGTAGCTGGGCTTTTATCCGTGCCGATGCCGCCCACGGGAATGGAAAGGACAATCGACGGTGTGCTACCGGACGTGCTGGCCGTGACAGTGAGGTCACTCTGGCCGTTCGCATTGCCGTTGATTTTACCGCCGACAGATTGAATCGATTGCCACGAGCCAGAGTTGTTGCTGTAGACGTATTGCTTGCCCGTAGAGTAGTCGGTGATACTGATGCTTTGTACCATCATAGTAAAGGGGCCTTTGCTGAAGTCAGTAGGCCCTTCAGCCCATTTGACAGTACCTGGAGCATTGGTGGCTGGATCACCACCGGCCCATGAGCCGAACTTGACCTGCATGGGTGTCTGCGGGTATTGGTTCGATTCAGCATCAGCTTGGGTCAGAGTACGCAGCACGGAATCGCCAGCCATCCAAACGATTCTGTCTTGGGTCCAGTCCACCGTGTACTTGATCCAGTTTGCCTGTGTGCCCGAAACGCTGTGGAACTCTCCACGGTTGTAAGATGTGGTTTGGCCCTTGCCAAAGTAGTTGGACTGCATCTGGTCTGGCTCAGCCCCAAGCCACTCCATATCAATCTCATCTAGATCATCCGACTGTAACACCAACGATGAGACAATACCAGCTCCAGGGGCAGCCTTCATGGTGATTTCCACTCGGCCAAACATGATGTAAAACACGGAAGTGAGCTGTGGAGCATCGCCACCAGCAGCAACGGTAAACGAGGCGCCATTGCTGTTGTATGTTGGCGAACCAGATGCGACGAATGAATTGACGCCGCCCTTAGTGAAGTCAACGTTGATGCTCATGCCCAGAGCCGTGTCCGCGGGACATGAGCCTGTGAAGCCGCAGAGACATCTCGGTTAGTCCACAGTTGCAAATCAGACCTGAATCAAATGAACCAGAGGCCTAGGGCCGTGACAGATCAACTTACTAGTCAATGGGTTGCACCGGCTCCAGGTCTGTGCCAAAACCGCTCCCGGAAACGCCAAGGCAGCTACAGCCGCGCAGGCGATGCTCGCCACTCGTCTCATGGCTGCAAGGAGGAGGGCCAAGAAAAAGTGACGGATCGAAATCAGGAACAAAAGCAGAAAAAGATGGTCCCTGCAAGCGATGCAGCCTCGTGCAGCTTGTGTGGCAGAAGGAGTGTGCTAGTGCCGCGCAAGGGGGAAGCGCGATAAGATAGTGCAAAGAGAAAGACTAGAGGGGGAAAAAAAAATACTATTCGTCCTCGCACGTAATGCTTGTAGGAGCTGAGGCTGCGTGATGCTGCTTTGTCGCTTCAGTACCTAGCAGGTATGTACGTGCGTACTTACTACTGTACCAAGCTGGTAGGTACAAAGTAAACAGACTCGTGCTTAATCGAGCCAACCGCAAAGTGCAGTAAAAGCGCGCACAAAAAGCAAAAGGTTATGCAAGGAGATTCAGACTATGCCTTTCAGCATTCCAGTCTCAAAAGGGCTTCAAAACGAGAGAGAAATGGTAAAAAGATTTGAAGCTACGCAAGCTGGGGAGTCTGAGATGCAGTAAATCCAACCAGAATAAACAAATGGCTGGTTATAAGCGGGGGGCTTTGCACCTTCCCAGCCACTCGAGTTGCTGCCGTCTTCGTCATCGAGGCCAACTTCCAAGGCAGGCTCGTATCAAATCAGCGCTATTTCTGGAGTAGTTGCCGTGTTCTTGTTTTCTGCTTTGCTTTTGTCCGTGTCTCTTTCCTTTCGTTTCTTTTCTTGCCCTCTCTGGTTCTCGCACAAGACGTAAACTGGGCAGTTCCTCCCTCGCGTCAACGACCCACCGCCTTCTCTCAATTTTTACTACTAACGCAGTGCCATTTTTCTTATTCACTGAATCATATGCTTTCCCACTTTGATATTTCTGCCTTTTCCTCATTCTCTGCATAATGCATATGCAGCCGTCGTTAGTGACCTTTTTTGCTCTCTGCCTTTCCCTAGGCTCTTTTTCCCCATATCTTCTTCATCTCCCAGCGTGCATTGGCGGTCAACCATTCATGCGCTGGCCACTGAAGTGACAGCTGTCCGACGTACCCAGCACTATTAATGCGGGTGGTTGGGACTTGACGCAGTAGCATGGCCGGCCCCTCAAGCCGCGACCCGATTGGGTGTCGTTGCTTGAAGCCCAAAAGCGGGCCCCGGAGCCGAAGCGCAGAATTTCGGTGAGAGCAGCCCGCCGGTCTCCCGGCCTACCCTACAAACCTTATATGGAGCAGCAGTACATAATCGAATCCATTGGGCTTCTGACGTGGCGGCCGAAGGTGGAGGAGCGCCGGCAGCATCGTACGGGACATGCGGTGAAGGTCCGTCTATTATGCCGTTTACCAGCGGCGGACTTATGCTGGGAAGGATGCCGTTGCTGTTTGACAGCCCCAGTTGTGACGTGTTGCTCCTTTGAAGGCTTCTAACTTGCTCGCGTATGTGGGAATAGCAGCACTAGCAGGCAGCTGCTTTGCCGAATAAAGCGACAGCTACAATTAGGTATAATCATGATGCTTGACATACAAGGACGCTATCGACATGGACAATATCATATCACACGCCCCGCGGGCTCACTCCCCAAGCGCAGGGAACGGGCCCTTGCAGCCACCACGACACAGCATTTCAAGTCTGCCTGCAGTGTCCGGGGCTTGACCTAGACGGCAGTGTATCCATTGTGAATATCGAGATTGTGACAGAGCCTAACAACTCACCAGCTATGCTGGTAGGTCTCGACGCCGCAGCGTCGTACATAGTATGTAAGGAGAGGATTATCGCGGCTCCGCAGACCGCCTGGACCCCTCCTTCAGTAAGGCCCAAGATGCCGCAACTAACAGCAGCGCCACTGGCCAAATCCCAGCTCGTATCGATCAATTGATAAAGTTTCCCTTATCAATGAATGACACTGGGAAAGACAAAGACTTCTCGTCAGATTAGACAGAATGCACGGTTCGCTAGCTTATGTGACAGTTGTTCGTGGTATAGGTAGCAATAGAGAAACAGGGTAATCACATAACGGTTAGGCTGTTGGTAGATGCAGGAAAAAGCACAGCGTTGTTTCGGGCTTCAACTAACCCGGATGAGAGGCAGTCTAAGCAGATGAGACTGAGCAGCTTTTACAGCCATCTCCATAATATCACCCACCTGTTGACTCTTCCCGAGCCGAGACAAGACACACGCCAACTTGATCATGCACGTTGCATGTATGCAAGTTTCTCGGCAGGAATGCATGCCTGTCCCGGCTCAGTAGCCCATTGCTGATGCATTTCCCCGGCATGAGAAGTGGCAAAAAAGAAAAAAGAAAAGAAAATAGCGAATGCAAGGCCGGTTATTATTTCTGAAGCGGGCATTGCATCGGCCTGATCTATAGGCGAAAAGGGCAGTCAATCGTAAGACACAACGGTTAATGGGCTGCTAGCGCAGCAAATCGCATCCATGATCAAGATCTGTCCCCTCTCGCATATTACCCCTCCAACCCAGAAACCAGGCAAAAATCCCACATGTCTCATGATGTTAGACAGATGCTCCTATGGCCGTGGATCGCGTGTAGCAGTAAGAAAGAAATAACTAGTCTCATTAGCATACTGTACTTGTAGCAAGACATTACGAGGTCTGGCGTAGAAGTCAGTCCATGGCGTAGACGAGGCCATATTACTAGTATCACCTTGATGTGGTATATCATTCCAAATCTGTTGGAATCAATGGCAGCCGTCTGGCCGTGTCTGATAGGATACCAATCAGGTGCCAGAGCTTATTCTCTGCTTACACAGCAGAGATGCTATTCTCTTTTCTCCTTGGTTGCTCCCCATGATTTCTCAGAATCGACTAATGGGATGCCTCTTAGCCATCAGGGTAGTAGAACTGGACCCCGTCTAATAGTTACTCTGCAAGTTTTACCGCGAGAGCCGGATTTTTTTTTTCTCTTTTTTTTTTCTTTGAAACAGAGAGCGAGTGAATATGCAACAGGCTGCAGCTCGCAGTGTCACACTGGAGCCAAGAGCAACACAATTGCATTGTACCCTCTGCGGGCAGCTCATACATTGGTTCAATTTCCCACCCTCCATGATCCGCCTTTTCGTGGCACCTCCTTCACTCGCGCTTTGATACGGGAGTAAAAAAAGAAACAAACCATGACGCCACCCGAGCTGTAAGGAGATTTTGGCTCTCTCAAAAAGAAAAGAAAAATGAGAGAGAAGATTGCAAAGGGGCCACTAGACATGTCAGAAGTCAGAAGTCAGAGGTTGTGCGTGTTAGCTTGCTTTAGCTTAAACCTCTAAGAGCTTGCTCATGTCTCAGCTGTTGGTAGACCCAGCGCGCCATCGCCATACTGTACGGAGCAACGCACTCCATTGATGACATTTAGGACTAATGAATGACGCGCGCCACTTCCTCGTGGGCACAGGGCAGGACGAAAAAGCAAAAGGCAAAAAGCACCGAATGAATGAGCTGTGCATCATACTTCGTAATTCCCGGTGGCTCAGTCTGTTGGTCGATCCGCCAGGCACTAGTCGAAGCCAATATCGCTCGCAGAACATCACCACCACACTGACACGTAATGCAGAGCCACAATCGCAATTGCAATCACAATCTTCACAGCTCACGGAGTGCTATCGCCACCGGACTCCCGTCAAGCCATCATCCACACTCCGGCCCGTGCTCGTATTGATGTCTGTGCCATCAGACAATCGCACGCGGATATCGGTAATTGTCTGTGAATGGCGCAGCAACACTCTCGGCGAGAGACCGTCTAGGGACTCGTGCGCACAGCTATTGCTTTTTCTTCACGGTGTCCGGGTTGGCTGGAGCCACTCGGCTGCGCTGCCGCGGCGGCGTTTTTGAAATGAATAACCCACACACCGTACGCCACTGGCTGAGGCGAAAAAAAAAAAAGAAAAGAAAAGAAAGAAAATAACCATGGCTTGACTAGGAATTCCATCAGCAATTCGTTCCGTAGCGATATTATTGTTTGTGTAATTTAAGAGAACCACCAAACCGTTGGCTATTGGTCTCACATACAACACCTGTATGGAGACACGAGTTCGTATGTATAAGCCTCAATAAATCTGGAGATCCACCGTTAAATACTAGTGGTAGTAGCAGCAAATTTTAAAGTCTTGCTAATTTCCACACAGTACCCAGCCCAAGAAGATGAAAATAGAATATTGTGACGTCCGTCAAGTGGACATTCGCTTGATTTAATTCACCTGAGCGTTTCTATTTTTAATGGAAAAATAAAATGGTACCGCTGAAACACTGATGTCCGCAATTATATGAGGGCAATATGACATATCGCCGTTGCTGGAGTCAGTGCTCCGGACGGCGTAGCTGTAGCAATAGTTCATCAACACGCATAGCTAGTAGCAGCCCGCCAGCTCGTGGCAATAGCTTGAGCAATCGGTTTATCGTGCGTGCATGAACCGTCCTACGCTTGTTGCCCGTCCGCCCGTCCGTAGTTCTAAATTGGTGCCCACAGACCGCATCCCGCACTTTGCATTCAACGGCTCTAGCTGCTGGACCTTGCTAAGTGATGCTGTGCCGTGTGTAGGCTGCTCACGTACCCTGTAGTCCCGTGGCGAGAGAATAAACTAGTGAATGCCCTGTGACAGTGGTCCCAGTGTATACTGTAAGTGCATATTCATAATACTGTAGCATAATGAGCGTTCCTGAGGCCGTTTATGCATTCTCAAACGGTAGCAGGGTAGCATCAAACGACTGCCGGCAGATGATGGGGGCGGTTGTGCCTTTGCTAGCGAAACGACCTAACCCAGCCGCTCACATCCGCGCAACACTAAATGGTAGCGGTCCAGCAACAAGACGCAAAGTCGACCGATAGCGGCTGCTCTATCTGGCGCCACTCGACTGCCGCGGAATCGCTAAATCGGAATTGTTGGACGAGCTTTGGCTGCCTTCTGTAGAAAACTTGCGTGGGCATATCTGGAATCGCCGACGCAGCAGGCGCGATATTGAGTTGAGGCCGGGAATGGCTATACAGGAATGGATACGCCATACCGCCGTACGAGTGCCAGCACCACCCGGGACCTTCGGTTGCCGTGCCCTTGCACAGCAGGGCCTGGCATTGCGACGACGAATCTGGGAAGATTGGCTATAGAAGGTCGAAATGTGGGTCGTGAAACCTTCCAGAAGCTCCATGGGCTTGGGTTGCGGAATGCCCAATTGGCCGTCCTAAGCCCTTGCTGGAATAAGTCGTACCTGCGCTAGCCCGGGGGATGCCCTGGCTAGCCTTTTGCCAGCAATGCCTCTCTCCACTGAGCTCTTTACATGGCACAGCGAAGTGGTTTACCATGGTCATGGTAGCGGGTCGGCCATAGGCACTGAACAGCCGAAGCATTGAGCCCTTTTTCCTGTTCCAAGTGATGGACCCCACGGTGCTGCCGGCATGAAGTGATGATATGCCGTGAAGAACAGAGCAATGCGGCCTTTCAAGCTGAGGCAAGCTGAGACACATGGCAAAGACGAAACCAAAACTGACAATAGCTCGAAACAAGTCTAACCCGTGAAGAAACACCCGTGCCGCATCGATTGTTATGCTCAAAGCGGGGAAGCCTGTCAGCCTTTTCTTCGGCAATACTTGCGTCTGTGCTAGTAGTATTCTACAGTAGCGGTTCTTGTGGCAGTTCCTACTGGCAGCACTGCTTGCAAACACAGAAGGCGTTCGTCGTCTCTCTCGGCTCGCCGAGGGGGACAACGAAGGATGGATAGAAGACTGGCGTTGTTCTACCAGTGGACCTTGGGCACACAATTTGCCGTGCCATGGCCAAGCAGAAATCCGGGGAGCGGGTAGACCGCTAGGGTCCGGTGGCAAGGGCCAAGTGATCCCGGTCCGCCAGGCCACTATGGTATCAGAGCGAGATGCTGGCCACACGGCTGCGAATCCGGGCCGCTGCTAGTCTTTGCGCATTGTGCAGTGAGCTTCGTGTCCCAGGGCCCTGGTCGTTTTGATCTAAGAGATTAAGTCCTGACTCGTCCGCATCCGTCAAAGTCACTTGACATTGTCCCTTGTATTCGACGGTGTAAAAGGCGGTGGCAAATATGGATTCAACTTCCCTTTGCCGACTCTTGTCGAGCAATTGCTTGCCAGGATGCATCACCGGCTGTGAGCTCCGTACTCCGTAGTTGGGATGATAGTTCATGGACTTACATAGTACAGGCGCCAAATGGAGCAGATGGACTCCATGAGTTATCTCGATTTGCCGACCATGTTAGTGCTGTTGGCCATCGTTGCTGGTTTGCCTCCTCCTATCAAGGCAAGGACGGACCCTCGTGCTTTTTTCATTTGATGTTTTTCTTGTGCGCGCACGCGGTGCAGAAGAGAATTTTTGTGAGTTGGTTTGGCTAAATTGCTCATGCCACCCCAAAAGAAGTAGCGGTGGACGATTTTGAGAGATATTCGAAAAAGAATCACAAGAGCGCAAACCAACGGTGAAGGACATAAACGTGCAGAATGCCTGCAGCAAAAAAAAAAAAAAAAAAAAAAAAAAAAAAAAAAACTGCCTCGACGTGGGCAGACTGTTGGCAGTACCCAGCTAGACCACTATCCGCAATAAGCAAGCTGCAGAGGCGGCCCAGCCAGAGCATGACTTGTAGTGGCGAGCAGCCAGCTTGGCCAGCGCGGATTGGCTCGAGCTGCTCCAACAGAAGCCCGTAGTGCCCAGAGTGGTGCAGCTCCCATGTCGCTTTAGAACGTCGACTACCAGTCTTCTAGGGCTCTCGCTCGAGTCCGGGGACGCTGTCGCAGGCATCCGTAAACCAGTGACTGGCGCCACAGGCTGCCGGGGTCATCCGAGTCAAGAAGACCGCCTCGTCTGCTGGCAAGATGCAACAGTTGTCGCACCCTTACCCTACCCAGGGCTGCCTGAGAGCCCGCCGCCGTGCTAGTAGTGCGATCTGTCGTCTGCAGATGCCAGAGACACCTCGCCTAGCAAGGATGTTGCCGAATTCTTTTGTCTCTCTCTTTCCCAGGCGGTGGACGCTGCCGGTTCCGCGAGCAGCACCTGGTATGCGGCATCCATTTTGGCGAAGCGGCGAAGAAAAAAAAAAAAAAAGCTTTTTCCCGCGCAGCCTGTCAGGCACCACCGTCCTGGTTTCTGGCGGTGTCGGTCCCCCCCCTCCCCCTCCCCCTCCCCGGCTGTCATTTGAGCGCAGCATGTGCCGATATCTCAGAGCTTCAGAGCGACGAACAGTCGGTGGCCGTGCAGACGGCGGATGAGGATCTGTGGAGAAAATCTCGACCATGGAGCGGCTTTGCTGGTTGGTTCATCTCGCTCTTTTGTAGCTCGTGTCACTCTGCTAATTAGGCTATTGCCTTAGCCAACTCAAGTTTGCGGAGGCGGGTAGTGACGCCCAACGGCACTCCTCTGCTGTGCTCTGGGCGACAAGGCGGCGAGCTGACGACGGTTACCTGGAGCAGCTTCAGACGGGTCGAGGGCGGGTGGAGAGAAGAGTCGGTGCTAGGCCAGGCTGGGGGTGACGGGAGGTGGTGGTGCATCGTGCATTGCACAAAGTCCCAGTAGTCGCTTGTGCTAGCATGCGGTGTACACAGGGACGGATTGGCACAAGCGCGGATGCGCGAGTGAGGTGGCAGCTACAGGGACCAGCTGGGGAGGGCCAAGGGGCCAGGCGGAACGAGCCCTCAGCAGCTGTGGGCGGTACCTGCATACAGCGGGCTCCAGTGGCCGCATTGGTTCCTGCATGGCTGCGTCTGCAGCGCAGTGGCGGTCTCTTCACAGTGGGGACGCGCCAGGTTAATGCAGTGGCCAAGCGGTGGGGGACGCCGGCCAGTCGCAGCGCCGAATTGCGCATGCGCGGGCGATGAAGCGTGCACTGCGATTAATGACCCCGGGCATTGGGATAATGTGCGCTGTGCTGCTTTGTCGGTCAGCGCAATGCTGGCCAGCCACTTACTCGCACTCCCGCGCGCACATGCGTCACCATTCATCATGTCATGATTAATTACAAAGTGCGTCCAACGGAGCCGATTAATTAATTGCTCGCACAATAGTCGTCAGTTGGTTGCCCGGGGTCACAGTTGTCGGCACAATGTCGGTACGGGGCGGAGCGTCGCCATTCTAATTTAGCAACACGGGGTCTAGCACCGTCTTGGGCGTAGCAGCGCCGTCGACGGCCAACGGCGCAGAGGCGGCGAGTGATAGTGACAGCACTTGGGACGATCCATTTGCTCTTCTGGTGCCTGATCGTTTGATGTGATTGCCTGTTCCGGCTAGCAAATCAATTTGACGGACGGCGCTTGCGTTTGGCGCATGTTCCCCAAGTGTTCTTCAATATCCCGTTTCGTCCGCACGTGCTATCTGCGTCCAGTTGGCGGAGCATCATCCCATAATTGCACATCATGCGCAGCTTCTACCGGAGTGTTCGCTTATGCTAGTGTGTCGGTGAAGGCAAAAACACATACAGTAATGAAACAAGTACTGTACAATGAATGGATTATGGACCAAGGGCACTTCGTATTACTGTATATACTACTGCTACCATTACGGTGTACCAAGTGCTGCTGTGCGCAACTGTACCTACTCGTAATGGCCCGGGCCTGCCGCTGCCAGGGCCCGACGACGAAGTGGATTTGCCTGAAAGTCCACGCAATGCCTGCAGGATATCGATAAGAGGCGAAAGTGCCTTGGACGGGAAAAAAAGACGCCTCTCTGGCTTTGTGCAAGGTTCAAGGGTCTGTGCACTTTGTTCATGCATTTCCATTCTCGACTCGTTATGCAGCACTAGGGTTTCAGATTAAACAGCGCGGCCAATAGGACCGTTGCCACTGATCCAGCATATGGCATAAGTCCGTTACTTTAGCGACGGCGGCAGCCAATGCTGGTATCGTGCGCTGTGATAATCGGCGGATGCTGCAGGCGCAAGATTACTGCTGGTCTTATGTGTACGGAGCATTGCAGGCACCATCTCCAAACGTCAAATCACTGACACCGCTAGACGGCACCGACGTGACGGCTCGGACTGGATGGAACCCTCTGCATGCGGGAAGAGCCTGTACATCACATCACACACGCACGCACACACACACTGCACGCACATGCTGAGAATCAATGCTGACGGCTTGATCCTGATAGGGCAATCTTGGGTGCATGGAAATTGGATGCTGCTAGTAGAAAATACGGCAGAGCTAGAGACTCGCGCAGCACATGCTGTTTCTTCGATAAGAGGTACCCTAGGACAATAGTATCGGCTCAATCAGCTCAGGTTGGCTTCGGTCTACAGAGTACCATGCATGGGCTTCTCCAACTTGCAAAACCACCTCTTTTTTGCCTCTTTTGTAAAGACTAGCGGAGCCGACAAGTATACTATTGCAATCTATCTTAGCAAGTTGGCATAGTCTTTCCAAGACAAGACTAACAACAAGCCACCAATAAGCGAGTGATACTGCGGGCACAAACTACTTGCTAGTAGTGCTACCGCTGTCTTGCAAACAGGCAGCCTCTTTATTCTCCCCAGCTGCACGACGATGGACCCCCAATGGCTCGCCAGGCGTTGTGGCTAATGGAATATGGCCCGAATGAACCAGGACGAAATAGACAAGTGATTGAAAATTGAAACAGCCTCCCACCCATCTCACGACACACCGTTAGATGTCGCCAAAGTGGCGGCCATGCAGGCTGTCTGGCAATAGTCCGGAGGAATGGCTGCATCCAACAACCTATCGGACGACTGCCAGGGCTCGCTTAATTATGTACCTACACCGTAAAAAGGGAAAAGTGGAAATCTATCCCAGCAACCACCCATCACTGTAATTGCGGTGACAGGCTTTTTTTTTTTTTTTTTTTTTTGTTTCGATAAACAAGCACGTGCAAAAGTACTGCAAACGCTCCTCTTCACCGTTGTTGGTCGAGATGAAGAGAAAAGAGTACATGGACGCTAGGGCAACGCAGCCCATAAAGATCGCCCTCGACAACAGCGCCATTCCCACTCTTTTCCGCAATCGACAACACTGCTATGACTCGCCTCAGCAGCCATCACGGCGGATGGTGAAACTGGTGGTTTGCTGTGCCGGGGAAAGCCACCGCCCACCGACTTGGAGTCGAAATAGCTCCGCACGGAGTACAGTAGCCTTCCAGTAGCTTTAGCGGGCCGGAGAGCCCCCACCGGCGAGACGGCCGTGGCTCGATTCTCAGCCCAGGCGATGGGAGGGGCCTGGAGCCTCAATGGGGCATTTTGCGGGAACGCGCGGGGCCACCAGGCGATAGCGAGCGCGGTTCTACGTTTGGCTGTCCCGGAGAGGGAGGTTGGATGGAAGCTTTGCTGGAATCTCTGGTCGAGGCGGTATACAAGGTCGGTCGGTACGGAGCGCATGACAGCACATACTGGGAGCAGCAGCGACTACGGTACAGAGAGGGGTTGAACATGGGTTGTTCTCCATGCAGCAGGAGATGATGGCGGGTGCAAAGAAAAAAAGAAAAGAAAAGAAAAGAAAAGAGGCGACAAAAGCGAAAAGAGTCAAGAGAAAAGAGAAGGGCAAAGCTGATGCGATTTTTTTTTTTTTTTTTTTTTAGTTAGTTTCTGCTAGGGGCGGTGCATCTTTGTTTGGCCGCACGATTGTTTGCCACGCTGCCCGTATTTCTCGTCTCTTTTCGTATACATACTGCATCCTGTTTATCTAATACAAGTACAGTAAGCACGCTGCTTTTTCTCTCTTGTCTCTTTTTGCTACTTGCGAGTAGGCGTTTCGTATTTGGGCTCTTGTGTGTGGCTACAGTACGGGCTTCAATACTACTGTCCCGGCTAGAACTAGCGCGCAGCACTAATTCGACACAAACAACAGAAAAAGAGTCCTAATGCATAAGCATTATGGAGCACATACGAGAAGGCTAGGCACAAGAGTATGAAACAGATGACGAAAAAGGTGGTATTAATGTATAGCACCGAGTGGAGCTGGCCTATTCTTGTACGAAGTGCAGTGGTACATAAAAAGGAATCCACTCATGCAGTCCGCTCCTCTTGGATTGTGATCGACGCACTAGACCTAGTTCTGGCAACTGGGCAATATGTCAGATCCAGTATGGTTGTCGATGGCCACCGTAAGACCAGATCACTTGGGCAATACCAGCAGCAGACATGGTATAATAACAATGGACGATAGCAGAATACCACAACTGGGGCATGCTATAGGTAGGCACTGCATCCTCCTACCAGCAGCAGTGCCTGCATAGCCTGTGTGACTGCTACCGCTTCGCAAGCATTCATGTCTATCTTGGATACCTGGTTCTTTTCACCTGCCCGACGGGCCAGTCAGCTCACCCATCCGCTCACTGATATGCCCTGACGTGACAAACACACCATCACATAATTAAACAGCGTGGGCGGCAGCATGGCCAAACAACTCTTCAGCCGTTGCCAGTGCAGTGAATGTAACCTCAGCCCTTCCCACCCATCGGCCAATCTGGCATCCGCATTTGACGTCGTTTTGCCTTGGCCTCAAGATTGCGATTGGGGTCGAGGTTTACGATTGGAGCAGCTTCGTTATCTTGGGCATTCCCACTTCCCTAGTGACAAAACGGCCGGTTTCACCTGGGCTACTAACCATTGAATGACTTACAACCACTGGAAGAGCTGGGCGGCGCATCGCCCAAGCTGCGATATCATGTGCCTTGCAGCGGTGGGGACGTACGTAGGTGTGACGCCAAAGGTCGAGTCCAATGGCTGTGCATGGTCGAGCGTGCGTCAGTGTGCAGAGCTGAGACGGCGGCTTTTTGTGCAAGCTCTGTGGGTTTATCCCATCGCACCACGGCAGTATGCAGGGCTTGTGACGCGCTCACAGTGTGCTCGTGCTGCGCTGTGAGTGGCCGAGGGGGGATGGGAAAATGGCGCGCACAGAGGCAGCCTGTCAACGGCGGGCAGCGAGATTTGCAGGCTAAGCAAGCAGTGCTACCACCCGCAAGTCTAGCACGAGTAGCACCTGGGTTTAGTGGGTGGTGGTATCTGTTTAGTGGATGGGACGACTGGTATTAGCTGGGTTGGCGCCGGCGCTGGCCTCTGCATACCCGCCAGCCCAGTCTGGCTGATGCCATAGGCGGCCGCTCGCCATCAGGTGTGCGTGATGCGTGGGATTGGCATCAAATCATCGAAGCAGACAAACGAACGGCATGGCAATGTGCGGCCCAATCATCGGCACTACCGCCGTTCAGATGTCATTTGCGAGGCATCCATCTCTCGAGCTTTGGAGGATCTCGTGGCTTTTTTTTTTTTTTTTTTTTTTTTTTCCCTGCTCTGCACGCGCGCCCACACCTCCAAGGCGGGTTGTGATGGGATACTAGCCGTATGCGCGCGACAGCAGCAACAAACAACCAGGGAAGAACAACACTCATAGGCTCGGTTGATGGTGGCTTTTTTCTTTTCTTTTCTTTTCCTTTTTTTCACACGCCTATTTTTTTTTTCCCGTCCCCTCACTTTCCAATCCCAAGACAGCAGCCGCTGTGGAGAGAGCCTGTGCGTTTGCGCTGTGCCTGTCACGGTGCATCCGAGAGGCAGCGGCGTTGTCTCTCTCATTATGCTTGTTCCTCATGCCGTATGGACGGCTGCACTTGGGACGTTACGCTCGCTCGTACTGTATGTTCCGGCAAGCCCACACCACAGTCAGTCCAGAATTAGAAATGGTGGCTGCGCCATGCTCTCCCGCGGTTGACTCAAAAAGCCAGCCAGTCATCTCGTTAATTTGCACGGCACAAACGCCCACTGCGAGATGGGGTCCCAAGTGAGCAGTCCAAGGCGTCCAAAAAGTGCGCGTTGGTGCTTGGGAGAGCGGCGGCGCAATACGGGGCCTCGCACCCGCCGCCTTCTTGGTTTTGATTGCATTACATGTAATGCCACGGCCTGCTGGCATGTACAGCATGTACTATTACTCGTGCTATGCTAGCCCGCAGCGGCCAACGCTCACCATGAGCGCAGAGTCGTGTTGTCGCGGTGGTGAGGCCCACCGCTTTAGCAGCCTGTATCCACTGCCAGCAGAGCCCGCGACTCGAGTTTGGCCTGATCAACTGCGATTTTTTTGTCAACTTCCCACTTTGGCCCAGCAGCGCCAGTACGTACCTCCGCTAGCTCGACACTAGGTACGTACCGCCTCCACGGACGTCTCGAGAGCCACCGCGACCAGGGTCTCGTATACTAAACTAAGAGATCCCTGCAAGGCCGCTGGACCTTGGAGTTGGGTCCTCTCAAGGTTCACACACCCCGGGCGCCATCCTGGTCACCTCAGACATCCCAGACGTGCTAAGACACCCTGGCCTGGGCCTGCACCAACCTCGCACACCACTCGCCCCAGACACCTCACGGACGACAGGGGCCAGGGAGGGAAGCCTGTCCCGTCATGTCCGCGCAACGGATCCTGGCTTTTGGCCCGCCGTCGAGTGAGACAAAGTGGACATGGGCCTTCGTGGAGGCAACGGAGCGTTCCCACCTTTGGCTCTGCCTATCGGTCGATTGATGATCTTGCTTGGGCTTCATCGTCCTACTACTTATCCTGCCATGGCCCCCGCCATTGCCATCAACTCATCCCATACGATCGACAACCGTGAGCTTGTGTGATCTTGTTTTATACCCTCGATTCTTCCTTCTTTTGCGAACTGGTCTTCTTTGGAACCTCGATATAATTCTTCGAGACTCCTTCCTTTCTTTTGCTCAGCCATTCCTCGTCTACTCGCATCTCCATCCTCTTCTCTGTTTGCGCCAATACACACAACGCAACCAGCAACACCCACTCCCCCATTCAGTCTTTGACAGTCTCATCACTTGCACAAGACTGCTATCCATTCTTTATTCCAGAGCCGGAGACGACCTGACGAGAAACCAAAACCACTCTTTTCCTGTCAGACCAATTGCCTGGGCAATTGTATAATACGGAACGCTACTATATCCATAACTATAACACTTAATATTTAAATATTATTCGGAAGCAACCACAGAGAGGTTAGACAAAGCGCAACGATGCCATTCCATCGCAGAGGACACCTGAAGAGCTAACACACGCTGCGCAAACAGAAACTATGGACGGCATGATGTCTCAAGCTATGGGACAGCAGGCGTTCTACTTTTACAACCACGACCACAAGATGGCCAGACAAGCCATTTTCGCACAGCAGATGGCCGCCTACCAGATGGTGCCGACCCTGCCGCCTACTCCCATGTACTCTCGACCAAACTCCTCCTGCTCTCAGCCACCGACCCTCTACAGCAACGGCCCTTCAGTCATGACTCCCACAAGCACACCTCCGCTGTCTCGCAAGCACATGATGCTGGACGCAGAGTTTGGCGACAACCCATACTTCCCCTCCACTCCCCCTCTGTCCACCTCGGGCAGCACCGTTGGCAGCCCCAAGGCCTGTGACATGCTCCAGACCCCCATGAACCCCATGTTCTCTGGCCTGGAGGGCATCGCCATGAAGGAGTCCGTCGACGCTACGGAGAGCCTGGTCGTTGACTGGGCCAGCATCGTCTCGCCACCCTTGTCGCCTGGTAAGTGTTTTCCCCCAAGCATCGCCTGGATTAATTTCCGCGTCGAATATTCCCTTGCCCTTCCATGCAGTAAAAAAAGAACCCAGAGCCGGAATTGCAACTTAAAATGAATACTGGGGCGGGACACAGGCTAATCCGCTTTGGGCAGTGTACTTTCAATCTCAGGTTAGCAAGGTGCCTTCGCCTACCTCCAGCCCAAGCGACATCCTGTCCACAGCCTCATGCCCTTCTCTGTCTCCCTCGCCAACTCCCTATGCGCGCTCTGTCACATCTGAGCACGATGTTGATTTCTGCGATCCTCGCAACCTGACCGTCTCTGTTGGCTCTAACCCCACTCTGGCCCCGGAGTTTACCCTGACTGGCCTGGCCGAGGACATTAAGGGCGAGCAGCTGTCCACCGCTGCTGCCCAGCCCACCTTCGACTTCAACCCAGCGCTGCCAAGCGGTTTGCCGACCTTTGAGGACTTTTCCGATCTGGAGTCCGAGGCCGACTTCAGCAACCTGGTCAACCTTGGCGAGGTCAACCCCATTGACATCTCCCGCCCACGTGCCTGCACCGGCTCCTCTGTTGTTTCTCTGGGCCACGGAAGCTTCATCGGTGACGAGGAGCTGAGCTTCGACGACAGCGACGCCTTCCAGTTCCCTTCTCTGCCCAGCCCTACTTCATCTGTCGATCTCTCCGACGTCCACCAGGACAAGAGACGAAAGAAGGAGAAGAAGGAGACCAAGCCCATCATGAACACTGCTGCTAGCGGCTCTCAGTCTGGCAACGAGCAGATTGGCGCTACCCAGGCTGCCTCTGCTGCCTCCGACTCCAATGCCTCCTCCGCTTCTGAGGACCCATCTTCTTCCATGCCTGCTCCCACCAACCGCCGTGGCCGCAAGCAATCCCTGACCGAGGATCCCTCCAAGACCTTCGTCTGCGACCTCTGCAACAGACGCTTCCGTCGCCAGGAGCACCTGAAGCGACACTACCGCTCTCTGCACACTCAGGAGAAGCCTTTTGAGTGCAACGAGTGTGGCAAGAAGTTTTCTCGCAGCGACAACCTGGCTCAGCACGCCCGCACCCACGCCGGCGGCGCCATTGTCATGAACCTCATTGAGGATGGCTCCGAAGTCCCCACCTTTGATGGCGGCATGATGACTGGTCCAGTAGGTGATGACTACAACACCTATGGCAAGGTCCTGTTCCAGATTGCGTCTGAGATTCCTGGAAGCGCCAGCGAGCTCTCTTCAGAAGAGGGCGACCAGGGCAAGAAGAAGCGCAAGCGCTCTGACTAAACGATTGGTCTATGACATATCTATACACACGCCTGACATGATAATTCTTACCAATTCTTGCTACACTTCCCTCACTGCTTGAGGAGAAGTGTAAGCCCTATTTTCAACACATACACTTTTACCTAGAGGAGGGTATACACTACATACAGGGAAAAAGCTCAAGCGGTTATGATTGCATTTTCAAACCTTTCAGTTCTTGTATCGACTTGCAACATCATACTGATGATATTCTTTTTATATCGGGATTACTTAATCCCCTTATCTTTTCTACACTTTATTTTTTTTACTACTTTTTTTGCATCATGACGAAAAGTTCGACCCAGATCGAACTCGGAAGAGGACATGAGTTTTTTTTTTTTTTTTTTTATTTTGGCGCGCATGGCGGATTTTTTCTTTTTATTATTTTAGATTTCTTTTTATATATTTGGCACTCACAACGACGGCATTCCAATCAGTTGGCTCTGCCCCTGTTATTACACTTTGTGTAATAATCCATCGCGAGCGATGGCTGGAAAAGTCGTTTTTGCCATGGTGGGAATAACTGAAACATAGAGAGGGATGCTTTGGAAAGCACCAAAGGCCAGTGGAGGATCGCTACCGCCAATCATTTGGAAGGTTGATTCCTTTTCTTTTAGTACAACTTTTTTTTGATTTGTACTGCTCTTCATTGAGCACGTGGGTTTAATGGCTGTGTGGTGCGGGTCGCAATCATTTTTTAGGGAAAGATTTTAACTTGACGCTATGCCAACCAATAAGAAAAAACACTGTTGCCAAAGTAACTTACTGAATTGTGCCCTTTGAGATGGTGACCAATGTTTGCCTGTGGCCAGTGAAGTGTTACGATTTTTTTTTTTTTTTTGGTATATATAGAGAGGAAATGGGGTATAGACAATGGGTTTTAGACAGATTAGACATCCTACTAGACATAGAAACGAAATGATCTCAACTGAAATCTCTGTCTCTTGCCATCTTGCCATGATTTCCTTGTGACGTCCTTGTGCGACGATGCTACTACGCTACAATTATGAAGCTTAGACACAAGCCCGCGGTGTAGAGAGCTAAGAGCGGCCTCGTTCAGATAACGTTCTTACCACCCTCCATGCTGTTCCGTCGGATAAAAACGATGTGTAGTATTTCTACGAGTTAGGTACTACTATCACAAACGCGTCTAATACATAGCACATAACGACAAGAGTTACGCTCTTGAACCGTTTACCCGCCGTTATGATACCCTACTTGCAATAAACAACCCATAGCCCAGGCCAAAAGTTAACGACCCTTGACTATTTCTCTATGAAGCGTATAGAAGGGGGAGGGCGATAGAAGGGGTGATAGATGGGGGGGGGGGGGGGGGAGGAGGGAAATTCGTTTGACAGTTTACGACCTGTGACATCTCTCGTCTCGAAAGAAGAGNGGGGGGGGGGGGGATAAGGGCTCAGTTGGAAATGGAAATGGCCCAAAAAGAACAATTGATGGAAGAGCTCGCTGGGTTGAGCGAGTGGAGAACGTTGCGGCATTACTGGCTGTCCTTATCCGGGAAAGCCATGGCCTGCCTGGTTCCCTCTAGGTGAGGCGTAGAGTTCAGCTCACATTTTCTGGATTTCCTTCTATGACGGTTCTATACTTGTGGGGATGTACTTGTTGCTAGCTGCTCTGGCTAGAGGAGGAGGGGGGGAGCGAAGAACGACCCCATCACGTCTTTCTCCAGCCCCATACTCAGACCAGCCAAGGGTATTGGAGTAGTACTCGTCGTTGTTTGGACTCGGTACTGGGGAGCTGGGAGGGGGGTACCCTGCCTGGTCTAGGTAGCAGTAGAAGGAAAATGGAAGAAACGAACAAAAAAACCTCCTTTGCGTTTGATCCATTCCGCGGGGACGCTACCTCAGGTACAGCCAGGTAGGAAAAAGTGAGCCGTCACATATTCGCTTAATGGTACGGGCTTGCTCGGTGGCATTCTTGGGAAGTACCCTTTGTTGCCTTTGTCGGAGAGAAACGCTAGCGATAGGCTACAAGCCCCCTCGGCGTAGTATGAAATATACCAGGTACGGCGCTCCGTACCTACAGCAAAGTCGTGCCACTCCATATCTACGATGGAGCTAATCTCTCGCGCAATCTATCCGGGGGCCGGGTATGGCCCGTCTGGTCCGTTGTAGAAGGAACGTGCCTGGCCCAGGGCTCACTCTTTAGGCAATGCGGAAACGCCCTAATTTGGGAGGGATCAAGGCCGGCCCACGTTGGACGAGGAAAAAAAAACTGCTAGCATTATCGAACGGTCCCTGAACTAGCTCAAGCTGGGAGGGGTTTGGAGCTTTCGAATTTAGGCCCGGGGTGTGGGCTCTGGAAATGGTGGAAATGAAGAGAATTGGCGATATGCTACGCCGTATTCAGACGGGCGAATAGCTTGGCCATGGTCTTGATGAAGACTCTTCCCCTCAGTGGCGTTTTCTGGTGGCGACAAATTAATTGGAGGCGAAGCAAAAGCTATTTCGTGTAGTAGTTAATTAAGTCGACGGTGGGTTTCGGTCAATGGTGCTATTCGGTGATAGCTTTGGGCGTGCCTGACCCGTGGTGCTGGGTACATGTATGCCAAGCGGAAAAGAGAACAAATTAGTGGGCGTCATCGAAGGACAAGAGAAGGCATGCCCTCGCACCGACTCCATATATGAGAGAATACGGAGTTTGGAGTGTACTCTTGGCTTGCAGGCTCGGAATCCAGCCAGAGATTGCCTCGAACTGATGCTTAAGCGGAGCAGAGCCCCCCCCCCTCGAGCATTCTTCTTTGCGGGCGCTCTGGAGAGACTCGGCCGATGGATATCGCCCAACTGCCTATCCATGCTCATCTCTGCCAATGAACACCATAAGCACCAATTGACCTTGTCTCACTCCAGGCTACTATTATCTGTGCTATATTAGCACTCCGAGCTATTCACTAGCATATCAGGAACTGGCCTACTGATTCATATAGCTCTCCTCGTAGCGTCTGGGCTTGGAGCAATCAATGGACTCCCCCCCACAGAAGACTAATGGCCGTAGCCCAGGGCGCTCATCGTCGTGCTCGAGTCAGTGCCTCATTAGGAACGCGAGTAATACCTACTAGCAGCGTAGCTTGATATGATTGCCAATAACTAGCATGGCACACGTGCTCTCATAGCTCTCTTTCGCCTTCATGGCCGGCGCGTACTAACGCCGACGGCGGGTGAAGAGTCGCTAGCAGAAGAGGATCGCCGTTGCTATCATAGCTTGATGCGGAGTAAAAGTGCGCTGATGACGGAAGATGTGTCGTTAGTCTGCTAACTAGGATAGGCGTGTGGTTGTTGATATCTCCAGAGGGTCCTTTCTGTTCAAGCTGAAAGAAGTAGACCATGATAGCTCTTCTGCTATATTAGCGTGCTGAGGTCTTATCTCAGGGCTGAAGGTTGGTGATGTGGGCTGTGGATTACTCGTATCAGCCGCGCGTGGTAGGTACCTTTGCTGGACGTGTTGCGCTGCGCACAACAAGAGGAAGTCAATAGTTGAGAAGAAAAAGTTGTGCTATGCTTGATCAGCAGAGACTTGTTGTGATATATGCGTTTGTAATGTTTTTTTTTCTAGCATTATCTAAAAAGTGGTGTTGTTGAAGGCAAGGCAGTACGTTAGTAAATGCTTTGATTTTTGTGTCATAAGCGTACCACTGAAAAAAAAAAAAAAAAAAAAAAAAAAAAAAGGTTGCACGCACGTGAGAGCTATGATACGCCTTCTTTGACCTCACAATTTCCTTGAATATAGGCTCAAGTGCGAGCTTTAACCCGACTAAAGAATGTCTGCCGAATCATTAAATGTAATTGCGTTGATTTCGGGAGGCAAAGACAGCTTCTTTAATCTGCTCCACTGCATTCGTCATGGGCACCGCATCGTGGCTCTGGCGAACTTGTATCCGGTGGTTGATGGCACCACAGGAGCTTTAGAAGATGTCCAGTTCATCGATCCAGCACAGGAGAAGATATTGCCGGCTGCAGAAGGTGCAAAGCCTATTGAAGAAGACCTGAATAGCTTCATGTATCAGACGGTTGGGCATGAAGTCATCCCACTCTATGCTGCAGCAACTGGTCTACCCCTCTATCGACAGCCGATTCGCGGCGGGGCACTGCATCATGAACGGGACTATGACTATTCGCCTGGAGAGCAAAAGGACGCACCGTCGAAGGTTGATGAGACTGAGTCAATGCTGCTTCTGCTTCAGGCCATCAAAGCTCGCCATCCCGAGGCAAACGCCCTTTGTTCCGGGGCCATCTTGTCCACATACCAGCGCACTCGAGTTGAATCGATTGCGTTGAGGCTTGGTCTCACCCCATTGGCATATCTTTGGAAGTACCCTGTTCTTCCACCTCGTGCGAACGAGGTTGCAGACGAGGCTCAGTTGCTCCGTGATGTGGCTTTTGCTGGGCTCGATGCTCGGATCATCAAGGTTGCAAGTGCAGGGCTTGATGAAAGTCATCTGTGGGAGCGAGTGTCGAGCATCAAGGGGGTAAATCGAGTGAAGAGCGCTTTGAGAAAATTTGGTGCTGCTGAAGGTGCTTCTTTGGGCGAAGGAGGCGAGTTTGAGACCCTTGTGTTGGATGGACCGTCGTGGTTGTTCAAGAAGAAGATCTCAGTTCCAGAGGAAGGGCGGAAGATTGTCAACGAAGGGGGTGGCTCAACTTGGTTGATGCTTCGGGGAGCCCATCTTCAGGACAAACTCGAGGATTCTGACGTTGGCGCAAGCCCAGAATCATCCATCAGAACTCCTGACTTATTAGACTCAAGATTTCAGTCAATATTTCATACGATTTTAAACACAAAAGACATTGAGGATAGCAGGAAAGAGAGCACGGGAGCTCTGAGGCCGCGAATCCTAGGCAACAAGTTTTCCTCAACATTAGAAGAAGACGATGATATTCTGCGATGGTCTGTTTTGGCTAACCCTTCTGCAGATCGAACTTGTATTGCAGCAGAAATGCAGTCTGTGGTTAGCCAAATAAGGGAGCTGCTCTCCGCTTCGTCTCTTGATGCGGCTCAAATTACCAATACAATCATCATCCTTCGCAACATGGCGGACTTTCCAAGAATTAACGCGGAATATGGCAACCTTTTTACAAGGCCAAATCCACCATCTCGAGTCACTATCTCATGTGGTTCTCTACTTCCGCCTGACTACAATGTTATGGCGTTTCTCACAGTCCCGAGGCCAGGGGTCAACTCTCACAGGAATGGCCTCCATGTTCAGTCTCGGTCATATTGGGCCCCGGCGAATATTGGTCCGTACAGCCAAGCTATTGATATCTCTGTATCAGTAGAAGCAGAGGAGATCGGTGTACGAGCCATATATGTCGCCGGCCAGATTCCCTTGATACCTGCATCAATGGTCTTGCCACCTCTATCGGAGACCAGTTACGCCATGCAGATTGATCTATCCTTGCAACATCTATGGCGAGTTGGGCTTGAGATGAAGGTTCAGCTCTGGAGCAGCGCTGTAGCCTACTTTGCTAAGGCAACGTCTCCTCATGAAATAAAACGCTATGCCGAAGCCGCTGGTCTCGCGTGGAAGCTCGCTCACGGGTCGCCGGAGGATGACGAAGATGACGAAAGCGAGTTGGATCCTTGGGATCTTAAGCATAACTCTCAATACACCTCACTGGGGAACAGCCGAGAGAATGCTCGCGCAAGACTGCCTGATTGGTCCATCTTTACACTGAGACAGCAGAACGAGCCAGAGTCGTGCATCCCTCCCTTTTTCGCTGCTGAAGTGGAGGAGCTCCCTCGACAGGCTACTGTAGAGTGGCATGCGCATGTTGGCCTATCGCAAATCGAGGAGAGCAGCGTAGAGATCGTTTATCATCCAGAAACAACGCCATCTTGCTGGAGGGCCTGGCACGTGTTTGTTCGCACAGCAAAAGCTACGGTAGTATATACAACGATGGCTCACGTCCCATCGCCAGGCCACGGGAACAGCAGTTGGGGCGAATTACAAGAAGAGCTCTCCGTTTCACACACACACTCGGTGAAGGCTCTTGGGCTGGCGCCTCTAGTGCACCACGCAACCCCTCACATGGCGTATGTAGAGGCCACCAGCGTCACATCTCTGCTGTCGGATGTCGGCGATGCTGGGCCGTCGGTGCCCTTTGCGACGATTCCGTGCTATACAATCTGGTCTGCGGGAGGAGAACGGGTAACATGCGTGGCGTTGTATAAAATGGTTCTTGGGCTGTCACCAACAGATTAAATAAAAAGGTCAAAGACAAAGAAAGAGTGATTCTCAAACATTGCGCTGGCAATGGCATTTGATACCCATCCGAGTTTTGTAGTTGAAAACATGCAGCGAGAGCCCCGACGAGCCGATGAAGGTGGGTTAAGCCGCACACCATGCGCCATACAGCCCCACGCCCGTCAGACGATCTGAGTATAAGCCAAGATGCGGACTTCCTTCTATGCCTGGACATGGGCAGGACCACTGGCTCCGTGTGACCTCTTAGCTAGGACTGGAAAAAGCTGGCTTCAGCGCAGGTCTAGTCTTCATCCTGGCGTCGTTGGCTGCCTGGGCTGTGCCGCAAAACATGGGCTCATAACCAACAGAAGTGAGTGCTCCATGGACGGGAGGGAGATTCACGGGAAGTCAAAGACCAGAGGCAACATGAAGCCAAAAGGAAATGAAGCTGCGTTGGCACTTACAAGTCGAGGCGCGCAACTGGCGCAATGACGTACATAGCGGCTTGCACCGTTGCAGAGCGGATCTCGCTCTTCGAAGGGCTGACGGAGACCGAGTGGCCACTCACCGCGGGTGGGATAAATAACCGCTTGTCTGTGCATTGAACTAGTTATACCGCGTGGGAACCAATTTATTTCTTAATTCCAGGGTTTCCTCTCTCTGAGATCGATCCCAATTGCTGCTCCCGTCCGTCGCCGCCTCTGGTTATGCCGCCACTCTGAACCGCCATCACGCAACCAAGCCTTAGTTTAAATGCGCCGCTTTGCGCGCCCGAGTCGAGTTTCCGCCCATCCCCACAAGAGCTTGGGCACATGCGCCGCAACTCTGAGGTCTAGGGACGGAGCAGTAGTCAAGTGAGACCGGCACCCCTGCGCCAGACGTGGGCGTGGACGTGACCATGGCCTCTCAGACCAACGAGTTCGATGCTGCGGCAGCCAGTTCTGTGGCATTGCCAAAGAAGACGCTGTCAAAAGCTGACCTGCAGCAGCGTCGCCAGTCGACTGATCGTATCAACGACATTCTTGAGGTGAGACGCGGTCATCCTGTCTCTGTTTAACTTTTGCTTAAAAGGCGGCGTCATTGTGCGTGCTTCTCTATCTTTCTTATCTCTACTGCCACCCTCCTATCTCTCTCCATGCGACGAAGCTTGAAGTGTCGTAGCATGCAGCTTGGCCTGCTGCGGCAACTGATTCTTCCATCGCCGCCGTGTTGAATACAAGGGGAAAACGGATGAAAGGACGTGACGCTAATCACAATGTTGGCGGCAATCCAGACAGCTTTGCAACGGGCGGAAACCATGGATCCCGCCTCTTTGAGCCTCCTCCAGAAAGGCTCCCCCCGCGGTGCCGACGCCGACAATGGCGCTTCGGGAGTCATGGGAAGAAGAATTTCGCAGGGCTACCAGACCGTTCCAACGAGCGATGAAAGCGATGCCCCCCGCCCGAGAAGAGTTTCATACAGCGATGCGGCGAAGAAGAATGAGAACCACCACAGAGATCAGAACCATTCTCTGAGGCGGCGAAACGGGGTTGCCAGCTCGGAAGATACGGATGGACCAACAAAAGCGAAACCGTCGAAACCATCGTGGACGAAGGAGACTTTTCGCAAGTTTCAGTCGCTCGAACTAGAGAACAAAGGAAGCGTCGCAAGGGACCATCTCGCTCTTGGTATGTCGCACATCTCACGTCGTCACAGCGCCATGTGCATACGGACAGCTGAGCTGCATGTCTCGGGAGAAACCAATTGGCCGACCACGCTGACATTTTTTTTCTTCTTTTACCTCTAGAGCGCACATTTCTAGCATGGCTACGAACCTCTCTGGCGTTTGCATCCATTGGCGTCGCCGTGACGCAACTGTTCCGCCTCAATACCGACAATGCTTCTGCGAATATGGTCGACTTTGATCACACGAAACTACAAAAGATGGGCCGACCATTGGGTGCGACATTTCTTGGGATCAGCATCGTGACTCTGCTGCTTGGCTGCAAGCGCTACTTTCACGCACAGGAATGGATCCTCAAGGGCAAATTCCCAGCCAGCCGCGGGACCATCCTCATCATGTCATTCGTGGCGCTGGCTCTCATGATATTGTCGCTGGTGGTTGTCATTGTCATACGACCTTCGTAATTGGTGTTGCATGACTGAAATGGAGTTTTATCTTTTTCCTATTTGCCCCATGAAGAATGACTCAAGGTAGCTACACACTTTTGGGGGCAGCATTGGGATTGGCGTAGAGATATTTTGGGTTTTGTATTTTGTATTTTGCATATTTTTTTTTTTTTTTTTGCTCTGGNGAATGTAGGGATATGGTGTACCAGTTGCATATGGATAAATCGAATCTCACCAATTGATACCTATTTGGCAATTTGGAACACAGAAAATGAGAGATAATTGGACATCTACAGAACAGATTAACGCCTTCAATTGACTCGCGTTACGCTTGTGCAACTCCCGTCTGTCATACATGTGAAAATATGCCGGTCAGCTTATCGATGCGCCGCTCCAAGGCTGATAAGCTAGGTTTGTGTGGTAGGTCATAGATGGTGGGGGTTTGCTGCAGCTTTGTACTCCTCTCAAGTTACAGGCTGCGAGTTGACTTCACATCTGGAGCTCTCCAAGCTGTCCGCTGCAGCTTCGTAAGACACCGTCAATGGATTCAACATACGTGCCGTCTTTTGCAGCGACTCAGCTTGCCCTTCTGGACCAGGAACTGCAGAGCGAGATCCAGGAAACCAGCACTCTCATCACCAATCACAGCCCCACTGGCCTACAGCGAGCTGGACTGGCCATCACAAATCTGACAATATCCTCGCAGAGGACAGGATTGGGTGGCAAAACAGTGCTAGAGCTGAGCCCAGATAGCGCAACTTCAAGCACGGGAGAGCTGCCCGAACATGGCATTCGGACTGGAGATATTGTCCTAGTGGCCGAGCAGCCCGCGGGGAGTGCAAAGAAGAGGGAAATCAAAGAGCTCGAGAAGAGGGGAGCTAGAGGCGTGGTTACAAAGGTGCAGAGAGCGGCTGTTAATGTTGCGTTGGATGAAGGGAAAGATGATGTTGTGTTTTCTGGGAGAGTGTGGATGGTGAAGCTGGCCGATGAGGTTACATATCGACGGTAGGAGCAACAGACGCTTATACACACCTTTGAGAATGGAGCCGGAGCCTTTAAGCTGACCATTACAAGTATGAACCAGACTATGGAGAAGCTACAAAAGATGGGAGAGTCAGAATACTCGAGCTTCATCAGGGTGCTATTTGGACTGTCGAGCCCCTCACCAGTGCCACGGAATCTATCAACGAGTGATGAAGTTGGAAACATTGAGTGGATAGACCCAACTCTGAATGACTCACAGAAGGATGCTATTCGGTTTGCGCTGGCTTCTAGAGAAGTAGCCCTCATCCATGGACCTCCTGGGGTAAGCTGCAGCCAGTATCAGTCTTTGATGCATGACCTTCTTATAAAAGTGCTTGGCAATACTAAGTAATTGAGCGCAGACTGGCAAAACTCATACACTGATAGAGTTGATTCTGCAAATGATCAAGCGTGATCAGAGAATATTGGTCTGCGGTCCGTCTAATATCTCTGTTGACAACATTGTGGAACGACTCTCTCCGCACAAGATACCCATCCTTCGTCTTGGTCACCCAGCCCGGCTCTTACCGTCTGTTCTTAGCCACTCTCTTGATGTCCTCACACAGACTTCCGAGGCTGGGGCCATAGTCAAAGATGTCCGTGCTGAGATGGACGCTAAACAGGTGTCGATCAAGAAGACCAAGAGTGGCAAGGAACGGAAAGCCATCTACACCGACTTGAAGGAGCTACGCAAGGAATACAGAGAGAGGGAGAGAAGATGCGTTAGCAACCTCGTTGGCGGCAGCAAAGTCGTTCTTGCAACGCTGCACGGCGCAGGGGGGTTCCAGCTGAGGAACGAACAGTTTGACGTGGTCATCATTGACGAGGCGAGTCAAGCTCTGGAAGCGCAATGCTGGGTCCCGTTGCTGTCAGCAAAGAAAGCAATCTGCGCCGGAGACCATTTACAGCTACCACCGACAATCAAATCCCTTAATTCAAAGGTTAAAGCAAAAACCAAGGACGGCGATGGCGGTACGCCTGTCATCAGGGGCATGACGCTTGAGACGACTCTCTTTGATCGTCTCCTGACCCTTCATGGACCATCTATCAAGCGTATGCTTACAACGCAATATAGAATGCATGAAAAGATTATGCGATTTCCATCAGACGAACTCTACGAGTCGGAGCTCATTGCGGCTGATGCGGTGAAAGCACGCCTGCTCAAAGATCTAGAATACGACGTGGAAGACAACGAGGACACCACAGAGCCGCTCATCTTTATTGATACTCAGGGAGGTGATTTCCCAGAGCGAAATGAAGATGACGACAAAGAAAGCCCGAAAAGGGGCAGTTTACATGGCGAGAGCAAGAGCAATGATATGGAAGCGGCTCTAGTACGCTTGCATGTGAAGCAGTTGGTAGAGGCCGGTGTTCGACCCGAGGACATTGCTGTTGTCACGCCTTACAATGCACAGGTAAGTTGAAGAACTCTTCGTCCTTCGTATTTCTTAAGAGAGATGAGTTCATATATCAGAGAGAGAACGATGCTGACTAGTGAGAACTAGCTTGCCGCGCTTGCAACGTTGAAAGAGAAATTTCCGGGCATTGAGCTTGGTAGTGTGGATGGCTTCCAGGGGCGTGAAAAGGAGGCTGTGATTGTGAGTCTTGTGCGAAGCAACCCTGACGGCGAGGTGGGCTTCTTGGGAGAAAAGAGACGATTGAATGGTAAGTCATTTACATGCGAAAAGTTTGCTGTTGATTCCCGTTTTCTGCGTTCCAGCGCAATGAAACCAGTGGCCCGGATTATCCGGATGCTGACACTTACAGTTGCCATGACACGGCCAAAGCGATCATTAACAGTCATTGGAGATTCTGAGACGGTCAAGAGGTAAGTTCCCTTCTCCCCCACTGGTGATCACGAGATGGAAGTATTGACAAAGGTTCCTTTCTTTTTCTCTCATAGGGGAAGCAATTTTCTGAAAAAGTGGATGGAATTTCTAGAAGAGAATGCTGATCTGAGGTATCCTGACGCGGCCGAGGTTAGCCGAGAGTAAATCGAAATAGACTCTACCTACGATACAGAATAAACGAAAGAATGCGAAGTACAAGCACCATTAAAGCATCATGAAAAGGTAATATACTTGATACTTACTAAAGTATGCTCAATTACGGAAATATGGCATCTCATGCCATCAGTATTACAAACAATCATTACGCCAAAAAGAAAGAGAAAAGAAGGTGAACCGAGATTAGGTAACCAAGGTTACATTATATGCCCTGTTTGGTTGATTACATGGAAATAACGTCGGATTAAAATTACACTTTAATTTCACGTGTTTGCGGTACGACGGCCCTCTTCGTTTCCGACGGGCCTTGATGTTTTGTTTGCTGTTAAATCTTGGCCTTTATTACGTCTGACGTCTTTGGGGGGCCCATGTTGTGTAGCCGTGCGTTTGTGCTACCACTGCTTACGTGCAGTCGTCGGGTTGGGACGTCATGCAGTTTGGGAATAGGTATTGGAGGAAGTTTGTGTGATTCTGGTGCAAGGGTGAATATGCAGTTGGAATCTGCAGGTGGACAATGGATTGAAAGATATCTCCGCATCTGTTGATGTGCTTGTACATGGCATCTGAGGGTTTTTCGTCCCCTGCTGTGCACGAGTGTGTTCTCAAGCTGGGGAGGCATGTCTTTTCGCTTGGCAGAAGGCATCTCATCTCGGTAAGGGGAGACGAGCGCTATCAAGCTGTCAATCTCAGCAGCGAGATACCGGCCATGCTCACAATTACTCCGCCTCAAGCAAGCAAACATGCACATCATCGCCATCACAAATCACGAACTAGCATCTCATGAGAGCATGGCTGCTGCGTGGCCTCTGCGTGGCAATTTGAGATGAGAGAGCACGGCCCTCCCTTGCATTCCTTCTAGAAAGAGGCTTGAAGCCACGCGGATCTACGCATGAACCACTCGCATTAAAGACCCCCTGGTCCCAGATCTCCAAAATGGCCTGAAACGATTGGGCGACGCGACCAGCGCAACAGGGCTTGCTGCCACTTTATGCTTTGCATAGTGCTTAGTCGGATAACGGCGCCGGCTTGGCTGGCCGCATGATGGAGGAAACAAGCCCAGAAAAAGTCAAGTCTGGAGTAGATATAGAGAGATGAGAAACGCATTCGGGGGCCGCGAATTGCAGTGCCAGCTGAGCTGGTTTCTCGGGAGGGAAAAATACCGTACACAGCCGATTCCAGTAATTCCACCGGCGCTTTTGGATTCGCTGGCGGGCATGGTCTGACAGGGGAGGTTTTCGCTTCCCCCCAGCAGAAATTTCTCGGTAGCTTGAGAGAAATCACAAACGGCCGCTGCCTCGGGGAGGAGTGCTCGGTAGAACAAAGAAAAGAGCCTTGAGCTATTTTGGCCTGCTTCGGAGATGGGATACATACAAGCAATACTCTAGACGCCCGCCTGGCAGCCCATGGAATGAGCCACGCACGCGCTTGGGACAGTAGCGCAGCCTATTTCGTCACTTGTCACAAAATCCTGGGACTGCTGCAGTCGCAGGAGGTCGACCAGGACGCTCTCGGTGAGTGAGTCGATTTTCTGCTTGGGGCTGCGTTACAGGCTTCCGCAGTCCCGCAACTCGTAGCCCGTATATACGTGACGACGCTATGCCGGCCCGAGTGCGGCGTTCCTGTGCTAGCAGTAGATTATGATACGCTACAGAACCAGGTACTATTGTATTATACCTACTACTAGTGATGAGAGCGAGGACGCGGTGGAATTGAGCCGCTGCGGAGTTTGGAGTTTGAGGCTTTCTAATGTCCACGGCAAGGATCATTTTTGCTTGCCTCTGCCTCTGGTTCTTGACAATTTAGTTAGTGCGCACCCAATTTGTCATCTCCACAGGCAGCCACGGGTCTGGGAAGTGCCGCTTGGAGTGCGCAACTCGTTTCGCACCTGCCGCTGCAGTAGTGCCTTGCGTGCCTCTCACCTGAAGCTTGGAGCTTTTAGCGGTGGTGACGCTGACAAGGACTTTGCCGACGCAGATGCAGATCTTTGTCTCTTTGCCTCCATCCTTCTCTTTGCAGGTGGCCGTGGCCTGGTTCTCTCCGCTCCGGCTTCGTGATCAGTATTTCGCCAAATTTGGCTTTGCATTCCCTGCGGTCTCTTATCTCGGACAAGCCACAGCGGAAGCTGCACCACCTCCTCCACCACTAGCATCAAATAGCAGCTCCGGCGATGTCAATGGATATCAATGATTGCGGTCCCGTCGGGTTCAGCCGCCCACCAGCATCTGCTAGTTCTTGCAGCTGCTAGACTATGTACTCGCACCTACAGCCACCGCCAGCGCTATTGGAGCTAGCCATCGTTCGCTGCTCACTCAATGGAGGAGCCAAGGCCGGAGAGGCCTGTCCTGCAGCTAGCTTTTTGGCACTGGCCAGTGTCGATGCCAAAGCTGCCTCACGCTGCGGCAACGGTCTTCGCATGCGCTCGCCGTGAGCCCCTTTCTTTGTTGTCGGAGTGCGGTCCAATCCCGAGACCCCATCAGGCCTCCCCCCTGCGAACAACGTGGCCGGCATCTCTTGGCGGAGAGCCCTGCTGGATAACGGGGAATCCTGAGTCGTTACGGCTTGGTGGCTGCAGCTGCCACGACAGAGTTCTGTCAAATAAACTCCTTCGGCGCGATTGACATGCAGACGAATGGTCTCGGCCAGGAAGAGACACTTGTCTGCCCGGCCATTGATTCGCCTGCGCTCGTTCTCGTGCCGCCCCTCGGTGGCTAAACTGCAGCTCGCAGCAGGCAGCAGAAAGAGAGGGGCCCTGGGCATTGCTGCTCCATCATCCTTGGATCTTGTACATACGAAGTGCAGGCCGTATTTCCACGCACGCGACCCTCGTTTGAATTTGCGTTCCGTCTTCCGCGCTCCGGAGAGCAGCTCGCCGTATTATACCTACAGTACTTGTGCGCAGAGACGCCGGCCCTGGTCCAGGTATATGGAAAGGGAATAAGGCGGCCGGCCTGACACCGGTGAACCGTACTCCATACGAGCACTTTCATATCTAGAGCGGTTCTTTGGCGTGTTTCTGACCTGCCCATCCTGGGGCGTTTCAAACTATGCGCCTCGGCCGGCTCGATGCCAACTCCTCATCACTCACTAGCTTGGCTGCATGCTTGGGGCCATCTGGGGGCTCCGTTAAAATGCGACCAGGGCGCAATCGTGTTTCATCCTCCGTCTGTCCAAGGCCTATTACACAAGCTACTCGCCCCGGTCGTGGCCGCGAGCTATCAATCTTCATCGCCGCTCCATTGCTACCTTGTGCCACTTCAACTTCTGCAACTTTCTTGTGGCGACTGGCCATGGCGCCGTTGGCCAGATCGCATTGACCTTATTTCGTGTCTCTCGTTTGTTAATTGTGATATTTCTTTTTTTAAGTATCTTTTGCTGTTCTAGTATTCTTATTTTCTGCCCCGCGATTTGCCCCCCCCCCCCGGACGCTTCGACAACGCCTGGCCCAAGTTGACTCTCATCGCACCGTCGTAGCCTGGCGAGCTGTCAGTGGACGGAGGACTCAGACCGACCTCTGCTCTCGCCAACCTGACCTGACTTAGCCGACTTGACTGACCTGGCGCCAAAATTACCATCAACTGAGCACGGAAAAGCCGAATTTCTCACCAACTGGTCTGAGAGTTCCTTCTCGGGAAACCGAGATCAGACAATAATAAGCAAACTCTGCAGGCCCATGATTTCCTGCCGCTGGAGCTTTCCCTACTTACCAATCGCCCCTTCTCTTCAACTCGATTCTCGACACTCGTTCAACTTACTCTCCTCAGCTTAAAAACTGTCAATTTCCTTTTTTCATTTTCCCTTTCCTTCTTACATGTCATTTTCTCAGTATTATTGCAAATAAAGATGCATCGATCATCTTCATCCCCCCTTCCTCCCCAGGGCATGCCCCGGTCATCGAGCGCCGCTGCCATCAACAATAACACTAAGATTCGCCCTCAGGCCAGCTCCAGGATAGTTCGGGGCCAAATCTCCAGCCCAATTCCAATGCAAGATCCGCTGGATAAGGAACTGTATATCAGGCCACACGATACTGGAGCCACTGGACACCTACCTCCGCATGTCAACATTTCCAAGCCTTCCATGGAAATCTCTAGGCCGTCAGGAGAGTTTGCTCGCCGCCGCATTTCTTCAACACCTGAGCGATCTAAATCAGTTCTCCGAACGGCTCTTAGCAAAATCTTTGGCCGCAAAAAAGCTCCCCGGCCTATAACACCTCTAGCCTCTGCTGATTCGGAAGACGAAAGGCAAGATTCGCATTTCAGTGTAAGTACATCACTCTGCGGATCGAGTAAACTATGGCTTTTTGGTGGATAGTGTATTGATATAGGTAAACAGGGTGCCGTGAGGGATTCCGTTCCTGCGCAAAGGATACCTCCGAAAAAGATTGAAACGTTTCCCATCTCTGAATATGATCGGGCTTTACGCTCTCATTCTGTTGGCCCCGAGGATGTCATGGCCATCCGGAGTGCGCGCAGCCCAGTCAACGCTGAATATAGCGGGCATTCAAGGAAACGCAACGGAACTGGTAGCGATGCTCACCCGGCTAGTGCGCGCTGGGTGAAGCCGACCGGCCTGACTCCGCGCCCTGCCAGTACGACCGACTGGGGTAGCAGGCTGGTTGATGCCAGCCATGACCCTGAAGAGATTGGTCGTGCTGTAACCACCGGCCTCAAGCGCAGATCAAGGAGCTTATCGTTCATCCCGTTGATCGAAACCACGGATACCCCAAGCATCACACGACGCCGCAGCGATGAATTTCCCCGTGGCTGGCGGGAAAGCTACGACCAGGAAGCCGCATCACCTATATCATCAACTGCTCCAAATGGCGGGGATCGGCGCACCTTTATTAGCCAAAAGTCCAACGATGAGGCAGAGCTAGCAGACGAAATTGACTCACCTGTGAAACCGTTTACGTTTTCGAATATGCCTTATATGGCAGAGTTTGCTGGTGGCGCCAGTATGAAAATTACAGATGCCGTTGGCTTGGAGACGCGGATTGGCCAAGTCGAGAATCGTCTGAGCCTAGTGGAAGGTCTTTTGACGCATGCCCGCCAAGCATCTCCAGGCGGCGGATTGGCAAACGACTCGTCTGAGCGATTGGCGCCACCCCTGCCTGCATGGTCATCTACCTTTTCGACGGCCGTTCGACCATCTTCTCACTCTTCTGCCCACGTTTCTGGAACATCTAGACTCTCGTTTGGCGAGATACCAACCTATACACGATCAGCAAGCCAACAAACATCGAAACAGCCCATGTTTGCAGCTTCCACCCTTTCCAAGTCTGTGCCCACCGGCTCATTTATCATGGATCATGAGACCTACAATGCACTCGTATCAACAATGGAGAACGACCGAGCTGCCCGACTAGCATTGGAAGCACAGGTCAAGGAACTCAGTCGACAAATCAGTCGCCTTTCCAAAAGTATACCGGCAACTCGTGCAGCCCAAGGGAAAGATGAGGTAGCACCCCCGTCCTTTGGCCAAACGTCAGTCTTGGATTTTGTCGAAGATGAAGACGACAACGAAGATTTGAGAACAAAAGAAGCTCGACGAAGCTTCAGGAAGGCTCAAAACGAAGATTCCGGCATTGGAACCGAGTCTGGCGACAGAGACTACCCCGAATCGTTTGCTACATTAAACGACGAGCATCATAACTCCAAGGCAGATCTGCCATTCAGCTCACCTGATGCGATATTGTCGCTTTCTAAACTCACAACGCTGGATGCCATGGCACATCCAGCATCGCAGCAAACCTTATCGCAGCCATTCTAGACAGAGTGAGTCTGGATTGCCGTCGAGGAGAAACAATAGCATATGGTGGTGATATTGGAAATTGCTAGCGCTGTATTATTTGTATATTATACCCCATTCAAACGATACTAAATGTCGTCTGAAGCTTTTGCCTATAGCATTTTAGTCTTTGTGAGGTGTTGATTGGCGTGGGCCAACGGAAGTTCTTTTGTCAACAAGGTTTTGGGAGGGGAGTATTAGAATAAAACATCATTGCCCGGTACGGGGAGGGTTAAACCATACTTTATATACACATATTAGACCATAGCTAGAGCAAAATGGCTCGGCAAGTTTTAAAGAAATAAATGGAGAATTTGTTTCTAAAAGTGTGTTATTCTATTGTGAAATCTCTATGGGAGAGGTGTCTTTTCAAAGGACATGTTAGTCCTTGGCCCTTACATTGCTTATGCTGTACGCTCTTCATCCTTACGTAAGTAAATATTCTTTGTTTTGTCTCCCATTATTCATACATGTTATTGAGTATTTTCAACATTTATTCTCAGTTTACTACTCCTAGAATCCCATCATTTCACCTAATGAGACAAGCCATCTCTGAGCCCCCAGCTGCCCACCAAAGCCATGGATTTTTCGTCTCCAGGGGCCAATCGGTCATCCTGCAGCGTATCAGCAAGGCACGTCCAGGGATCTCGGCCACCGCCCCATTTCAGCAAGTTCTCCTTTAGGCGCTCGCCGTTCTCACGACCGATGGCGGCACCGTCCTCGCCAGCACGGAAAACGACGCGCCAGACTCGCTCGGCGAGCACGCGGTCGAAGAGGTAGCTGTAGTAGGTGCTGCCGTAGCTGTGCAAGTGGCCGAAGAAGCCCTGCCAGCGGGTCTCGGGAGGGTCGCGAGGTCCATGGGCGAAGCGGCGCTGGATGTCGTGGAAGGCAGCCGTGGAATCGAAGGAGGAGGAGGCGACTTGTGGGGAGTGGTAGGCCTGGTCGACCATGGCGAGGAGGATCTGGTGCTCGGTGTCGATGCCCTCGAAGCGCTTGGAGACGCGGATACGCTCGGCGACGAGGTCGTAGGGCAGGGGCTTGTCGGTCTTCCAATGGCGGGCGAAGAGGGAGAGGACGGTGCGGTCGGCGGCGAAGTGCTCCATGAGGGTGGAGGGGAGCTCGGCGAAGTCGGTGGCGCAGCGGGTGCCGGAGACGTTTTGGAAGGACGTGCGGGCGAGGATGGAGTGGATGGCGTGGCCCATCTCGTGGAAGAGCGTCTCGACTGAGTAGAAGGACAGGAAGGCGGGCTCTTTCGCGTTGTCGTTCTTGGGGAAGTCGCACACGAGGGCGATGGTGGGGAGCTGCTTCAGGGTGCCGTCGTGCGTGGAGATTTCCATGCCGTCGTTGGCGGCTTGCTCGGCGGATTCGAAGGTAGGCGTGTTGGGAGAGTTGAGGTCGGAGCTGGCTTCTTCGACTTCGTCGGGGAGGATCTCGCGGGAGCATCGGACGGTGAAGTGTGCCGGGTTTGGTGACTTTTGCGGCCGGTAGAAGAGATCGCAGTACAAAACGGCGACCTGGCCGCCGTTATCAGACACTACGTCGAGCCGCTTGACGTCCGGATGCCAGGTCTCTCCAGGGAGAGTCTCCCGCGGGACCAGGCGGATGCCGTAGAGACGATCGAATAGACGGGATAGGCCCTGGATGACGGTGCCGACGGAGAAGTAGGCCGTTAGATGGTCATCAAACCGGACCCGAGATCGCATCTCAGCCCTGATCTGCTCCATGTAAAAGTCTCTGTCCCAGGCCTGAAGGGTGGCATCCTGCATAGTGAGCCTCTCGCGCTTCTTCTGCGTCAACTCGCTTAGCTCGTGCTGAATTATGGGGGCGTTGTGGTCTCTCAGGGCAAGCAGGAATTCCATCACTGAGGCGGGCGATTTGGCCATCATTCGATCCTTCAATGCCATATGTCCGTGGCTCTGGAAACCGGCGAGGTTGGCCAACTCGGCTCGAAGCTTGAGCATTGTCTCCAGGAGCTTAATGGTCCGGCCAGATGCCCTTCGCTGGGCGAGATATATTTCCTTCCGGGTCTCCTCATCATAGACACTCTGCAGAGCGGCCGCGGCCTCAGAGCCGGTGGTGGGAATCGAAATGTTGGACCGGGTCTTGAGCGAAGCGGCAAGGCCGGGGTATAAGCCGTAGAAGCGATGAGACGGCAGCGTGACGACTTTACGCTCTGGCTCCATGCCCTGGACAAATGCCGACCCGACGTCGCTAATGTGCGAGGAGAGCTCAACAAACTTATCGCGCGCGGATTTGGGCAGGTTGACGGCAGACTTCATGAAGTCGAGCTTCAGCAGCTCTGCCACTTGCTTCTCCTCCTCGGACCAGGTCGAAGTGACCTCGGGCCGGGCCATGGCCTCTCCCAGCTGGTCACTCAGTCCCGTCATGGTGTTGAGCTGATTCATGTACTGGTAGACCATTGACCAGGCATCTGCCGCGGCCTGCTGAAAGCGCACATCGGGGTGCGTCATGCGAACGAAGTCGGCCATGTCGAGGACTCGGCATAGCAAATCGCTCAGCCGGTCGAGGTCCCGGACGAGGGATTGGTACTCGCGGGTCGTCGAGGCGGAGAGCACACGGTGGACGATCTTGGTCGCTCTCTCCAGGTTCTTCTGCGCAAAGGCAAGGAACCCGTCAGGGCTGGTCAGGTAGCGGTTCTTGAAGAGGCCTTGGCTCTTCTTCAGGCTGAAGCTGGCGAAAGTTCGCCCGGATGGCGCGTCGAACAGCTCGCGGAGGACCGCATCATCGTGTCGAGAGCTTGTGAAGTGGTCGAACGGGAGCTTCGCAGGGTCGGCTGCCGGCGTCGCAGTCGCAGTCGCAGTTGCAGTCGCAGCGGTTGATTCCCATCGGATCTGGTCCAGGCTCTGTTTTCCCTTGATCACGCGACGACAGCATCGGGTGCAGACCCAGAGGCGGGAGCCTCTGGAGCTAAGCATTGTTGGGTTTGGGGGCAAAGACAACGATTGGGTGCATGCGAGGAACCAGAATTTCTCATGATAGACATGCGCGACGCAATGCAAGCCGTGACGACAAGACGGAAAAAATCAAGGTGGGACGACGATTTCGGAGCTGCGAGGGGTGGGTGGTACCTCGAAGGATGTACCCGCGAGATCCCGAACGCCGGCTATGCGTTCAGCAGAAGATGCCCCTCCAATGAAGCGTCGATGGGAGTGTCTCTGCTAAATGACTCGCCGGAACCTCATCTTTAGACAGCCATCGATGATAATGCCAACCATCCATGGCATCTCAGCTCAGTACAAAGCAGTGATTTGTGCTCCATCTGCTTGCTGATCGTCTCGTTCCGAACCGTAACCGTGAACCCCTCCCTCATCGCTCCGCGTTTCCAAAGAACTCACTTACACAGACGGAAGGGATCGCTGGTCTCGTGCCGTGCCGCTCAAGAACAGGGTTGTTTTCTCACACTCCACATTTTTTATGTCTACCCATAAGACAGTAAAAAGTGATGAAAATGTCGCTATGCTAAGTATCTGCTTGCACACCATCAGCTGCGTTCAATCAATATCCACATTGAAGACGACTCTTTCGAGTCGGAAATATCAGCCGCAGCAGAGCCAGTGCTCTCGCTCATCTAATCCGTGGTTGCTGTCTCATATCTCGGCTCGCCTTGGAAGGACTTACCTTGATAATTTGGACTAACTTTACTACAGTTGTGGTGATCTAAAGCTCGTTTCTCAATGATCCTTGATTGTTGGCGTCAAGCTGTGTCAATAGCGGGCGAGCAGTCTAATTATGAGGCTATCTATGTGGAGATTGCAAAGTGAATACGAACATTCTACCAAGGAATAAATACGGGAAGAATCCATGCGAATGAGCATATTGACGTGAATATTCCATATGATGTTGGTTAAGTAGATTATTAAGCTGCGTTGATGATTCAAGCCAGAATCTTTATAACAATACCTTAATCTGATTATCGATCGTTAATCTAGATTGGTAGTATCTGAAATTGATGGGTCAGTTTGATGTAGTTTTAATATAGCCCTCCCTGTCGACCGGCTATATAGACTACATACTACTACACTACTGCTGAATCAAAGACGGGGGCGAATTCTTGGAATTAGCAACACCCCTATAACACCCAGCTCCCGCTGTGACGGATCGTCCTCCTCCTTGATACCTCGTCGTAATATCTCCAGGAATTCCCAATCAAGATACCTCATCAAGACGCCCTCCCCAAAATGGATTCCAACGTCCCGCATGTTTACCCTTGAGATCAGGAACCAAAGGCTTAGGCTTGTATTCAGCCGTCCTATTTATATACTTCCTTCATACCAACCAGTATGGCCGGCCGACCAAGTAGATGGAGTCAATAGTCAGACAAGTCCATAATAGTAATTCGAGTTCTGGAAGTATTAGGCTATATATGATCCTCGTAGATAATGTAGTTACCTTTTAAGCACTCCACCTCCGCCTAAACTATTCACAGTAACATATTCAAATAAATACACAAGTAAATGAACGAATCCCATACATGTGATAATTCGTCAAATAGCATTCATAGCTAAATCATGACCAAGGAAATCAAACGAGACCCATGAGGAGCAAACGCGGCAGTTGTCAAATGAATACAAATACACACACATATATATGTGCTTATGTTGTTGCTTATACATCGTTCCGGTTGTTTACCCTTTTTGATATTCCTCCGCAATATGGTCATGCCGTGTAGAAGAACGAGATATTAACGCACGAAATCTTTATAAAGAAAAATCACGTCTTGCAGCCTATCGAATAGAGCTACAAACTCAATGAGATTTTAGCGCTTATTTGGAACAATATTGCTAGAATATGTAAACATTGAGAAATTGCAGCAAAGATAAGAAAGCTGCCGTATATGCAGCCCTGACTAAAGTAAGCGTCACATGGGAAAAGGGTGCACGCCTATCTTTGAATAAGTCAAGTTGATAAGTAATTGTTTATCCATTAGTTGACATATATAAGTAGTACAAGCAAAATATATGCATATGACCTAAAAATAAGCTCCATTGCTGTGTTTGAACGTCATTCATATCATAACCATGTTTATTTTTGTGCTATTATTTGGTGGAGTTGCCCTTTGGCAAGCGGGAACAGTGATTTATCATCTTTGGTTCTCATCACTTGCAAAGATTCCAGGCTCAAAGTTGGCAGCAAGCACTCTGCTCTACGAATTTTATTATGAAGTCATATGCAGTGGAAAATATACACGACAGATCGAAAGAATGCATGAAAAATATGGTCAGAGACTTACATAAAGTGCTACTGGTTTATAATAGGCTAACAGCAGGATCCATAAACTACAGGACCAATTGTGCGCATTAGTCCATATGAAGTGCATATTAAAGATGCTGATTTTTGCGTGGAAGCATTTTCTTCAGTCAAAAAACTAGACAAATATGGCTGGTGGTATAGAGTGTTTGGTGGACCTGGCGCCACGGTCAGTACCGAACATCACGATGTGCACAAGAGCCGACGGGCAACGTTCAAGAACTTCCTATCTCCAGTTGTTGTTAGAGACTTCGTACCAACTATCGTTGAGAAAGTGAAGCAAGCCGGCCTCATCATGAGCCATCACGCTCACATGGGAAAGCCGCTATGCATGTCAAATTTATATCGGTGCATAGCAGCGGATACGGTGTCTGCATATGCTTTGCCGGCTTCGCTAAACATGCTTGACTCTGACGATTTAGGTGAAGAGTTTCAGTCTGGCTTGAGATTATTTTTTGAAGCAGCCACTACTATGCGATTTCTTGGATTTCTCCAGCCTTTGATGATGATGATGCCCGATCTGATATTCAAGCGATTGTTGACTGGCCCTGCAAGGTCATTAATAAAACTTATCAGAGTGAGTGAATCAATATTCTACCGTTATACTTTGGAGAAAATGCGAGTTGACCACCTGATTAGAGATTAGAGGCTTGTGTTGATGAGACCATCCAGAAGCCAGCTGACATTGAAAAATCACGGCCATGTCTGCTTGATCGTATCAAGACCAACAACTACAGGGAAAATGGAGACTTTCGCGAACGCTTGCTTCAAGAAGCAGAGCAATTCATTGTTGCTGGTACCGAGACGACTGGCTACGCATTATCCGTCACTACCTTTTATATCCTTCAAAATGCGGATATTCAAAAGATGCTACGCCAAGAGCTTATCGACGCAGAGATCAGCCTAAACGACGATATTGACATCATATCACTTCAAAATTTGTCCTACTTGGTTAGTTCTTGTACTTTGGACAACAGTATAATATGGAAAAGGAAAATAATAGCCAGAAGCTGACATGTTGCCAAATTCGTAATTCTAGTCTGCTGTTATTACTGAAGGGCTCCGGTAGGTTCACATCAACTTCACACAGTGCAAGGAGCTGACCGAACTTTGCTAATATCCTCTCAAGATTCGCTCATGGCGTGGGCTCAAGGCTGCCCAGAGTAAACAAGTCCAGCGACGTACAGTACCACCAATGGCGGATACCTGCCGGTGTAAGTTGAAATTACTCCATCTACCCGTTGTAGATTCCTGAGATGGTTGATTAAACGTGTTGAAAGGTGCCGATAAGCATGACATCAAGGCTTCACCATGAAGATCCGCAGCTTTTCCCGGAACCGCTTACTTTTCGCCCGGATCGATGGCTTCAGCCAGACAGCAAACGACTGAGAAAATATCTCAGTCCATTTGGCCTTGGCTCAAGAATATGTCCTGGAATGCAGTAAGTTATGGCGATCGTCTTGTATTTAAAAAAAAAAAAAAGAAGACTACAAACTAATATCGGCCCAAAAATGATAGCTTAGCGTTCTATGAAATATATATTGCAATTGCATATATATTCACCCATTTTGATGTGGACAATAATGGCACAACAAAAGATGATCTTATTTCTGCTCACGATTTGGGGGCACCATTTCCTAAACGAGATTCCAAGGGGCTCCAAGTGACTCTGCAGCTTAGATGAACGCAGCCGCGAAGGAAACAATAGAGAATAGAGTATAGATTATGAGCATTACAATTTAGAACTAGTCTTTATCCACAGTCCAGATGCCTCTAATTTGACTTCTTCTTGGCCTTGTGGTTGGCCGTTGACAGGCTCTATTTGAACAGCTTGTGCCTTCATCCAATGCCTCCGCCCATTGTATGCTACGCACCAAGATTTGACTATCAATATCCCTGGAGCTCGGACTGGGCGTTTAAATGCCACTTCGAGTTTCGATGTCAACAGAGTTCTCCTTACGTCGTCGATCTTTTCTGGATCTGTTGAGAAGTGCGCAGCCAGTGTATGAGCCATAGCTTCGTCAAGAATAGTTGACAAAAGACCCCCATGTGCTGTTGAAGGATGTGAACAAACACCCGGGCTGGATAGTTCAAAGAGCGTGATTAGGTGGGGAGGCGTATTCTCGTAAGAATGAATAGACGAGGTGAAGTTATCCTTCGAATGTATGGCCGGATCGAATTCTGATGCTTCTACCAATACCGGAAGAGTTACTTTCTTCAACATCAAGCAATGCGGAATTGTCGATCCTGTTGCGAGTGTCTCAGAAAAGAAGAAGTCTTCGCCGCTGAGCTTGCGAATTCGCCCCCAAACCGGGACAACCTCATAGTCTTGTGACTGTAATATCGGGATGATGTAAGATATTTTGGAAAAGTGCTCCATTTTCCCACCAATTGTTGTAGAATGTATACAATAAAGGTAGAGCTTGAATAAATGTTTTGACAGTCAACCACTTATTTTGTAAGTTTAGGGGATTATGCATGCTCTTGCAATACCATAAACACACTTATAATGGTTTGCTAAACTAGCTCCTGATGATGGGGGCGTAAATATTGGCATAAACCACTCGGTTTAGTCGGCAAGGCTATAATTTACTCTGTAGGGCTGAAAATCACCTCTCTTACACACAATGCACTTTGTAAATGCCGAAATAGTACGGATCACGGACCTCGGAATATGCACATGGCCCTGTGCGGGCGTTAATGTTGACTTGTAAGCAACTGGGGCCGATAAGTGCTTTCTTTCTGGTCAGAATATGCACACCCCGCAGGTATCATGTGTTTAGCTGTATTACTATATCGCCGGATCCTATCGGAGCTTTGCACAAATTTGTAAGAGCACCGTTTTCAGAGATAAAGCATATGGGGCTGATATATGATGGAATGAGGAAAAAATCCCAAGAAGCAGTAAGAACACTGTAATAATAATTGTCTTGCTACCAAAGGGAAGCATGGATTTGTATAGATACATTTAGAAGATCCACAGTGATACTGTGGTCGCATACTATCTAACATGTGCTTTGTTATATCAGAATGGATTTCATAATACGGCATTAGGACTTAGTTGTTCTATTTGAAGTGCGTAGGTACACGTATGTAGCTGTGTTATAATTATAAATTTGATCCTCACCTAGAACTAGATTTGCCTACACCATTGCCCCCATTGCCATCTCTGCGTACTGTATAAAGATGCCAAACAACGCTATAACACTCGATTATCATGGGCGCATTGCTGTAATTACTCTTAATCAGCCTGAAAAGTTGAATTCCTTCAATGAGGAGCAGTTCTATTTTTTAGGGGAGTGCTTACGAGAGATAGCAAAGCACGATGAGGTTACCATTACTTTGCTCATTGGAACCGGACGTTTCTTTTCATCGTATGTCAAAAATAATATTACACTCAATTTCAGACTTTCTCACTCTCACTCTCTAATATTGCACCATTGGCTAATTCTATGGTCTTTATTCAGCGGCGCGGATGTATCTGATCTGGGTAAAGTAATGGCAGCGCCAAACCGCAAAGATATTTTGGCGGCGTCGTTGTTCAACAACGTCGATCTCACCCGAGCGTTTTATACGCACCCTAAGATTTTGGTAGTGGGCCTTAATGGGCCTGTTGTCGGGTTTCCAGCGGCATTGATCTCGTTTGCCGATTTTATATACGCTCGGCCTCACGCATACCTCCTTCTTCCATTCTCATCGCTTGGGTTTGCAGCCGAAGGAGGCGCCTCACGTGCGTTGCGAGATCGCCTCGGCGTAACAAAAGCAAAAGAAGCTCTGATGATGAGCAAGCGTATCCCTTCCGACGAACTTCTGGCATGTGGGTTTGTTAATAAGATTCTTCAGCCGCTCTCACATGGATCGAAAGCGAGTGGAGCTGACCCGTCAGAATTCTTGCAACAAGTCCTCAAAGAGCTCGATAAAGACCTTGGTAGTCACCTTAGTGACTCCAGTCTGGTGGATATCAAGACACAGTTCTTCCAAGATGACAGACGGACATATGAGCATACAACTGTGCAGGAAGCATATACCGCGGTGGAGAAGATGTGCGCGGGAATCCCTCAAAAACAGATGCAAAGAATAGCCGCCGCGCGAAAGACAAAATCTAAATTATGATTGATGGTATTGACGGAGTAACGATGGCAAATAGCGTATCGTACATGTCAAACATGACATCAAATGGCGAGCCGCGCATCAGGGAACCACCATGCCAGTCTTACAGAGATCTATGCCAGCACTCAAGAATCAATAGTTCGTGTAGAGCTCTGGGTATTGCACCGTGATCCATTCATCTTGTTCCTATTTTGTTAGAACTAAATAATATGTCAAGTTAGTATACTGCTGGCAGTGCCCAACATTGGCGAAGCTATTGACATTGTGTACTCATTCATACCGGCCACTGTTGCATAGAGTCTAAACTTATGGTAATTCAATTAACTCTTATATAGCTCATAATAGAAGAAAACCAAAAAAAATTCATTCCTCTTCGTGATTGCTTCTTTTGGAGGCATCATCCTAACACATGTAGTTTCCAACGACGCGTAGTAGACGGTTTGATCAGGTGGTATGTATCAGCAATCCGACTCGAATGTGATTAAAAATGTCCATAGTGAAAATACATGGAGAAAACATGTTTATTATTTTAAGGTGTATCGGAAAATTCTTAGTATTATAGACAGAAAGAGAAAACTGACATTCGTAAGAAGAGGTAAATGTTCTGAACATTGGAAGTACTATAGACGTAGGCATTGGCTGGCCAAGGACAAGTACTAGTATTTACCAGTACTTACCTACCTAGGATTCTGACAATAAGGAATGCAAAACGAAAACCAAAAAAATAAAATAAAATAAAATAAAATAAAAAAAGAAAAAAAAAGAAAGAAAGAAAAGAAACAATTGTACAAGTGACCCCCCCCCCCCCCCCCCCAAAAAAAAAAAAAAAAATTATAGATTGATGCTATTTAGATGAATTCCTACCACCAAGTATTTGGAAGGTAAAAAGTACCTAACGTGTTCGTGCTCGTCTCTTGGATTTCCCAATTCGGCAATAATCTGGCACCACCACAAAAGCCCCCGGGCCGGAATTTCTCTGCGCCGCTCCATCCATCGGAATAGAGCGGGTAGGCGAAACAAGATCGATCGCATTGAGCGCCTTTTCCAAAAATACGTCGTTGAATCTTCTCGAAGCTCGCCAGAATCGCCTGCAATCATGGCCGCGAGAGTGCTCCTGCAACGGGTAGGCAATTGCAATTGGATATTCTTCTCCTCAGCAGTATGTGCAGGCTAATTGACTTTTTTTTTTCTTTGCTGTAGCGCTTTGCGCCGCTGGCCGCAGCCGCCCTCGGTGGTATTGCTTTTTCTCCAGCGGTCGCCTTTGCTGAGGCTCCCAAGGTATGTTGATAGAAGTGGTTCCCTTCTTTCTCCTTTCTTCTTTCTGCAAGGCCGTGACCTTCTAATCGTGCCTGAGCAGAGAAAACCCATCTACGATGAAGCCGAGCACTACTCTCCGCTGCCCTCAGCACCATCACCGCCGGCGATTCTCCCGAGCCAGCCCATCCAGGACAACAACAACAACAGCAGCAGCAGCAGCAACGAGGAGGAGCAGCCGTCCTGGACCCCTACCCCTACAGACCGCCTAGCCGTCCAGATCGGCCGAGCGCGCCTGTTCCTCTACGACGTCGCCGTCGCCGCCGAGAACAAGGTCAACCAGACGGTGGACTCGGCCTTCAACCTCGAGCAGTCCTTCACCCGCACAATCGCCTCCCTGGCACCCCCGCGAGAGAGCGGCGAGAAGCTCATGCCCGGCGCCATCTACGTCCTCGTCGCCGCCATGGCCGGCAGCATCCTCACCCGCAACCGCAGCGTCGTCCTGCGCGCCACCGTGCCCTTTGCCCTGGGCGTCGGCGCCGGCTGGACTGTGCTCCCCATCACGATGAGGAACGTCTCCGACCTGACGTGGAAGTACGAGCAAAAGTTCCCTGCCGTGGCTGAGTCCCACATCAAGCTGCGTGAGGGTATCCAGAAGACCATTTCGTTTGCCAAGGTCCACAGGGAGGTGGGTGTACAATACGTCGACGACAAGGTCACCGATGTGCGGGAGGCATTGGAGAACTGGGTTAAGCAGGGAAAATAAAAGAAAAAAAAGGGGGGAAACCATACGTGTGTTATTAAGAAAAGCGATTGTACCATTACATAGAGATTTTTGTTCTTAAAAAGCCGTTCTTTTTACATCTCATTCGGTTCAGATGGAGACTTGAGCAGGGCGGAGACGAGATATAAGAAAGAAAAGAGTAAGATCGGCATGAAAGGCGGGGGAAATAGTAACAGAGATACTTCAGACTATACAAATACATATTCACTTTGAAGTATTGTAGCCAAGGTATGAATTCGTGTCCATTGAGGTGTATATTATTGTGTAGGTCTATTGTTCATTAGTTATGTTATTTGTCTATAATATATGAGCTTCATCACACAGAAATGATGGGCTTCAACTCCGTTTCTGGTTGCGCACTAATAGCTACTCGCTCGGATAGCGCTTTTTTCTGCTGTGTCTTGACTCTTGCTTGACCTGTCTGTCCGCCGGCGGCCAGGGCAGTGGCATTTGATTTACCCTTTTTTGACTGCTTGACTGGTGGCTTGTCCAGTCCCCGTCTGACGTCTGCCTCCCGGGCTTGCTCCAAAAATTCTTCGTGACCCAACATCTGACAAACAGCTGTATAATTCTTGCTTTGAGTCAAGGGTTGGTGGAGCCCGGCTTTTCCGGGAACCATCTGAGCCAGGAGATATTTGGTATTGCCGAACCGGTTCTCGACATCCATGGCCGTCTTGACGTATTCCTTGACGACCTCTTCCCAAGGGGCAAGGCCTCCATCGGCCTCAGCCCTAAAGCAACTGGGATTCTTCTCCGCGGATACGGCAATCATTGCACCATCCGCGCCGAATTCCTCTGCTAATTTTAGACCTTGGTCTCTAGACTCCACATCGCCATTCATCAAGCAGGCCACGCCAGCCTCGTGGCAAATGTCGGCAATCATACGCAGCTGGCCACGGATAGCACGCTCTCGGGGACGCATTGGTGTTGTTCGGCAATGGACCGTGAGGCCAGTAATGCCCGTGGCGACGAGTCTTCTGACAAGGGCCTCGGTCTCAGCTGGCGTTTCAAGAATGCGAATCTTGACGCTAATACCGATCTCGAATTCGGGGGTGATGTTCTTGACAAGCGTTTCCAGAATGGCGCATAATTTGTCTGGCGTCCGCAGCAAGGCAGCGCCCATGCCACCACTTGTGCTGAAGGGCTTAGGGCATCCGGCATTGACATCAATGCCAGCAACGTCCGCTGCGACCAATCTTGCGGCTTGCAGCGCGCGATCCGGGTCTGACGTGCCAATCTGAAAGATGAGCTTATTCTTCTCCTTCTCAGGGTGAGTAGCGTAGATGATGTTTTCCTTTGCGTCCGGCGGCGGCTCTTTCTGTCCATGGGAAGCAACTCGATACCATTCAACCGTCTGCGTAGCCTCGTTGTAACGTCTCGTCGTCCCGATGATCGCGCGGTCAACAGTTTCGGGGCCTATTGTGCTCAGGTTAAAATCCTATAACATGGTAGAAAAAAAAGTACTGTATATACTCACCCCACACAAGGTCAGCGCCGTACTTGAGTGCCAACAGACGAGAGGGAAGTTCGCCAGAGCGCACCATTGGCGCAAGGACAATCTTGCCGCGGTAGTCGACGCCGCGGCGAGGGATGGGGACCATCTTGACCTCTGAAGCCATGATTCTATTCAGCAACCTAGAAAGCATGCCACTCGGGGAGGGAGGCACTGCTACATGCTCTTTTTGTAAGATGGAAACTAGGTAGATGAGGCGAATCAAAAGTTGAAGTGGGATGCCACACTAGGCCTAGATGATGATTCATCTAGCGTTTATCGGCGTTATCTCTTATCGATAACGGCATCCTGCTTCATACTCTGGAGACTCGCTCCGAAGTGGGGTCACGGACTCGGCGCCGAAGCTCTGCTCCGCTTGTCGAAATCTAGATGCGTGTGGTGTCTTTCAGCCACAGGGACTCAGTATAATATTAGATATGTGTGAGACCAAATGTGGGAATGGAGAGGGCGGCAGCTCGCTTGCGCCCGGAATGCGCCCATATCACCACGTAGCAACGATGGGAATGCCCGCAATCTTAAAATCTAGGCGGATGGGGTCTATGGAATATTGGCTAAATTGCAGGCGATAAAGGCCTGTGGTATTGGGAGTGGAAGTAATCAAATGCTAAATGTCGCGTGACAATCTACCTTTCGCTAAGGCTGAGAGCAACTTTCGCTTGGCGAGGGGCTGGGCTTGCAGGTTGATGCAGCCGATAGCGGTTGTAGGAAAAACAGGTACTGTACATTGCTTGCTTGGGGGCTTCTACTCACGTAGCGAGTACATGTATCGTCTACTCAGATGATGCTTGTATGCAGCTCGAGAACAAGCGCAAAATAGCTGCAATTTAGAAAATAGTGCCGCTAGCGGTGCCTCGGACTAGTCTGGAGGTTAGTGATCCCTGATGGAGCTGGAATGAATAATGCTGCTATTTCAGGCGTCCTCTCCGATGGCAATACGATGTTTTGTCGACGATGGCGATGAGCCCGCCTCCTTCTCAGCACTGAGGAATATGTATGCGAGGCTGCGTCTATTTTGGGCGCACGTACCAGGAGGGTGTGTGGGATTGCGTGGTGCAGTGCAACCCATGATTACGAGGCGCGATCTCGAAGCGCACAAAGAGTTTCGAATTTGGGAACACAGCGACTAGGAGACAAGATCTTGATGTGCCCCCCAGTCGTTGGCTCTGGATAAACAAGGCTATAACTTGCGTAGATCAAATGATGTCCGGCCCTAAGACCTAGTACCAACACAAGTCTGCTGTTGCTACTGCTATTACTGCTACTCTCAGAGGATCCTTTTTTTTTTTTTTTTNTTTTTTTTTTTTTTTTTTTTTTTTTTTTTTTTTTTTTTTTTCAGACGCCGCGATAGTTGTGTATTGGCTTTGATTTGAATCAATATCTTCGAAACATTGGGAAATATGTATGTACCTGGGCAATTATAGCGAATATGTAGGCCCATTCCTTAATTCCCCTTATACAACTATTGCGCGGCTAGCCCTCGCCCGCGCAGAGCCTGATTTGTTTCGAAGAGAGGGCAAGGTCGGCCAGCCGACAAGGGATGCGAGAAAAGGGAACAACAGCCTGACCTCGCCGCATGCGTCGTCCTTCAATATTGAACGAGATGAGTTTGAACCTTGGGTTAGGGTGGTCATGGCGCTTGGTTTCAGGGATCCCACAGGCTGGCTCTAACGTTGTATAGTAGCATGCACAAGTGCCTGTTAGCCGGGTCTAGCACTCAAAGCGGCTACCCGAGGGGATCTGAAAGGCCCTGAAAGGTTGCGGATGATTGATAGCCCTGGAGGTTGATAGACTTGGCGGCCAACGCCCAGCCAGGACTACAGGCAAACAGACAAAAGATATGCTCGTCTGGGCCTGCGGGCTCGGCGCTAAACAAGGCGATGCCCCCAACTTTCTGCTGGCTGTTCTCGTACCAGCTCTGCTGCTCAGCGAATTAGGCGCCATCAGGCTGGGCAGATGGGCTCTGACCCCACTATTAAGCCACTATTAAGCCCCTCCTGGCCCGCGATGAGCACAAGGAGGAGACGCTCAGGGGCTGGTTGGTGGGGAGAGCGACGACGAGAAATGGAGGTCACTGCGGGCATAGTTCACGACAGTGGATTTCCATGTTGGTGGTGGCGTGGTTGAGGCACTGAGAGAGGGGGGAAACACGAACAAAGCATTTATAGAATCTGCACAGCGGGAAGCAAAGGCGGGAATACGAAGCTGTTCGTATTGGCCAATAGATGCCTACATAGCTGTAAATAAATGCCACGGTACTTGTTTTGTCCAGTACCGGCCCAGACCCCAGGAGGAGGTACCTACACGCCTCGTGGTACCTGCACCCCTGGGTCTGCGATAAGGGTCGTCCCCATCTCCAGAAGGGCTGTGGGTTTGCTCGCTGCGTGGTCTAGCCGTCTTGAATGCTCTGAAACTTCCTCGCCATTCCCTGGAGACGCCGATCAAGTCCAATTGGATTCCCTCGTGACGACATAGCACCTGGTGCGGCAGTAAATCCTAATAAACCGGCCGTGCAAAAGTGCACCCTCCCAGGCCTCTGTAGCAGTTGGTAGTACTTGTACGAGTTGCATCCCGACAAAAACAACCGCCATTGCATTGCCGCCCCATGCCCAGGCCTGCGTCTCTTCTGCACATGCTGGCTGGCCAAACCCATCCCTCCTACAGCTTCATCGCCCGTTTCCTGTGGCTTCAGCCTCTGCACTGCAGCCATCTAGTCGCGCACGGGGAGTAAGACTCCTCGCTGCCAGTGTTTTTCCCGAGCCGGCGACGGGGGGTGCCAACCACGCACCATATCTTGGCGGCACAGAGCGTCCAGGAGAGCAGAGCGAGAGCATCATCCCGCCCACACCAGGTGCTGTAGTCGGTCAACAATGGACAGCGCACAATCGTACATGGCCGACGAGGGCAAGTCGTCCAAGAGGGGACGGCTGATGGGCAAGCTGTTTGGCGGCAAGGACCGCAAGCTGGAGGAGAGCAACAATGCATCCAACCTTGACGCCTTCCTGAGCTCGGCCGACACCCTCAACGTTACACATCCTCCTCCACCGCTTCCTCCCACGGTCGCCCTGCCGAAGCTCGACACCAGCATCTCCCGCTTTCCCCAGGCCCTGGCCGTCAACCAGCAGGCCCAGCAGAACCGTCCTCTCGCTCCAGGCGCTGGCGTCGAAGTGCGATCCCCAAAGCGAAGCCCACGACCGAGCCGCAAGGGCCTCGCCGTCAAGTTCACAGAGACGTACCCCGACGTCATCGGCGAAGGCGGTGACGAGTGTGAGAACCCAACCATAGAGATATCGAGGCGAAAGGGCCAGCAGTCGTCTCCCCCGCCTATGCCTCCCCAGAACCGGCCAAAGCCCCCCTCAAGCAGACCCTCTTACTCGAACAGTGACATATCATCGGCACAGGATGATTTCGTACCCAAACCCATATCCCGAGTTCAGACGTCATTTTCGTCCATCTATAGCCCTGATGCCGACACAAAGACTCTGCCAAAGACGAGGACGAATTCGTCGCTCGGGGTGGACCGCCAGAACTCTCTGGACCCTGGCAGGAACCTCTCTCCAGGGGGATTCTTGGGAGCTCCAGGCGGAAGGAATGATGAAAACAGAAAGTCTTTTATTGAAGTCCAAAATGCGCAGATGGCATTGGCCGAGGGAAGAGCCTTTGCCAAGGCTGTCCGCACTGCCAGTGCGGCCTCCGAGCACGATTGGGGTGAGAAGAAGCTGCCTTCATCCCGCGAGCTGAACGATTCGCCAGAGCCTACATCTCCCGAAGCCCAAATCAAACCTACGGAATACAGCCCTGTTACCTCCATGTCTACAAATTCCAGCGCACACGCTTCGCCAAACAATCCCAACCCGCCAAAACAGATGCCACGACGCCCCAGCGGCACCCAGAATGAGCCCGCATCGCGTCCTCCGCCGTCCATGGCCTCGAGAGCGCTTTCGGTCCGAGTTACCGACGCAGCGGCCGCCAATGAGGCTCTCAAGACTTTTATTGCTAGAAGTAGGCACCTATTTGCGCTATTTCGACTACATGCCGAGCAGGTACGGCCACTGGGGTCCTGCACTCAATCACAGCTTGCGCGGGGTAGTTTGTGGTGGTTCCTGAAGGGCAGAATGGGTCTGGAGGCCGCTATACGAGACCGCCCAACGACACCCCAGTCACAAATGCAGCTGGATCTTGACCGACAACAGGCACACTCTAACTTGGCCAAATCGTATTGGCTTTGCCAGGAAGTCCTCCCCGATATTGTCGAATCGCAAGGTCAAGCCCCAGACCCCGAGGTTGCTGATGTGGCCAAGAATTTGGTCACTGCTTTGACGAAGCTGGCAATTTCGATGAAGCGAAACGAAATTCTGCCACCGGAAGATGCCGTATTACCGCAAACCATCGACAAGTCAATCTGGGTGGAGTATCCGCCTCTAAGCCAGGATCTGGTGGCTTTAATGACAGGCAACTGGGGCGGCGGCCTCACCGCAATGCAGCACCCTATGACCTATCTGGAGCTACTGGACGCATTTCCTGTGGGTGATACGGCAGAGACGTTTTGCTACGGGAGAATGTCGGCGGATGTGTTCCTGATGGAGCAAGGAAGAGAGAACAAGCAGCTACGCTTCCCCTGCATGGTTTCCTTGGTTCGACCCAGCAAGCATAATGGACTCATCTTCGTGGTATCTAGCCAAGATGGCAACATCCAACTACCCATCCAAGACCGAACTAAAGGAACGGGACCATCCTGGGGGGATATTCGCTGGAGGCCTGAGACATCTTCCTTTGATCTGCGTCTGCCGCGTGGCTTCAAGTTGGCCTTGCAGCTATCCCAAAGTGATTACAAGATGCTTTACAATATGTACGACTACGCCACGAAGCTTCAAGCGACTCTCCAGCCTCGACCAGACGAACAGGTCGTATTTCGAAACAACCTACGATCATTTCAATATCTGGATGCGGACCCCAATTCCCGGGCTTTCCCCAAGGAACCAATACCTTCTTGCGATGTAGCTCTCTTTGAAAAACTCCGAAAAGAAAATGGCCCTCAGGGCCAACGGACCTGGCACACCGGGTTCCGCATTGCGGTTGTCACAGGACCGAAGACGAGGACAGCTTGTGGAGTCTCTCACTCTTATCCTCCCCCGTTGCCTGTGCAGTTTGGCTTCTTCAGGGCTGAAGGAGACTTGCCTGCCTTTTCGGTCAAGTTTGAAAATGGCCGGCAGAAAGGACGCATGGTCATGGTGTTTAGTGACGAAAAGGAGCGAAATCGCTTCCACTCTCTACTCACGGGTACATCTGTAGAGCCTGGCGAGAAAGTGTTTGCTGATGTGCCAATTACCGGCGTCACTATTGCCCAAAGCCTTCGTGAGCCACTTGGCATGTCACCTTTCAGCCGACTGCAGTGGAAAGCAGGCAGAGTGGTGAATGACGAGTACGGCGCGGAGGGAGAAGAGGCCCCTACGGTCCTCGCAGACAGGCTGAGGATTGTTCTGGAGCATCAGTATGGTACGATCACGGATAGAATTAATGTCGAGCCTGGCGAATTACGCATGCGCTTGGAGGTTAGCAACGCCAGAGTGCTCAAACTCCTTCGCCAACCCCAGCAGGATATGACTATTGCCGTTGCAGAATCGCAAGTGGGCAAGGACGTGCCGAGGAACATGTGGGACTCGCTGCAGCTTATCAAGACGAACCAAACGATACGATCCATCGAATTCAACAACCTCAAGGACCTCCATGCCTTCCAGTACGCGGTTTTCGGCTTCGAAGTCATTTTTGATTCGCTGGCAGTGACCTTTGCCATTGCGCGACGCCGCATGGTTGTGCCAATCCACAAGAAGTGGGAGGCGGGATACACCAGAATCCAGGTCATCAGGCAAGAGGACAAGCAGCTGCAGTTGTTGGCATTTTTCGAAGAGTTTAGCCATGGGCATTGTATGAATTTCGTGTTGAAGCAAACAGATCTATACGAGGCCTTTCATAGAAGCGGCAAGTCGGGCATCCGATTTATTGATGCCAAGTTTCCTCTCCCGCGGCTGCCGGCCGACAAGGATGGGGATTACGACGATATGGCCTTTGTTTGCCTGGATCTACCGGATCTGCCGGGCGAGCATGATGATATTTCGATCATGTTTGAAAACGAAGAAGGTAAGCCCACCTGTCTTTGTCGTATTTACTGATCAAATAGGGAAAAGAATGAGCTGTTTGCTGACAATATGCATGCATAGACCGGGATCGCCTCGCGCAGTGTCTTCCAGCCCCTATAAAGGGCTCCTCGAGAATATCACGAGTCAAATGAATGGATAGCAGCTACGAGGATACGTAAAATGTCAACTTGTATGAAACTGGTGACGGCACGCGCGCACGAATAGTGGTTACGCTGCATGCCCCCCTAAAATACGTTGTCTAAGAGCTGCAACATAGCAAGCAATATGCATCCTGCTTTCTAGCGTGCCGGAGTTTTTGGAGTAGATTACTATTAGTATCATGGGATATTAAAAGCAACGAAAGAGCGGATTCGGGGAGTAGAAGAGCAGAGCCACCAGCAAGTTGGAAATGGATGTGTGTGGGGGAAAGAGCCCCATGATCAGGCTATCTACCAGTATAAGAGCATGCAACCTAGGTATGCTTCTGTGGAGGCAGACTATGAATACCCAAGAAGGAAAAAATATGAAGAGCAGGAGCATGACCCTGATATGAAGAACAGCGTCAGATTTAGCGATTGATGTAATTTTTTCTTTTCTTTTTCTTGCAAGCATTGGCTGGGGGAGACTGCGGAAGACGGAGTACCTTGGAAAGACTATGTGCTGCCCCTCTTTGGTCTCACCCAGGCCGACCAAAAGCAGTTTTAAATCAACATGAATATACTGGTGTGTGTATATCCCTGGGGTGTTAATTTCTTCTTTCCTTCTTTACTGTTTCTAGAACCACAAGTGTCTTTTGACAAGGGAGGGTGGTTAGATTAATTGGACCGAATGATGTATAAAATGAGACGATGCCTGAGCTCTTGGTAGTTGTGACAAGTCTAGACCTGTCATTGTTGGAACGCCACACACCAACATTGGCAGTTGATGCTTTTGTCAGCCGGAGACATAAGATCAAAAAGCCATAGTAATCCTTCGAATCAACACAAAAGATAGGCGGTGGCAAGTCTCTTTTTCGAATCAAGGAAAACAGGTCTTTGGCCTATTGCCGAGTTAAGTTGCTCCTAACTGTAAGAGGACATGGCGGGAAAGTATCTCCTCAAATGTCAAAGAACTGGTTCGGGAGCGGCGGGATACTAAGGGGACTGATTTCTTGTTCTTTTTTCTTTTATTAGTTAAAACCCGGGAGTTTTAAACCGGGAGGTAGGTCGCGTGGACACTTCTTTTTATGTATGATTTTTTTTTCTTTTGGGATCTAGACCTATCTTTCGATGGCCGGAGTTTATATCGACTCCGAAGAGCGTGGGCTGCCCTTTTTTTTTTTTACTGGAACCCCCGCGCGGCTCCGGGGAGAATTCCGGCAACCGAATTGATTACTGCTATGGATAAATTGGTTTTTGTGGACAGGGAAAGGGGAAATTTTGTTGGGGAAGGATGGCTCTAACGTTTATTATAGTATCGTCGTTGTCATATTATGTACAGTACTGTAACTAGTGAGAGACAAGAGAGGGGAGAAGACAAAATCGTTGGCTGCTTATGGCTTTTTGTGTTATTAGTCACTTGAGGGTTTATTACAATGCAGCGCTTGGGCTAGAAAGGAAGTCATCTTGCACCGACAACTGCTGTTTAGGTGTGTGTACAAGTTAAGAGGTAGTTTGAGAGACCAGCAATAGTGGTTTTCTTCTAGGCCAGACTAGATCTGCTCTGCTGTCCATGTAGATGCTTGGCTCAGTCTGGCTGCCTTGCATGCTCCAGTGACAAGTCCAGCGTCCCGTACGACACGTGCAATTCTCTCAACGCTCTGCCTCCCTCTTTGCATAAATGTCGGCCTTGCCTCGTCACTCTCGCACGCGGCCAAACGTACGAATCTGAGGACGTGTACCTACTTGTATGTGCATATATCCCGCTGACCTAATTCCTTGTGAGCGCTGTTTCGCTTTGTCAACCATGTGTTGGATCCGTCTGGAACGGCCTTAGCCTGGCGCCTTGCGGAGGGTCCTAGCGCACAACGTCATAGAGGTTGTTGGGGACACTAATGTACAGAGAACATGAAAAGCATGTGATCGTCTGGCTTTTGGCGGGGGTACAGGGTACCTCGTATTTTGCGGTCCTGACAACGGCGTCCTTTTTGACATGTGCCAAGGCTTGCTCTTTGTTCCTTTTTTTTTTCGCCGCCGCCGCCCGTCCTCATGTATGGCATCATCGCCCGTAGAGGAGGCCTCAGCAGGGCCTACGAATGGCCTTACGTAGCCGTCTGTAGGCACCCGAGCTGCGAAAGATGCAGCCTAGCAACGGCGAGCAACAGCGCTTCGGCAGCCGGCACCGGCTTTGGGACGTTGGAAACCGCCCAACCTTGTGGCCCTTCATGTATGATTCAACGCATCTGGGTGGCTGCAGGGCCATTCCATTGTATATCCCGTGTACATGGATGCGGTCCAAAGTAGATCAGCTCATTGACGCAGAGCCGTAGTACAAAGGCACCTTCACTGGGCTGCATTCCTGGCTAAAAACACGACAAGACAAAAAGCTACCCCGGCTCCTCCATCTATTGGCCTTTCTAGCTTGACGTAGTTTATTTTTTCTTTTCCTCTTGTCTTGGCATTTTCTTTCTTCTCTTTTCTCTCTCTCTCTCTCTCTCTCTCTTCCTTCTTCCTTCTCCATCGCTTCCTTTGCACCTCTTGACTTTTTTGCTAAGCGCCTCTCTTCGGAGCCAAGCGGACGGACTTGAGCCGTCTTATTCACTTACCCCATTAGCCGCCTCTCGCCGCCAGTTAGAAAATACGTCAGTATAGACAGACTCCGCCACCGTACAAGGCGCTTTGACGCCCACCAGACAGCTGTTACAAGCCTCCCAGCCCGTCCAGAGATTTGGGATTCACAGTCGATTTCGGCTGCCAAGAAGGAGGGGAATCCAGCTCGCCCTGCTCCAGCTCGCCACGAACGCCTCTTACACGCCCTAGCCTGGTCTTTGTTTTTTTTTTTACTGCCCTGGTTCATTCAGATTTCTGATAAGGGAAAAAAGGAGTCAGAGGGGCTGCCAGCCTCTGGATTTTTTTTCTTTGGTTTTCCCAACCGAGCTGTCCTAGCTGCTACCCGTTTTTGGGGCCATGGGGCTTTCATCCGTGCTAGCTCTCCCCCGGAGGAGCAGATCCTCTACAGCTGGTAGTAAGTGCTAAATGACCCCTCCGCTTCGTCATTTCTTTAGACCTGAGTGACCTCTTTTTTTTTTCTGTTTTATTTCGACAACCTGCAAAACACACGCAACCCAGCTCCAAGGCACAGACGAAAAGAGTATTTTTTATTTATATTCTCTCGTCCTGCTTTTTCTGCAATAGGGCGACCATTTTCTATGCCCTATTTTGCCCTAAGCGCCCCTTAATTTCTGCTTCCTCCTTTCGTCTTCCGAGCTCGCAAGGCTTGCTCGGCTTTACGATCGTATATCTTATTTTTTCTTTCTTTTTCCAACTTTACGTTTACTTCACGAAACAATCCCACACTTCCAAAATGTTAACCAACTGGTTTGCGCAACCACCTGCAGGCAACCGATCCTCGACCGACGAAGGGAGGACCGACAACGATGACGATACCCAGGTGATGGAGCCCGATCAGGGCAATGGTAAGTCGCGGCAACTTCATATACATGGCGGGGGAGGGGGGAATCGCTTGGCTTTGCTTGGCGTTGCGATGCAGAGCGCTGGATAAAGCTTGCGCTGCATCCAACTGCTTGAAATCTCCCACAAGCCAGCTCCCCAACCGCTTCTCTGGGTCGTCAGCAGAAGGAAACACCGGGCTGACTAGAATGCGTGCAGTTCTCTCACACATCATCTCTCAGCTGCGCCCTGGCGCCGATCTGAGTCGCGTCGTCTTGCCTACTTTCATTCTTGAGCCTCGAAGCATGCTCGAGAGAATAACCAAGTGCGCCGACAATCGCCTACATCAACACATAATGGTATTGCTGACTGTTTTTTAGCTTCATGTGCCACCCCGAGATGCTCCTGCATATTCCTAATATCGATGATCCCACTGAACGATTCGTATCCGTCGTCAAGTTTTATCTGAGCGGCTGGCATATTCGGCCACCGTATGTTTCCTTTCCAATAGAGCGAGCTGGCCGGTTTGGCTAACGATTTGTAGGGGAGTCAAGAAGCCGTTAAATCCGATCCTGGGCGAAATATTCTCCTGTTACTGGGACCTCGAGGACGGCAAGCGAGCTTACTACATCTCCGAACAGACGTCACACCATCCTCCCAAGTCAAGCTATTTCTACATGGCACCTGATCATCACATTCGGATCGATGGAACCCTCAAACCTCGGAGTAGATTCCTGGGCAACTCCGCAGCTAGTTTGATGGAAGGCATTGCTTTCCTTACCCTATTAAACAGAGGCAGCAACAAGTCCAAGGGAGAGCAATAGTCAGTCCCCGCAAAATCCGTCTCGAATTGCAGTCATGAGCGCTAACATTGATGCAGCATACTGACACAACCCAACATGTATGCGAGAGGAATTCTGTTCGGCAAAATGAAATATGAGCTTGGCGACCACAGCTTTGTACGATGTCCTGAGCTGGATTTGACCGCTGATATCGACTTCAAGACAAAGGGCTGGGTTGGAGGAACCTACAACGCCATTGGCGGTGTTATTAAGAGGGAGAGCACCGGCGAGGTCTTGTTTGAGCTCTCTGGTCTGTGGAGTGAAGAGATGTATATCAAGGATATGAGGGTAAGTTGGTTGCAACCGCCACTTAACTAACACTTTGCTAATATGAGTAAACGAAGACGGGACACCGAGACATGTTCTTTGATGCCAACAAGTCAAAACCCAGCCCACCTCTGGCACGACCTATCGATGAACAGGAAGAGCGGGAATCCCAGAGACTATGGGAGAAGACGGCCAAAGCTGTCAAGGAGCGCAACCACGAGTTGGCAACGGACGAAAAGACGAAGATTGAAGATCGGCAACGTGAAGAAGCTGCCGTAAGGGCTCAGGATAATGTTGAGTGGCTTCCGCGTCTCTTCCGTGCCGTCCACAGCGGGCCAGGAGAACCAGAGGAAGGGGAAGAGAACTTGGAGTGGATAATCAATGCCCACGTGTTGGTCCTATCTCCCTTGAATTACTCTGATCTTTTTTGCTGATATTTTATAGTGACTCTTCAGC